ACGGAACGGAGGAAGGAAATTTAAAGTTTCATCGCCGAACTGAAAGCCATAAATGCGTTCCAGCCACACCGAATACGCCATAAAGGTCAAAAGGCGTGAGTTTGATGATCCGATTCCGAATTCGATTCGGATGCGGATGCGGATTCCGAGGACCGTCCATAAAGCGGAGCGTGCAACCGAAGTGATTGAATTAATATGGGAGGGGAATATTGCATCGGGGCGGCAGGATCGAGACAAAGGACTCTCGCTCCTGGTTCTGTTGGCAGGCCAGGCACGCAGGATACACATGCGAGCATACTATATCGAGTATATCGGGTATATGGCAGCTCGGCCACGCATCATAACATGTCAATATACTCCGAACGCCATTAAAGTCAAATGCTCTACGGGGAATTTTCAAGGCGACGCCCGCCTCATTCCCTCCTTCCAGCATCCCAGATTCCTCCTCCTTGGCCCCGATTTCCATTACTTCTATTGTGTGTTTTTGCGCAAAACACCGAAATCACATAATGACAAGGACAGCGGCGGCGGCGGCGGCGGCAGAATCAAAGTGTAAAATGTTGAAAATCGAATTTGCTGCCAGCGCGCCGGAGAAACAAAAATAAAACAAGAAAAATATAAAGGCAAGGCAAAGCGGAAGCGGATGTGGAGATGGAGATGGGGGCGGGGAATCGAGGTGACTGTCAGACATGCCATTATTTGTTGATGTATTAAAGCTTTTATTTACGTGCAGGTGAGCGCCATTTGTTTATATTTGTATTTGTATTCAATCAGCGTCAACAAGAGCCCAAAAAATACGAGAGGGGAATCGAAAAATCACATGAAAAGTGAAGGCAAATCAAATAAAATCAAATCACTGGGTCGACATTTTATTCCTTTATTTCTTTTTCTGTAGAATTCCCGCAGTAACAGTAGCAGTAGCAAAAGCAGTGGCAGTAGAGAAAGTGTCAGAGCCGAAGTGGTAAACACTCGGCGAGCCTCTCTGCCAGCTTTTTGGGCCAACTAATGGCTGCAATTTCGCCCCGCCGCCAGTTCATTATCATGCCTGCGATAATGTACTCCTCGCCGATGAGATGATTATGTGTGTTGACTGACGGCCAGGGAATCGAGAGCTGGGAAAACGAAAACAAGAACGACAACGACAACGACAACATAAACGAGAACGAGAACGAAACTGTGGAGCTGCCTGGGCAGATAATAATATGTCTAGGCCAGGCCAAATGGGTTGCACATGGCCTACTTGCCAGCGTCTGTCCTTCGGCGCTTCGGAGGTAGAGGTGGAGGTGGCCCATTCCCGGCCAGCCGAGTTCCATCAGCAAGCGACGTAATGAAGCTATAATTAGATAAGCGAGCTACTATCGCAGCCCACCTGCAACCCGGGCGCCCGAGAGTATCTCATGGATACACATCCTCGCAGCGGGCGACATATTTTTAGCCAGCGAACGTAACAAACGTTTGACTAACCAAACTCCAGCTGACAGATGAGCAGGCCAGGCAGCTGGATGGGGCCAGAGTTTATGAATGGCTGATTCCTTTCCCCTTCCACCTCCCCACTTTCCCTATCCGATCACACCCATTCACAGCCATCCATCCGTATGTGTGGGCTGTCTGTTTGCTGGCAGCTAGTTAGCTGGGCACACATTGTCAACGGGCATCCGCTGCGTATACGTAACGTGGCTCGATTTTCGTCAGTCGCGTTGATTGAGTTATTTCGCTGGAATTGCGATTTGTGTTTCTCTAATCGTGTGTATAATTGAATCTCCCAACTGGCTGAATAGCAACACAAAGCGTAATTATGCAGGTAAATAGGACATTATTGATATTATTCCAATGCGAATTGGTATTATTAAAGACCTGCTAAGCTGTTTAATTTTTAAATAGAAGTGGGTTTTCACGTTTTATAATCCAAATGGCGTTCGTAGCCATCGAAACCATTACCCACACTTCAGTTAGTTTTCCAATTAACCTTTCGCCGCTTCCATTGAACGAGATAATTGAGTTGCCAGTCAGTCAAGTGGCCGACAAAGGACCATTATATCTGCACATAAGCTTATTAATAACGCACTCCAATTTATTTCCAGCCAGGTCATCAATCAAAACCGGCCACCGAGCTCCGTCCAGTTGCAAGTCAGTGCAGCGATGGCTGTTCCAAGGTCGAGTATCTATAGCTGACCCCAAAGTCGGGCTATTATTAGCAGCCCTTTCGGCCCAGTTAACCAGTCGTCTGCTTAGCCCGCTCGTGCCGGCCAATGAAAAGCCAAACAAACTGCGGTGTCGGGCAATGAAAATCAGATCAGATGAAGACGAGATGCAGGCAATTCAACAATGGCAACGATGGCCCTCCAGTCATCAATCAAACAATCACTTAATGAACTACTTCAAGAGCAGACGAAGCCCCATCCCCATTTTAGGGGCAGAAACAAAGGCACGAACAACAATCGCAGACAAACACGCCAATTTCCACTCACAGTTTGGTTTTCCTGCCTTTTCGGGGCATTAATTGCCTGGCGCTGCTTTTATGCCATCGATTGGAAAACTTTTCTGGACACCCTCGCCCTTATCCGAATTTTCCGCCTTTTCCCAACACCTAAGTACTTTGCCACAAAGTTCGGAAGCACATAACGCTTAAAATGCGTTTAATTGAGAGTCAGACACGAGAGCCCCGCAAAACTTTTGGCCAACTATGCAAACCAATTCGGCCCCAGCAAAATATTATGGCAAATAATTCGTTTAGACAGTTTACACATTGTTAAGCGATACCCGAATTGGGTCGATTTACCAGGCTGCCAGGTATTTTTCTAAAATTTCAATTGTTTGCCTTGCCCTTCCACTTTTACCCATTCCGCATTCCTCTTTCCCTTTCAGGTGAAGGGGCCTAAAGTAATATTAAAATTGTGGCCACAAACTCCACTTGTAGTTGGGCCAAGTGGATCCCAAAAGTTTGCGCCGCCTTCTATGTATTTCTGGTGGACGACCGCAATTTGCCGAAAAACTTTTGAACTTTTTCGAAAAGTTTACTTTATCAACTTCTTGTTCATAGTTGGGTAAGACAAATCAAAAGGCTGAGGATAATGTCGGCGAGGGCTGGAAAGCAAATTACCGCCCTAATGCCTAACAAATCGATCGCCTACGTGACAGTTGCCAGTTTAATTAAAATGAAATGCGCTAATGGAAATCCAAACCCACACACGCACCTCGTCCGCATTCCAAATACATATGTAGGCGGAAGTATATAGGTGAACCGCATTCGTTATGATTAAACAGGCCCACGAGTCCTGCCTGATGCGCGAATAAGCAACCGTCATGTGTGGAAAAAAGCCAGCTTGCTTTTGGGGAAAGTGGGAGAACGTCGTCGAAGAAAGTCGGGCGGGGGAATGCCGCAGTCAGCCGTGTGTGGAAGGCGTTTTCAGTCGGTCATGTCTATATTTCGGTACGTGAAATATTAATAATTCCATTTTGAACAGCTCAAGGCAAGGATAAGCTCGGCGGCAGCCCAGGCTTTATTTTTAGGTCCTCGGAGCCGACGGAGCAAAGGTGGGCAGGTGTGCTGGGTTGGGTTGCTTGCGAGCAGATACCGACAGCCGAGGCCCGAGGCCACTTAAAGCACGGGGAAACTATCAAAATTTATGCGTGGCTAACAAGGAAACAACAAAACTGTCGCGGCCATTACCCACACACACAAGCAGACACACACTTACACAGTCGCAGCGGGCGGCGCCTGGGAAAAGGGACATGTAAATACTGACAAACAATAAAATGTGGCCAGCGAAGCAGCAATGGAGCGATGGAGCGATGGAGTAATCCCTCCTGCTGACAAGTGCCAGGACCTTGGGCTGAGTTCGCCGAACCGCCGAGCGGAGCTCAAGAGCCTACATCAACGAGTCCTGGCGAGATCCTGGACACCCCGGGATGTTTTATGGAAAGTATGCTATGCGTACTCCATGTTGTGCAGCCGTACAAATTCAATCTAGCACTCGATTTGGTTTGGATATGAATACGTTGCGTATACGCAACGGTAGCCAAACTTGTCCTAGATTGGATTTTTATTTCATTTAAAGGGACAACAAAATTGTATGTATAGTTGTAAGTTTTCCTTTTATAGGTAATTCAATTTAAAAAGGAAAATTGTAATCCGAACATTTAAATGAGTTTATATTGGTATTTTGTGTAGGGGAAATGTTATTATTTAGGGAATGCTGAAAAATAATATAATTTTTGTCGATAGGATAGAAAGCCAAAAAGCGAACACAAAAAATGTAATCCTATTTAATCACATTAAAAATTAATCTTATTCATATTTTCAGAGCTTAGCAGAATAGTTATGCCTGTTGGCCAACTACTTTCTTGTTCACATTAGTTATGCGAACTGCAGCAAGCACAAAATGTTAAAAAGTCTCACTAATTAAAGCCAGTTCCAGTTGGTAATTACAAATAACTTTTCATTAAAAAAGGTAAATAGCTTTCATTGTTTTTGTGCACACGAAAGTTGTTAATTGAGTTAAGAGGGCAACTTTATAATTTATGTTCCTGCCATGCCGTCACTTTTTCACCGGGAAGCTAGTGTCCTCATTATGCATGTAAAACGCTCCACTTTCCGCGATCTTTAAAATTCAATGAGGCAACTATAAAACAGGACCCTAGACCGTTGACAGGCTGATGGCTAGCGGGCTTTTCCGAGCCGCCAGCAAAGCTGCTTACACAGATTTTTGTTTGCCATCCTGGCCCAGGACCCGCGAGACAGGCCGTGGCCAACTCGGGCCCGGGATGGCCAACTTAACGCCTCCAAGTTGTAAAACACTTAGCGGTTATTTCGTGTTTTCCTGCCCTCCACACCACTCCCCTGCGGGAAGCGGACGGGATGGGTTCTGGAGAGGAGTGGACTCGAGTGGAGTAGAGTGGAGTGAAGTGGAGGGCACGGCACACGCGAACAAATCCGCGCCAGGCGGATTTTTGCTGTGTTGTAAGATAATTTAGCGCAATTTACGTGCAAATTTGCTTACGTTACTCGCCAGTGGAGGGAGAAAGCGCACAGGTGTGTGCCGAGCAGCACGGAGCTCCGAGAAGTCGAGGCCCCCGTTTCAGTTCAGGATGTTCGGGATGTTCAGTCACCGGAGCGCGGACACAACCGACAGCAGCAAAGGACAACGCACGACTGCGGCCGTCGCAAAGGAGCCGAGGCTCCACCACGGCAGCCGAGGAGGATGCCGAGTCCCCACGACCGCCTCTTCGTCCTCGTCGGTTCCATCGTTGCTGCTCGAAAGCAGGCAGAATTAGAAATATGAACAAGGCGGAGTGCCATGGTCGAGTGAGCCGACTACTGGATTCCTTACAGTCCCCGGGGTAACCTGAAATCTGTTGCCCTCTTCTGGGGAATATACTTTGCCCAGACTTATCTTGATATAATAATATAATAGTTTTCATGATTGAGAGTCTTGAAGATATTAAAACAGTATCCATATTTTTGTTAATTGTCAAAGCAGGCTTGAGAACCTAGCATACCTCTCTGTAAGTGAGTACTTGGGCACAGAAGAAGTAACCAAAATAGCAGCTGAGGCAACTGAGGCAACTGAGGCTCCGACTCCGTCTCCGTCTCGAATAAATCGCTAGTAGATTATTCGTGCTGGCACCCAGTCGCTCCTGCCACATCACATTCCCTGCCTGCCTGACGGGCTGCCTTCTTTTGCCAAACTTTTTTGTGTATGCCACGAAAAATTGACAGCTCCAACGCAAAGGGGACACTTTCGTTCCCCGTTCTCGATTCAAGTTCGAGTTGGCGCTGGAGTTTTGAGTTGTCGCCCGTGCTCGCCGTCGGATAAGTAATTTTCGCTGTTGCCATTTAATTTATGACTCGTGTTTCCGTCTTGTCCCATTGTTTGCCTTTTATTAATTTGTTTATTTGTTTATCTAAGCATTGCGCTACTCCTCCACGGGCTGCTCACTTCCTCGGCAAAGCCGTGCCAGGCCACCAGGCATTCTCGCCAGCTTTTACGGGCTTTTAATACACTCGCATAACCTCAAGCGCGCTTAGGAGCAGATAGACGACTGCTCCTTGCAACCCACACGTGTGGCAGCCGGAGTCTGTTGCCTTGGTTTAGTGCTCTACTGTTGCTTCGCCTCCGTTCCGGCGTTTCGGGGTTTCGGGGTTTCGGCGTTCCGGAGGCGGGTGAAAGTTTTCTCGGACGCTTTTATCTCCGGCGTGGGCGAAGCCATCCACATTTCAGCACTCTCCGCCGGACTTTCCTGGCTTTTCCCCGTTGCATGCAGCAGGCGGGGGGCGAAAACATCTTACTTGGTGGCAGTGATGAGTGGTTTATGGCTGGCTGTACCTGTTTAAGTGTTTGCTTCCTTATCAAACTTCTAGCTACTATATTTTATTCATACAAACATTTTAGTTCTTATCAACGACTTTACTACAGTTTTTCTTATCAACAGACTACACACACAAGCAGTTAGTTATGATGAAAATATGAATGATTAAATACAATCTTTGTATAAAGCAGTTCGATTCCAATTAAAAATATAAAAAAAGCACTTATGCCTTGATAACGCTTGCCAAGGATTATTCCCCAGTAAGTAGATTCGCAGATTCTATGGAAAGTGTGATTCATTGTGGGTATTTTTCTTACAGAGTGTAACCTTTTAGCTATATATTTTTACCATCTTTAAGGTAGAAAAGCTTGTCGCCCTTAGCATCGCTCCTCGTAAAGCTTCTTTATCACCCACTGCTTTTATTATGTCCCTTGCTCCTTGGGAGTTATAGGGATGTCAATTCGGAAGAGGTGGATTAATTAGAGCCCTAAAAAGCGGATCATGATTGGGCATTATTCAAGGCATGTAGTTTTGTTGGGCTCGCTGAATAAAACCTTTCGCTTTACTACGCCTTTAAGTGGAGTGTGTGGCAACTTTGCCTCTCCACACTCGTGATGTACTCAGATTTAACTTTTAATGAACTTTAGTTTACAGACTCACTTCCCCAGTCCCGCAAACAGTTCCGCCGTGCACTCAGGCGTTTTAGTGGCCATCCGACGGGAACTTTAGCGTTGCGAACGGATATTCGCCGGCGCTTGTTGCTCACTTGAGGCATAACGCTCATACGCCGTGTTGCACAAGTCGCGTTAAGATGATGGCATATTTTTTGGTTTAGTGCGGGCCACTTAATAGACCACAAAACGCAGCCAGAGCCTCGTAAAGCACCAAAGCACACACAAACACACACACACATAGCCAGCAAATGGCCACAAATGACACGTTTGGTGTTAAATGGAGGTCGTCCTGCACGCATACTTGTGCGCCATCGTCCGTGTGCCTGTGTGCCTGTGTGAGTGTTGAGGCAGGCTGTCCTTGTGTGCGTGCGCTTGTGTCGCAGTTACAGCTAAATTGTTTGTACAACATGCATGTAGAACAAGCATAAATCCCAACCACATCCACTTGCAGAGCCACAGAAACACGGCGAGACAAACTGAGCCCGACCGACTGGCAATTAAAGCCGCTGAGCTCCAGCTCTCACACATGTGTGCTGGCAACCAATACACACGCAAACAACCAACACTCTCTCACACACGCTACAGGTGAGACCCTTTGTGATGGCCCCGAACAGTGGGCTATTGTTTTACCTACTTGTTATGGACACAATCGCGTTGTCGTTTTGACCATTGCGACAATAAATCAATCGCAATTGTTTGCTCACAGCTGGACTTTATGCCAGCTACGGTCGAGCCTCGAAATAAACATTTTCTACACCATAAGCCTCTTTGGCGATGACCTTACTTATTACTTATTTTATGATAGTATACCCATAATCGAGATTTTACTGTATGTTCATTAAGTTTGTGTGATCGTGGCGCTCGGCAACCTCGTTGAATTTAAGTAAACCGAGAGCGGAATCATCGTTTGCCTGCACTGCGTGTGTGGTAGTGGTTGTGCTCCTCTGTGCCGTGTGTGTGTGTTTGTGTTTGTGTGTGGCGCGCTGCTGCTAATGAGCTGTAACCAAAGGCAACAGAAGCGACCACAAGTCCCACAAGCCGAGTCAGACCAACAATACATTTACGGCAAATTGAATTCAACAATAACTACAGCCACGGCTCACATGAGGAAGCCCACGGCCGTCAATCACACTCACACACCCACACACGCTGGGCAGAGGAAAAGAAAGGTGAAAGTAGGAAGAGGAAGAAGGGCGGAGAGTATCAGAGCAATGTGTCGTGAGCTGTCGCCATTGTGACTTTTATTGCAGGAGGCAGTTGCCATTGGGGCTGCTTTTTCCACTGCAATTATCAGCTGTAGCCATAAATATATGTACATAGGTACACTTATTGCCAATGCACTAACACAAACAGTCCAGCCACAATAATAGTGACCACAAACAAAAAATTCAAAATATGTTTTTTAAATATAAGATATAAAAATATACTCTCAGTTTTAGCTCTGTTAAAATCAGAGGCAAAATCCCACAAAATTGTCACCTTAATAAGGAACGTATTAATTTGAACACAATTGTTGCTACTTTTCGCACGAAGACAAAAAGTTTTGGTTCTGCAAAGCCAAAAGAAAAAGCCAGTAGGAGTAGTAGAAAAAAACAGGGAAAGCTTTAATTGCACGAGCCAGAAAAACCAGCCAGAACAGAAACATTGCACGAAGTGTCAGCCCAAAGAACAAAAAACCAAATTGGCTTTTGGCTTAAATACAAAAGGTAGACGGGGGAACAGAGGGTAAAACAAATAAAAGCCAACGGCAAATCCAAAAGCAAGGATTTCTTTGCACACTTGTTGTAGTACAACGAATTCGAGCATTGCCAAATCCAAATGCAAAAGATAAGTTTGTTAGTGGTAAAAAAATTTCTTCGTTTAAAAACCGAAACAAAACAAATTTTATTAAAGCTTTAATTTATAAATAAAAAGTATACATATTAAACATTTTGCTTAATCACTTCATGTGGCTTTATCAGTGCTGTTTTTTTTGGAAAAGAGATGCTGATTACTGTACTGATTTAAACGTAATTACTGTCACGCATGTCAACACATACGCCTTGTTTTGCTTGTTTGTTATTTTTTAATAATATTTATTATTATTATAAAATTATTTTAAATTCTAGGAATGGATACTGACTCATGTATTTGTCATCTTGAAGTGGAGCTTGATGGATTTGTCCGTGCTCCTCTGAAATTTAATTTACATTAAAAAACATATTTTAAGGCTGTAGTTAATCAAATATACCTGAGAGGATTTTAGCACCATTCCTAATGTTTTTCAGCACCGTCATTGCCCCGTTAAAATACTGTTTATTAAACCCTTTAAATGACCATGGTTAGAATTTTTATTATTTTCGATAAGCATCATCTCTCTTATGTTGCTAATCAGGGTTCCCTGTCTTTTGATTTCAGTATCCATTACCGAAATCTGTTTTTTTTGGTCCTCGATTTCTTTATCTCTTAAATGTATTACTTCATCGTTGTTTTCAATTTGAATTTTGAGATCCTCCATATTTTTGGTCATGGTATTAACTGTTTCATTCATAGTTTTTAACAATGCGACTTTTTCTTCGATTTTCGAGTTTAGTTCGTTTATGACCTCGTTCTTAGTTTCAATTTCTTTTTTACTTTCTTCGCACTCACTTCTTATTTTTTGGATGGTTTCTTTCAATGAATTCAATTGGATATTATCAGCTTCGAGTTCTTCCCTTTGCTCAATAATTTCGTTTTCTAGTTTTTGACTTGCAATACTGTGTTGTGTCTCTTTATCATTTAGCATATTCTCTTGGATGTCGATTCTATCTTGAGTAACTGTTAACTGGTCCTGTAAGTCCTTATTAATGTTTTTCAAATTAATCATCTCGTTATTTTTCCGGAGAAGTTGGCTGATTTCTTCATCCTTCACACTTATCACCTTTCTTTTTACTAAGATTTGAGAATCAGCAATGGCCAACTCAGCCTTCAAGCCCTCAACTGTTCTTATCAAGTAGTTGACTTTTTCTTGCAGTTCACCATTGAGGGCGGCTTCTTGCTTTAACTGTTCGTAGTGATCGACAATGGGCTTAAGAACTTGAGAAAAGTGGTCTACTGGCGTTGCGTCGATAGGAGACTGCTTCATGAAAACGAAAACCGAAATAATCACTAATACTCCAGGCCTCATATTTTTTAAGATGAGTGGCAGTGTAGACTCGGAAACGAACTGAGCTCACAAAGAAGCATTGCAATGAATTTATTTGCAAAACTCGCGCAGACCTTACTTTAAAAAAATCCCTCGTACACAGAAAATTGTTGTTTCTTTTCTTTGAAGAAATACTATTTCTTTAGCAACTGAAATAACAAAACGTATTAAACGAACGAAAATAGTGTTGTTTGTAATAAAACGCAACGTATACCAAAAATTCTAACGTTATATATTCAATATTCAATAAAATTTGTTGTTTTCGGCTTATGTTCCTTCAACGTCTTTTTAAATAAACGTTGTAGTTATAGGTGGTGTTAAGTTTAGACCCGAACCAAAAACAAAATTATATCAATATGCGACATTTCAGTGAAACTAATGGTGGGTATAATATTAATCGATACATCGATACTTTCATAGATTTTCGACTCATCCCTATCGAAAGTCCAATTCAAAAAAAAAATTCACGTGCGGGTTTGCCTAGCGGTTATTCATCTTGTTTTTTGTTAAAAGTTGCCGAATCCCGCAAGAAAATGTCGACCCTGGCATCTCCACTCTCCATAGCTGGCACCCGTCAATCGGGCGCATCGGTGCGCACACAGAACGGTGAGAATCTCAAGGGTTTGTCAACATCTGCGATGCGTCTGCCGGCAGAGCACGTTTCTGAGTCACCGGCTGGTCACGCACCCCACAGAGAATGTTCCGGAAGAAAATCGCGGAAAGCTGTTCCTTGGGATGGATTAAGTTACTTAAAGAAGCGCCAAACATAGATGGCTAAGAGTTCTTGTAGACATTCCCCTGCAAAGTGAGGTTATGACTATATCCATGATTCTGTGTCTTTTCAGTTATGGCCGCTCTGTCCATATCGAACATCGTGAAGAGCTCCCTGGGCCCCGTGGGCCTGGACAAGATGCTGGTGGACGACATCGGTGATGTGACAGTGACCAACGACGGCGCCACCATTCTGCGACTGCTGGAAGTGGAGCACCCGGCTGCCAAGTAAGTTGGTTGTCAATGAAAACGCTTTCAATAAGCCTAACCGTTCTTACTTTAAGGGTCCTGGTTGAGCTGGCTCAGCTGCAGGACGAAGAGGTCGGCGACGGCACTACTTCAGTGGTTATCCTCGCCGCCGAGCTGCTTAAGAACGCCGACGAGCTGGTCAAGCAGAAGATCCACCCCACCTCCATAATTTCGGGCTACCGCATTGCCTGCAAGGAGGCCTGCAAGTACATCTCAGAGCATTTGACAGCCCCTGTGGACGAGTTGGGCCGCGACTCACTCATCAACATTGCGAAGACCTCGATGAGCTCCAAGATTATTGGTGCAGACGCGGAGTTCTTCTCTGCCATGGTGGTGGATGCCGCCCAGTCAGTGAAGATAACAGATCCCCGTGGCCAGGCCGCCTACTCCATCAAGGCTATCAATGTGCTGAAGGCCCATGGCAAATCTGCTCGGGAGTCCGTGCTGATCCCCGGCTACGCCCTGAACTGCACCATCGCCTCCCAGCAGATGCCCAAGAAGATCGTGAACGCCAAGATCGCCTGCCTGGACTTCTCGCTGCAGAAGACCAAAATGAAGATGGGCGTCCAGGTGCTGATCAACGACCCCGACAAGCTGGAGGCCATCCGTGCCCGCGAGCTGGACATCACCAAGGAGCGCATCAACATGATCCTTGGCACCGGCGTGAATGTGGTGCTGGTCAGCGGTGGCGTCGACGACCTGTGCATGAAGTACTTTGTTGAGGCCGGAGCCATGGCTGTGCGCCGCGTGAAGAAGAGTGATCTGAAGATCATTGCCAAGGCCACCGGCGCCGCCTTCCTCACCTCGTTGACCAACATGGACGGCGAAGAGAGCTTCGATGCCTCCATGGTCGGAGAGGCCGCCGAGGTGGCACAAGAGCGCATCTGCGACGATGAGCTCATCCTCATCAAGGGCACAAAGGCGCGGTGAGTAAAGGTCTCCGCGGCAAATATAGTCCCAAGTTTATATCGAATTTTCCCTTTCAGTGCTGCTGCCTCTATTATCCTGCGTGGTCCCAACGACTTTTACTGCGATGAGATGGAGCGGTCCGTCCACGACGCCCTGTGCGTGGTGAAGCGCGTGCTGGAGAGCAAGAAGGTGGTGGCCGGTGGCGGTTGCGTGGAGGCCGCCCTGTCCATCTACCTGGAGAACTTTGCCACCTCGCTGGCTTCCCGCGAACAGCTGGCCATCGCCGAGTTCGCCAAGTCATTGTTGGTCATTCCCAAGACGCTGTCCGTAAACGCGGCCAAGGACGCCACAGACTTGGTGGCCAAGCTGCGCTCCTACCACAACTCCAGCCAGACGAAACCCGAGCGCTCTGACCTCAAGTGGACCGGCCTGGACCTTATCGAGGGTCTGGTGCGGGACAACAAGAAGGCTGGCGTTCTGGAACCGGCCATGTCCAAGATCAAGTCGCTGAAGTTCGCTACGGAGGCTGCTATCACCATTTTGCGCATTGACGACATGATTAAGCTGAATCCCGAGGACAAGAGCGGCAAGAGCTACGCAGATGCCTGCGCCGCCGGCGAGCTGGACGGTTAGACATTCTCCTCATCGAGCGAAGGACACTTCTACTCTGTTAGGCATTTAATTTTAATCAATCACTCACTTTCAATTGTCGCTTCATTTGATTGTAACAACAATTTAATTGTGTTGCGCTTTTGCGATCTGTATTAACACCGCACATCCGTAATCCTTTCTCATCCACGCTTCAATGTATAATAAATTAAACTTCAGAATACGCTGAGGCGCAAACTAAACTTTAGGGAAATGGTTTGTTATTTCGGGAGAGGGATCTTACAAAGAGCAGAAGAGAGCTGGCCGAAGAGCGGGAACTCCTATAAATAGCGTATGCATCTATTTGGTCTATTAATACAAAAAGAAAACACAACCCAAAGGCACGAAAACGCACATTGCTCAACGAGTTTTTTAGATTTTAAAATTATTCTTCAATAAAATGGCCGATAACAACGAGGAGGGTGCCGTTGGTGGAGACCTGAACAACAATATCACAGATAATGGCCGGGAGGAAGTGCATCTCCCGGGCCAGTCGCAGAACGAACTGCTGGACATGGTTTTCTCGTTGGAGAGCGAAAAACAGGCGCTGCTAGAGGAGTCTCGCAAGCGGATCGGCGCACTCCGCAAAGACTTTGAGGTTAGTTGACCCGTTTCCAGGGGCTGCACCCATCCAATGACACTGATTGCAGGAAGCCAAAGTGGAGAACGAGCGGCTGAAGCGAAGAGTGGTCCAGTTGGAGCAGTCCCTCAAGCAGTCCGTGATGCTGGGCGGCACAGATGCACCCAAGTCCCGGCAAGAGCAAGAGGAACTGCTCCTCAAGGCCAAAACGCTGCTTTTCGAGAAGACCAAGGTGAACAAACAGCAGGAGCAACAGATTGCCGTGCTCAAGACTCAAGTGGAGACGGTGAAGGACGTGCTACAGGTGACCAAGGACATGCTGCAGCTTAAGAACGCCGAGTGCGAGCACACGCAGGCTCGTCTGGAGAAGAGCCAGCTGTGGATCAAGGCGGAGCAGGATAAGTGTGCGATCACAGAAAAGAAACTAGCCATTTCGAAGGGAGTGTACGACAAACTGCGCTCGGAATACGACACCCAGTCCAAGATATTCAAGGTGCGTTTCTTTTTCAGCAAGCTTATAATTTAAGATTCATGTTCCTCTACCCCTTTTTAGGATTTAAAGTCCGCGTACGAGCAGAAGCTAAAGGTTCTTACCGTGGCTTTGGAAGAGGCCAAAAAGTAGCTGAACGATTTAATAAACTATGTAAATTAAATGCACACATCTCGTTCATGGGTTTAATATTTTAATGCTTTATCTGTCTGTCGTCCTGCGAGTTCCTAGGAGCTCTGGGTGGTCCCCGGCTGAGACTGCTGTTGGAGCTGGGCCTGCAACATCTTGGCGGCGGCCGCCTGCTTCACTTCCAGCACACCAATCACAGAGTTGAGGAATCGCGTCTTCTGCAGGTGGATCTTTTCGATTTTCTCGATCTGCTCCTGCACGTACTCCACGCGCCGCTTGAAGTAGTCCTTGGAGCCATCCAGATCCTGTTTGAAAAACAGATGGCAGGTGAAATTAAGCAGATGGTCAGATAAATAGGCGGGGCGCGCAAACCTTTTCGATGTAGTAGCCGGTGCCGATATCTATGACAAAGTTGTTGAGATCCTTGACGCGTCCTGGCACATACATACTGCTGGTCAGGGGCACCAGAATCTGGCGGTTCTCCCAGTTGGGCTGGAACGTCTCCAGTGCCTCGTAGGAGCCAGCGTATTTACCCTTGCAGACGTGGAGCGTCGACAGTGAGTCCTGAATATTGGTCATCTCCTGGGAATCGTAAAAATCAATGGGTTTTTAGAAGCATGTGCCATTTGCAGAAGCCCCTCCGCCAACACCGCCCCCCTTTCCTATCACTGACTCATAGCATGTGGGTGTGCGGAGCTTACCTGCTCGAACTCCTGCTTGATCTGCATCAGCTGGTCCGGACTCAGTTTAGTCAGGTCGATCACATCTGTCTTGCCAGGAGCGCTCGTGGTGGCGGCCATCGTTTGTGCTTTAGTATACAATTATTAAAATGTAATTCCAATTTTATTCCGACTTGCCGCCGGGTTGCCACCTTATCTAGTTTTGAGAGTGCTGCCACCCTTTTCGTTCAACAACTTCGCAAGGGTTGACACCTCTTGCAACGAACCGGAACCAGATGCTTGGCGCGAACTTCAAATTTTTAAGCAATTCAATGGTAAATTGCAAAATAAAAATTAATGTAAGGGACTTTGAGTTTTACTGTTTAAATATTTCTAAATATCCACGAAAATAACTAAGCCATGACATTTTTCAATTATATTTTTATTGTATTTATTATATGCAATGTTATAATTTTGTGTTTTTTGTCAGTCATTCTGTATTTGTATGCGTTTTACAATTTTGTTTTTGGTTTCCTCGTAAATTATAAAATCTAACACAAAACAAAGCAATTTCTTTAACAATCACTGCCGCTACATATACATACACGTTACAATTTGTTAAATATATATATAAGTAGGCACAGCTCAAGCGCCGTGCGTCCAATACATGTTCATATACATATTCTCTGTTATATGGGGGTGTGTGTGTGTCGGTTTATATATATGTATAGATTAGATAACAATGATATTAAGCCTAAGTAGAAGTAAGTTTTAGTACCGATACTCGCGATCGTTCCTCGCTCCTCGCTACTTTCGCTCCCACTTGCACCCACTGCTCCGCCCATCCTTGCTCTATTACGTTACATGCTTTAACTATTTTACTGATACCCATACAACTAACTGTACTCGTCCTTCACGGTCCTGTCACTATATCATACATACATAACATTTATCTTGATTTGCTTTTGATCTCTAATAAAATGTAATTCATTTGAAAACAACGAAGAAGATTTTGCATTTTGGGGCGGGTCGATTTGATATCTCGATCGCGGATATATTTAATTCCCGTTCCGTTTCGGTTTCAATATCGTGTGCTCGCTGATAAATCGCAAGGCAAATTTGTATAATTAGTTATATTTAATTCGGTTTTGGTTTTCTCTTGAATCGAAATGAATAAACGTTAGTGGTTTACATTAAATGCAGAGTTTTCATTGTGCAGCATTAACATTGTGAAGAGATAGAGAGAAAGTTGTCGGGAGAGAGTGGTTACATATATAAGTGGGAATGGTTTTGGTTATCAACAGCGTTTAAAATTTGTGGTTTCTCGTTTGGATTCATTATCAAATCGAAGGGACGTAATACATAATAATCATTGTTTGTTAATCGTATATATTTGTTGTATAGATGTACATTTATAAATAGTATAGTTTGGATGTATGCGTGTATGTCTTGTATAATATAATTGTGTTTGTCTGCCTATGTACTGTACTGTACTGTACTGTATGTACTGTGTTTCGCTATGTACTTGTATTTGTAATTGTCCTAGGTGTTCATTTCAGCTAGATTCGCTAGTTTGTCTCGTGTTATCGCTTTCGCATCCTTTTGTATACAAGTTAAGGGTTTAAAAAACTCGAAAATATATCAAAAGTTTCTTGAAATGCAGTATATATATGTTTTTTTAGTTGTTAAATATATATATTCGTGTATATATAGTACTTTCCTAGGTATATACAGCATACCTCGCCTTGGTTTCCTTTAAGAATTTGAGAGAAGTATGTCCAATAATTTCGCTAGTGTTCGAATGCGTGAGTTGGTGAGTGTGTGAGTGATCGTGAGGCTGAGTGTGCGTGTATTAGTAAGTATATCGAGTGTATATAGGTATTTTGTATATATCTAATTCAAAATGATACACTAATTGGTATTGATAGTGAGACAAAATTTGAATATAGCGCACTAAAATGATATATGCGATTATATGTGTATACATAATTCAATGGCGGCTCGCTGAAAATCGAATCTTGCTCTGTATGTGTGCGGGTGTTTCTGTGTGGGTGTAGGCGTGTGTGTGTGTGTCTGTGCTAGTGACTGGTGACTGCTGATTGTGTATACGTCACGTTGGCTTCGAAAAATACGCTTAAAGCTGCTATAATACTGTAAAATTGTTGCTTGATTTCCTCGTTTATCGACGGTAAAGTAAATGTTCGCTCACATTGAATAGCAGTTTGTAGTAGAAAAGCTAGGTAGGTTCGCTTCAGTGTCTTAGAGTGTTTTAGAGTGTGGCATGTGTGCGTGTGTGTGTGTAGTGTGTGGTGTGTTCAGTGTGTGATTGTGTCTTGTCTTTTCCTTGATATGTCTGAGTTCATACCGCCACGCAGGTCGGTGACAGTATTTAGTCTCAAATACATATAAAAAGTATATGTGTTGGGCTCGGGAGTGCACTATGTTGAATTTGACCCGTTTTTGTGGCCAAAACTCATTTTTCGCGAGTATGCAAATTTCCGTTTTTTTAATTTTACTATGTTGAGAAATGATCAAATTGCTATATTGTATACCTCAAATGTTAATTTAACAGTGTAGTGTTAAAATAACAGCTGTTTAAGTCAGCTGTTGCAAGCGCTCACCACGTGCTTTTTTAAATGTTAAATTTGTGGTGCAATTTCAAATTGGCATATCTCTCACAAAAAGTCATCAATTAATAAAAATCAAAATGAATATTATTTCTTCAGGTTAGTACTATGTGTTGATACTAATATGTTGCGTGTTTTGTTCGTATTTTTCTAACAATTTGTATATTTAGCAAGTGTTGTCTCCTTGTCACTTTTGGAAAAAAAGTTGAACTTTCCAAAAGGTTTTAAAAAAAAGGTTCAAATTGTATCAGTGAGTGTCCATATACATGTTGTAGATCTTTCAATTCTGAATTCAAAAAATATAAGCTCATTATGCGTTTTTTGCGGTTTTCTGCGTAATTTGAATTATTAGGGAGCATATATTAGGAAGAATACATAGAATAATACAAAAAAAAAAAAAAAAAATTTTTTTGTCTTGAATACCTTCCATATTTATTATCCGATTTGGACCAAATTTGCAGGACGCATTTGAAATAGGACATTTATAATGTGTTTCAAAATTGGGGTCTCTAACTTGAAAATTGCTTAAGATATTCGTTTTTTTTCCATTTCTGTGGGCGGAGGAAGGGGCGTTGACACGCCCACTTTTCTAAAATACGTTCCTATAGTAATAACATTCATTATACAAGCAACCTGCATTCAAAAATCTTGTTAATTTCAAAATTTTTAATTTTGGCCACAAAAACGGGTCAAATTCAACATAGTGGAGTGGAAGGGACTAACACAAAGTCGCATCGAGTTGCTGCACGCAAACGAAAAAGTCGCATCACGTATACGTCAACCAAGTCGTGGGTGTCTCTACTGTGTCCTCCGTATCATATTGGTTTAGTTATCCATTTAGATTTATCTCATTTACATTTAACTAATTAAAGCCGGTTTCAATTCAACAAACAATCTGCAGCATAAATTCTTGCACTCCTCGTTATTATTAGTATTATTATTACTGTAGTCAACGAATGTTTGTCTCCTACGTTTACAGCACCACATTTTGTAACTTTACACGCGAAGAAAAAACCCATTCAGAACCCCTCTGCGTTCCTTTACGTTTACATATAAATATATATTTAAGTAGGTTTATATTGAATTTCTGCTAAGTTGTTTAGTGGTTGTTTTTTTGTCGCTAGAAGATCTGCAGTTTATTGGGTTTCCTCGTTCGAACTTTCAGTAGCATACTTTGTGGCGAAATATTTTACACAATTACTTGATTGGCTAGTGGCATAATTTATCGTAACGCTGTGATATATATAATATATATAGTTAATTCGTTTAGTGTAATACGCTTATTCGCTGATGTCTGTTGTGGCTGCTCTGCTCTCGTTTGGTAGTGGTATCTCTATTAGCAAGTCTTGAGTTGAAGCTATAATTTCTTAGGCGTAATCTAATCGTTACTCTCGGGGTGAACCAATGCTCCTGGCCAGATGCACTTGTCTAAAGTATTCGCGTGTCTAACTTGCTGCTGCTGCTAACGTTATCAGCCGTCGTATGTATTAATCGAATCGCGCTGCGCATGGCGCCTCCTACTGCTCCTATTATTATCCTTCTGTCCGTCCGTTTGTACACCCAGTTTTCGACTGTGTCCGCGTCTAATTAACGTTATGAGGCTGCTAAATAAATATATATACTCGTATTTATATTCGCTTATGTGTTTCTGTATCTGTATTCCGTATCTTAAGGGGGACTTTCACTTTTCGGCTCGCTTTGCACTATTTGCATTTATTGCTAATTTGACGATTCCTCCTCCGGGCGACCTGACACATTAGGTCGCCTTACACATACCACTCCTTGACGTCCTTGGAGTCGCGCTTCTTCGCCTTGGGCTGCACCAGTCCGGCCATCTGGGGTCGTCCATCGCTTCCGTAGCCCAGGGACCCACTTCCGCTGGACATCATGCCCCCGCCACCACCGCCGCCGCCTCCGTTTCCGTTTCCGTTGTGGCCGTTGTGCATCTGCTGCTGGTGGTGCTGCTGCTGGCCCGACCCGCCGCCACCACCTCCCTGGAGGTGGTGCTGCCTCTGCTGGTGGTACGATCCGTTGGTGCTGGTGTTGCCCAGCAGGGCCGCGTTCGGGTTGTGCGACCCGTAGGCCGCCGCCTTCTCGCTCTCCGTCTTGTAGCCGCGGTCCCCGTTGGACTTGAGCCACAGGACCAGCAGGATGACCAGCACCACCGCGATGAGTATGCCCGCCACGATGCCGATGATCATGGCGGTGCGCTCCTCCTCGATCGAGTTGATCCGCCCGCCCTTGCCCTTCGGCCGGTAGTTGTTCATGTTGGTGTTGTAGGTGTTGCCGCCGTAGGGTCCGTACGGAGGAGGGTCCTGCGGCGGGATGGGCGGCGGAAGCGGTGGCATGTGCTCGTCGGGCATCTGCATGCGGTCGTGGTCCTTCCTGCCGGATCCGCCCAGTCCGCCACCCGCCACGTAGATGTCGTACGGCGTGGTGTCCCTCTCCGTGACCGTGCTCCTGATCTCCGGCGGCGGAGTGGCCTGCGTTGTGGTGGTCGTCGTGGTCGTGGTGGTGGTGCTCGTGCTCGTGCTGGTGCTGCTGGTGGTGGCACGCTGCGTGGACGTGGTGGCCGCACTGCTCGTGGTGCTCACTTGCCCCGGAGTGCTGCTGCTGCCCGATCCTCCGCTGCTGCTGCTGCTCGACTGGGTGGTGGCGTAGGACGGAGTGCTGCCGCTGCTGCTGCTGCTGCTGCTGCCGTGCTGCTGCTGCTCGGTGGTCACGTCACTGCGTCCCGTGGTGGTGATCGTGACCATCTCGTTGTTGGACTCTGCAAGCAGTCGGTTGCGGTTTATTAAAGTGTTCTCAAGTGGGTGCTCTTAGCGTATGTTTGTTGCAAGTGTGTGCGTTAAGTGGTTTAGTATCTATCCTAGTTGGAAGTCATTCCCCAAAAACACTAATTTGTAAAATACTTCTTATGAATTCATTTAAAATAAATTCCAATGAGTCAAAAATTAGTTTGTTGTTCAGTTAATGTATGGTAATCCCTCCCAAAATCATTCGAACCGCCAGTTGTGCTTTGCTTTTCATAGTTTATTCAACACAGTTAGAGAGGATAGAGATTTGTAGATATTGAGAGATATGTTGAGGTGTGTCATTCTTGTTTTTTGGGTGCTGGACATTCGATCTTTTCGCACGATATGTACAAATTGGAATTGGAAGAACGTTAGAACAATGCAATCGAGAATCGAGGGAATAAATGTGAAGGAGGAGGAGGAGGTGGAGGAGGAACAGGAGTGGGAAAATCACATCTTACACTGCAGACGCTGCTTTAATCGCTACTATGTACAAAACATATACATCTTCGATCGCCCGATCATAGCATATACAGATATGTGTATATATGCTATATCGAGTGCTTGTAACGCTTAACCCTTATCGCTTATCGCTTAACGCTTTCAACGCTCTTAACCCTCTGACTCAACCGAAAACCCTCGCCAATGATCGGTGTGGTTGTTGTTGTTCTGGCTGTTGTTGATGTTCTTGTAGTTGTTGTTGTTGTTGTTGCATTATTTTTAGTTGCTGTTGCTGGTGGTTTTAGCTCTCGTTAATGCTAGAGTTAGTTAGACAGTTAGACAGAGGTCTAGTTGGAAGCTTAGCCTAAGTGCATTGCTTGGTTGCTTTGGTTGCTTTGCTTATGGGAATTTACAGAGTATCCATGGCGCGATCACAGTCAGAAATATGAAGGCGATTTCACATTCTGAAAGAGACACATAAGGCGTACTCGTTGTCAGTTCAAATTAGAAGGCAATCGATCATCGGCAACGGGTGGAGATGAAGGATATAGGCGGCGTTTGGTTGCGATTCTTTTCGTTTTTGTTTTCTGGGCTGATCTGAGCTGAGCTGATCTGATCTGAGATGACACGGCGATCTGATTGATATTGGTTTTGGTTCTGGTTGGGTTGATGCATTGCGAGGGGTGCGATAGAGGCGATACGTTATATATATGATCATATATATATTTAGATATTCAAAGCTGTTTGGCTGTTTCAATGTGGTTGTGTAAGCGGTCAAAGCACTGGCGTTGCATTGGCATTAACCTAACTTCCTCGATCTCCGTGGAAACATTGAACAAAACTGAAAAGGCAAAGCGTCACTAGCTAAACGGTTATGCGGTTAAATATGTGGAGCTGTTACAGATTATAGGAAACAGCTCCAAATCGAACTTGAACTCGAACTCGAACTCGAACACAACTGAACCCACAGCTTAATCGTTACAACGTTCTCTACTTTACTATGGCGTGAACACGCTGCGTATACTTAACTTGAATTTCGAGTGGGACTAGCTAATGTCTGTGATGAAGAGTGTGTGTGTGTGTGTCTGGTGTTAGCTGTTCAGTGTCTTTCCGTGATTGATCCAAATGCCAATGACAAAATGAGACCAACACACACAGCTGCAACCACTCACCTGATCCCCTGGCGGTGCTCGTCGAGGTGAACTGCTCCGTGGTCTCCCCGTAGTCGCCGGACCCGTGGACGCAGTCCTCGTCGTCGCAGGCCCTCTCCGTGCCATTGGTGATGCCTCCGCCTGCGCCTCCGCCATTCCCGCCGGTACTCAGGCTGTTCCCTTGCTGGGAGGTGGTTGTCTGCTTGGTGGGCGGCACGTAGACCGGCGTGATCAGATCGTCCCCGCTTCCCGATTCGAACGGCGGCGTGCACTCGTCCTCGTCATCGCCGCGGCATCCGGATCCGGCTCCCGAGAAGATCAGGTCGTCCAGCGCACCAGGATAACCACTTGCCGGCGTCTGTCGAGTAGAGTTCAAAGTCTAATTTTACTTCAGTTGATCTGGCGGCAGCCGGGCCAAGCGATGGTTATTGTATGGGGCTTGTTAACTGGATTAGTAAGTTGGTTAGGTGCTGTTTGATTAAGTATAAATGAGTGTGGGTGTCAGCACATGAAGCCAAAGGAGATCGTACCAATTAATATACTTGAGAAGGTATTTTCTTCTTAAAGAAAATAATAATATACTTTAGGTATATTTAATCAATTCTTTTCAAGAGTTAAAGAGTCAGAAAGTAAATAGGGATAACATAAACAGTTCGAAAATAACTCATTGTAATATTAGAATCTCCTTTGGCTTTCACACACTTTTTGTTCAAGTATATTTATGTTTGATGTGAGCTTTGATTAGAGTCATGCGGCATAAGTGCGACGAGTTCTAGTGCATAGTAAATCGTATCAGTTTATATAGCTGAATATATATTCACAGTTATTGGTTAATGTGCTGTGCAGCAATGGAAACAAATTGAGGAAACTCAAGTGGCTGGTTAGTGGAAAATCTGTCAAATAGTTTTTTTTTTTTTATTGGTGCGTGAAAAGCGGTACAGTAAAAACGAAGGCACCCGAGGGAAATCATAAAGTGAACTCAAATGCAGCATTTACACTAGTTTATACAGTTAGTTAGCTAATACTTTTGGTTTAGTTAGAACGGTTAACGTTTGTACTGAATGTCGAACCGAATTTCCCGGATTTGATTATGATGACGATGACTTCAATGTACAGATGTCGTTACATTCGAAACGGTTAACGGTTAACGGTTATGCATTTTAAGTATCGGGAATGTGCTTGGGGAACTGTACATCATTCGAATCGAGCATCGAATATTGAATTTCGGAGGTGCAATCAAATCATGTCAAATCAATTGGGAAAAGGGGTTCCACAAACTCATGAAGCGGATTAATACAATAATTTGGTTAGATTTTCGTTTTTGTTTTCTTTTTAGGTTTTAATCAAAGAAAGAATTTTGAATAAACTTGGTTTACGATGAGAAAAATACTTGGAAAGTTGAAAGTTGAGAGGAATTCAAATAAAATTTCAAATAAATTCCCTAACCTGCTGCATTCTCTGCAGATCATTTCTATCTAATACTCCAGTTACCAATTGAACATCTCCGCGGATGGTGATAAGGGGGTCGCGCTCGACGGCCAAGTCCAGGATGCGCAACTTGTTCACCGAGAGCCCGGCGATCACGCCGGCGAACGGCCGCTCGATTCGATTGCGACCGTTCCGGCTGAACTTGCCGCCGACCTGAACGTTGGACATGGTATTGAACACGGTCGAGTGGTGGCCTGCAAGAGCGGTTGGAGAAGGTCGGAGATCGTTAGACACCCCCGGCGGAGAACTATCCCCTATGCACTTACTCTGCGGCGTGAGCGCCTGCACGTTGTAGTCGTCCAGCTGGAGCGTGGCGTTGCCTCCTTTGCGCTGGAAGCGCACCACGTGGTACGCGTTGTCGTTCACCTTCGTCCCGATCTCGCCCAGCGGCAGGTCCACGCTCCCGATGTTGTACACCATGAAGATATTGCCCTCCACGATCTCCAGCTCCATGTAGTCCTGCGTGGTGGCGCTCTCCACCCGCAGGAGCACTGCGTCCGGCCGGGTGGTGATGAAGCCCAGCGCGATATTGTCCTCCTCGGTGTCCGCCTGGGCGTTCTCGGGGAAGGTGTACAGCACCATGCCCTTGTTGTTGCCAAACTCATAAGCAATCGATTCTGGAAGGATATAGGTAATTGATTTGGAATTAAGTGAATGTATTTTAAGTGAAGGTATTTTAAGTGAATGTATTTTAAGTGAATTTATTTTTCAATGTTGGAATTAACTTACCATCATAGCAGGTGGGGCCAGTGTAGGAGGTCATGTCGCACTCGCAGGCATACGCGTTCCACTGCTGCACACAGTTTCCGCGATTCGCACAGGCATTCTGGCTGCACTTGGTGGGTCCCTCGCATCCGCTGACCACCAGCGAGCTGGGCACCACCGCATCACTGGTCAAAGAGGGAGAGGCGTCTCCCAAGTCCAAGGAGGCCAGGCAGCCCTCGAAACCAGACCTCGAGGAAATCGAGGCCGGCAGCTTGGAGTACATGTCCTTGAAGACGCCTCCGATGTACAGGATGCCCGCCAGCTCCAAGTGCATGTTGTTTCCAGTCAGACTGATGATCTCGAAGGAGTCGTCCACGGTGAGGGTGTGCGTCTTGGGTCCGGGTCGCCGGATGCTGACCTGGTGCCAGCGGTTGTCGTTCATGTGGATGCGCGACTTGTCCCTCATGGTCACCGGGCCGTCGCCCAAGTCGAAGGTGTAGTGGATGTGGCCGTTCACCAGCTCCACGGCCACGAAGTCGTTACGGCGTCCTCCGTTGAAGACCAGCAGCCCGTTGGGCTCCACCGTCTTGAAGCGGAAGTCGATGGAGATGCTGTTGTAGGCCTTCAGCATGGCGAGTCCCACGTAGGAGTGCTTCGAGCGGAAGGTGGCCGCATGGTACGGTTGTCCCGCCGGGGAGTTCACGAAGCGGGCCGTCAACTTGAAGGTGGCGCTGGGCAGAGCGGAAAGCTCCGGACCCAAGCTCTTGACTATGTCCAAGTAGCTAGTGGGAAAACCAACAAATATTTATAACATTTTACAAAACAAAATTGTCCTTTCTTTACTAATTGAAAAATCTTATGAAAGCACGTAGTTTATTAGAAATGTAAAGCACTTTAAAGCAACTCATTCATTTTTGTTGTTCATAAAAAATACCAACCGCTGCCCGTTGAACACGAGACCTTGCATCTGGCCAACGAAGTTCGGCATGGTGGAGGTCATCTGGATCTCCTCCTCCGCGTGGAAGAGCCCGCCCAGGTGGATCGAGCGGATCTCCATGGTGCTGTGGCGACCCAGGATCGTTTCGGCTGTGGAAGGAATATTTCCAAAAACAAGAGATGGATAAAACTCGGGGGCCTCGCCACGGGGTTTCTCTAGCCTGGATCGGCTTGCTCTAAGTTGTTGACTAGGCGGAGTACCGTTTACATTGGTTACATATGGTTATACGATCGGGATATATATATATATATATTGGTAGTATATGGAGTATAGTTGGTGACAAGAAGCACATACGCATATGTAGTCAAAGAGTATATAAGAGTATAGAGTAGATAATGCGGTTTTAGTAGACATAGATCTAGTTTTTGGTTCATAGATTGTTCAAGCATTTGTATTTTTCACTCGACAAGTGGCTGAATGTAGTTGGAATTCGATTTGAGTAATATTATTGTTATTTAGTTTGTTGCAGCTTGGTACATACTAAAGAAAGGTGCAGATTACAATACATACTGTACTGGTACGGATAGTAGTTTAGTAGTTGTAATTAAGACAAAACGAAATCGAAATCGATAATCGAAAATCGCTGCCACAGCGCAAACCAAAGGAAAGTAAGTAAAAGTAAAGAGTTCGCTAAGTAGATTAGATTAGGTTAGTTGGTGCGCATTTGGTTCTTGTTTACATACGAATATGCATTGGTTGACATTTGAGGAATACGAGTACGTTAATCTTTTCTTAGACTAGTTTGGTGTGTGAGATACATTTTCAATACGATTACGGTGGCGGTGACATTTCAGATAATTTTCATATTCATTTCTCAGCTGTGCGTGGTAACCGAGGAAAGTATAATTATGAGAGGGGCTTGCTGAGGCAACCTACGATCTAGGAATGGAAACTGAAAAGGTCAAGGGTTTTATCGGTTATAATCGGGGTAATTGAAAAGGAACGGAAAAACAATTTGGACTTTGCTTAACGACATTGAACTAAACATCGATGGGTATCGTATGGGTAAACTGTCCATGTTTCTCTGGTAATGTCAATGTGTTAATGTTATTCCTGTGCCCTATAGAGTTCCTTGAGTGGGTATGTGTGTTTTGCTAGGTTGTTTCTGTGTTTGAGTGTATGAGTGGGTGTGTGTGTGCGGCGACTACGTCTAAGTTAATAAGGGTGCATTAGCCTTAACGAGCGGCCACATTGCGCATACGACGCGTTGGCCCACCGAATGATTGACATCTTGACATGCAAATGACTGCGGCGACAGAGACAGAAACAGCCAGAGAAAGCGCAAGAGAGAACAAGAGAGAGCAAGAGAGAGAGAGAGAGAGAGCGAAAGGAGAGGGCAATGTGGTGGGTGGTGAGCGGAGGTCGAAGTAGGCCACTGTTGTTGCAGCTGGCAATTTGGCGCATTTACAGTTACTTATTCATACACTTGAATTGCTGAGTGGGGGCTGAGTGATACGATGCGATGGCGAACGATACGAAATACGATATACGATATAGCATATAGGATACAGTACGAAACAAAGATATATGTTACACTATACACTGTACAGGGCTTGGCCCGATTCCGGGTTCAGACTTGGTTCGTGAGCAGGTCATGCGGTTGGCTATATCATTCCCACTGACAGTCATTTGGCTTGTTAATTTATGGATTAGGTATAATCATAGTTTCATAGCTGCTGCTGCTGCTGCTGCTTGATTTTCAGGTGCTCGCATGCAAACGCGTCACGTGTGTGTGTGTGTTCTGGTGCAACGGTGCTTCGGAGAGTGTGGGTGTGTGCCTGTGCAGGTGTGCGAGACTTTCACTTGACGGTGTGTGAGTGTGTTTGTTTGTTCGAGGCAGGAGCAGGATCCGGCTATAACGAAAACCCTAAATAATTTCACATAAAAATATATAAAGAAAATATTGTCTTATCTGGTTTCCTATCGTTACTGAAATTTACTTTTATGTTTATTTAAGTTATTTATTAAAAAAAATGTTTGAAAACTTTTTATTGCACTATAGTTTTAGTCAAAGGTAAATGGTAAATGTTTAAAAAAATTCAAAATAGTTATAGTTATTTTTCAATTTAGCCTTCTCCATCGCCTGCCTTTTCGATTCTTCTTTTTCAGCTGGGTGTTTATACTTTTTTGGACACACTTACACAACACGAATCTAAATTTACGTGAGACACGTTAGGCTTGATTAGTTAGTTGCAATTTGGTTGCGGTTGCGGTATTGTTGTATTGATGTTTACGATAGTTGAGTTTACTTAACACAAAGCTAATTACATATTAAATGGTGCAAAATTACAGCCCTGGGCGCTTTCAAACATTGTTTTGCCCTCTCGTCTCAAGAAGCCGTGGTTAATGCCGTTTTCCAATGGCACTCCAGGCGCAATCGCAATTTTCCGATAGCGTGACTTTCATCGAGCGATTTGGGCAAAAAAATGTTTCCCCGAGTTCTTGCGTGTCGATTTTTTTCTCTCGCCTAAAACATGAAACGAAAAACGATATTGTACATTTAAATTATTTACGTTGCGTTCTCGTCTTTTTGCATTGCTCGCCTTACTCATTTTTGCTTTATTGCATTTATTTTTCTCACTTGGTTGCATTTCGCTTTTTCAAAGAAGGTCATTTAGATCACGTTTGTGATTAGGGAATTGCATTTGCATTTGACATTGTTACAAGTTGTTGTAGTGGTTAAACACCATGGTGGTTTTTTTTTCGCTGTTCTACATTCGGTAGACGTCTGAAACAAACACCTTTTAACGTTAACATACCGCACGTGTCGTTTAAGTTATGGTACAGCAATTATTTAAGTTATTTTCATTGTTTAGATTATCATAGGTCTGTAAACGAAAACGAAAACTCTTTTCCAAAAAAGTATTTACAGAAAATAAGATAAAACATAAAATGTACAAGTACTTTATTCTGTACTTAAGTTGTTGAGTTAGGCTTGGCTTGATTCGATTAAATCGGAAACTGAATGGTTGATTTTTTTTTTGTTGGAGTACTCTGATGAGGACTCAGATTCAAAACACAACACAATTAATATGCTCCCCAGGCCATTGACTCAACAACAAAGGGAAACGTAATTACCACAACTTTAATTAAAACCAAACAGTATAACTCGGTTATCAAGGACAAAACAATGTACAAGACAATCAATATAAGGGTATTTATAACACTTAAGGCTGAAACTTTACAGCTGTCCAACTTTCTTTGCTTTCGCTTTTACTCTTATTCGATTACAATACTTTCTGTGTGGGCTTAGGAATTGGAATTGAATTGTAATTGGAATTTTATTGGCAATCGTAATTGGGAAATCAAACAAAGTAAGTAAGTATCGCAAATAAAAACACAACATCGAGATGTTTGAAAGAGTTTCGAGAGGAACTTACAAGAGCAAAGTATATAAAAAATCATTACGAATGAGTTATTGAGTAGCAATCGAAGGCGGACCCTCAGGCGGGACCTTCGACCTTATATCAAGAGTATGTTATGGTAGAAACAAACTTCAGAGAGGCGTACAATGTGTGGAATGGTGTGGATGTGGAGCCGGGTGTCTTATGATGTTCAAACTATATTGCAGATGCTTAACGATGTTCAGAGAGATACAGAGCGAGGTAGACATAGGTGGATAGTAAGATAGAGCTGTCTAGATCAAATCAGTTCATCATCATCGGAGTAGGGAAGTTCGAGAAATGTGTCATGAGAAATGAGAGAGAAATAAACTTGCTAAATACTTTGTCAATTTCGTTGGTAGTTCTTTTTCGCTTGGATTTCAACTGCATTTCGTTTGGGTGTATTCGCATGTGTTCGTATGTGTGCGTGTTCGTGAGGCTGTGTTGGTGTGAGAATCGTTGTTAACTGAAAAGCTCTCAACTGAAAAAGTTTAAGTGGAACTTAAAAACGGAAGACGCGCCGCTGACTGCACTTTCCTTCCTTATTGATTTTTTCCCTCATTTCTTATTGTCCTTATCCCTTCCTGTATATTTTTATGAGGCTCTCCCTCGAGACTCCTCATCCTCAACTGCCCTGAAGCACCTTCACACACCTTACTGCTGAACGGGGGGCATTCCTACTTGAACTTGAACCTGCGTTCTGTGCGTGGAGCACCTTGCAATGGAAGCTAGTCGCTGGGGGGACACCCGTGGAGTTGGTAGGTTGTCGATTAGTTGGTTCATTGGTTGGTTGGTAAAAAAAACGACACGGCACGACACGTAGTAGGGCATAGATGTGCTGTTGATACATACATAACATACCCCTGACGGGGGGAGCCCCGTCGACCTGAAGCCGCAGATTGGAGGCTCTGCGCGAGAAGCGGATCGTGTGCCAGTTGTTGTCGTTCAGCACCGACTGGCCGGCCAGCAGGTTCTGCAAGGGATTATCCGTCAGTTGGAAAGCTGTCCCGAAGCCCTAGAAAATCGCCTTTTAACTTTCGAACGGCCTTGGCTTAAAAAATATGTGTGCTAAAGAAATTAACTGTTTAATTAAGTTGGATATCGTCGAACATAAAAGTGTAAGTAGTACACTCAATTAAAAACAACATTTTACAAGGTGCTGGAATAAAAAACCTCATTTAATACAAACAAAATTTTCCACCTGAAAATATAGCTTCAATTTCTGGAATACTTTGCTTACCCAAGGCAGATAGTTAAAGGCGATTTTCCAAGGTAAAGGACATATGTGATCAAGTTAGGCACCTTCCCCCGATTGACTCACCTTCTCGCGGTCGCTCAGCCGCACACTGGCCCGCACCCTTCCCGCCACGAGAGCGATCTCCAGTCGGTCCGGCGAGTTGGACTCGGCGCTGGTGAGGAGCAAAAGGCCCGCTGGTCGCGAAGTCTTGAACCGGATGACCAGCTCCTCGGTCTGCGTCTTGGTGCCCTGTCCGTTGCCCAGCCAGATGGTCATGTGCTGGCTGCCGTTGAAGGCCAGCGTGGCCAGCTCCCGGCCGCAGGTGGGTCCTCCATACAGGGTGGCCGAGCAGTCGCAGATGGGGCGGTTCCAGCCCTCCATGCAGGTGCCGCCGTTCAGGCAGGGATTCCCGTTGCACACGTTGGCCTGCACGTGGCACGATGGCTTCACGGAGGCTGCTCCCCAAGGGGATTGGGGTGGAGGGTTACGGGTTATCGGATACGGATTAAGTGCTGGCGTGACTCTTCACTCACCCGAATCCTGGACGCGTGCAAAGGCCGCTATATCGATCGCCTTGCCACTGAGCACCAGGTCACGCAAACAGCCCACGAATCCCTGGCGCAGGGTGGCCGTCCAAATGGCCGCCGGCCAGGCGACGCTGTTGTAGGCGGGGCCCACCCCGCCCAGGTACATGTGCCCGTCCAGCTCGAGGATGGTGCCGTCGCCCGGCGTGCGGAAGTCGTTCCACACCCCATCCACGCTCACCTTGGCGTCGCGTCCGTTCCGCCGGAGAATCAGGTCATGCCAGTCCCCGTCGTCCACGCGACGTCGCGAGGCGCGCACCTTGGAGGCTCCGGATCCGAGGTCTAGATGGATGTAGATGTGGCCATTTAGCAGCTCGATGGCAATCAAAACGGGCTGAGGGATAGCGAAAGTTTAAATAAGAAAAGTTTAAGCCACTGCAAATGTCAACTCACGTTCTTCGCTCTTGGTTGCTTGGATCCTGTGGCCAGGACTATGATGCCGTTGGGCTCCTTGGTGCGGAACTTGAAGCTAATGGAGCTCTGCTTGCCAGTTTCCCAAGGAGGCAAAACCTTAACAAAAACAAGAAAAATATTTTAAATAGTTTGCAATAAGTTATGGGGAATTTATAGCTTACCAAATGCGATTCCCTCGTGGTGAAGGTCACCGGATCCTGTGGATCGCCACTGGGGCACTGGTACTCCAGGTTTCCAGCCACCTGGATCAGCTTGGAGCCGCTCTTGGCCAGGTCGATGAGGTTCAGATTCAACGTGTCCGCCGAGAACTCCACCTTGCGCAAGCAACCCACGAAGTTGGTGTGGACACGGGCTCCCAGGAGAGCCCTCGGATTCACAGCTCCGCCCACGTAAACCCGCGAGGAGGAGAGCATGGTGAACTTGCCGGCGATGTGCGAGTGGTCCGTGTAGACATCGTCCACCACGGTGACCAGCTGGAGGGCAGGAAATCCCTGTTTAGCTTGGGATCTGTCTTAAATATTCGGAGTATACGCACCCTACAGAAACTGGTGATGGAGGAGATCTCCTGGATGCGGCGGTGCACGGTGACCTTGTGCCACTGGTGGTCGTCGAACCGCACCTTGGAGGGCTTGATATGCATCTCCTGCTTCCCGTTGGCCAGGCCCATGGTCAGGGAGACGCCTCCGTCCCGCAGCGCCAGGTTCAGATAGTCGGTGCCGTGGCCCGTGTAGAAGAGCAGGCCGTTCGGCTGGCGCGTGCGGAAGTAGAAGGATATGGCATCCTGGGCACTCACTATCGGCTCGGCGCCCGTCTGGCCCAAGTCGTACGAAAGGAACTGTGTACCGCGGAACGTGGCCTCCGATGGCGCCTTCTCCTTTTCGCAGTACTGGCCATCGTACTCGAGGTTTCGGCACTCGCAAATTGGACCGGAATCAGTGGATATGCAGATGCCGCCGTGCTGGCACGGGTCGTTCCGCTCGCAGGCATCGGTCGTGTTGCCCCGAACGCCCTAAAGGAATGTTAAAGATGGGGTCATATACGATGGGTTCATTGTACAGACGGTATTATATCAGATAGGGAGTATAGATGAACTCCTTTGGAATGGATATGTGATATAAATTGTAGCACTCAGTAGCACTTAATTAAGGTGGCAGATTAATAAGTTAACTCTCTTGGAAAGCTTAATATTAATGGGAAATCCTTTTAAAAGAACTCACCCTGAGGGGCCTTTCGCGGGCGGGCAGCTCGCCGTGGTCGCAGGGCACATCGCCGCACTTGATGTCGCGCTGCTGCTTGATCTCCTGGCGCCGGGTGGAGCCGCCCGGCTGATCCGCGTAGACCAGGTTCCGGATGGCGCCCCGGAACCGCGGCTCGAAGATGACGCTGGGCAGGGCGAGCAGCGCCAGCTTGCTGCTGTACCAGTTGGGCATGCCGCCCACGTAGACGTCCGAGTTGCTGGCGAACTTGCCGAACTGGAACTCCTTGCCCTTGGTGGACCGCTGCTGCGAGACGCCGTCCACGGTCAGCGAGGTCTGCTCGTCGTTCCGCAGGACCTGCACCTTGTGCCAGTGGCCGTCGTGCAGCTCGCGGCCCACGGTGATGATCTGGGCCCCGCCGCCCAGGTTGTATCGCAGCCGCAGGGCGCCCTCCACGAGCTTCAGCTCGAAGAAGTCGTAGGTGCCGCCGTCGTCGGTGTAGAGCACCAGTCCGTTCGGCTGCTCCGTCTTGAACTCCAGCTCGAGGGTCCCGTTCAGCCCGGTGTACCACTTGCGGAACGTGTAGAAGGAGTTCTGCGACCCGTCCAGCTGGAAGCCAGCGCTGAGGGTAACGAAGCTGGCCGCCAGGCTGACCAGCAGGGCGCTGACGATGAGCACGCGGTAGGAGCGCCGGTACTCCACGACCACCGGAGGCACTTGCTCGCCTCTCCGCCGGCGACGCGCCTTGTTGAAACGCAAGTCCGGGGAGGCGAAGGCGGAGCAGGATGCGGAGTTGGTGGAGGAGCTGGTGGCGGTGGAGCTGCTGCTGGGCAGGAGCCTCAGCTCCCGCTGCTGATCCCTGTCCATGTTCGGCCGAGTCCTGGCTGTCATGGCCGCAGGAGCATAGTTGTTATCCTGATATGTTGCACTATGTGGCGCCTTCATTCACACGCACACGGGCTCACTGTCACTCGGGCTCACCCACACAGAGGCACCTACGCACGTTGCGCGCGTAAACGTAAAGTGTCCTCTCCTCCCTCTCTCTGTCCTTGTCTCGCGTATTCCAGTCCTTGAGCGCGAGCTTTTCGCGTGTCCTTGTGTGGGTGTTACTCGACTATCCGTTTTATCCGCACTTGCTCAGAGGCAGCGGAAGAGCGTGAGAGCGCAACGGAGAGCGAAAGCTCGGCCAGGCGAAGTTGGCTGTGGCTGTTAACGGTACTCGGTCGGCTGTTAACGGCACTGCACTGATTACTCCTGGCTTTTTCGCCTGGTTTCTTGGTCCTTAATGCTGAGCACCTTGAGTTTTTGGCATTTCGTACACTTGATTTGCGTAATGTTTGGCAGACTAATTAGAAACGGGCACATATTTCGCATCGATACGGGTCAGACAACCGATGCTCCGACCGAGGCGGCTGTACTACCAAAACTGGGGGTTATGGCCTGGCCGAAAGCTTGCCGGATACCCCTGCCACCCGAAGTTGTGGCGCCCACGAACGCTCCAACGTACATGTACATACTAAAAATCGGAAAAAATTTTCACTGCATGTCGCGAATATAGGCGAAAAATTTTCTAAGCACCTCGCTGCGAATGGCCCCAAAAGGGCGCTTCACATTGCTGGTTTCCACAGCAAACTAATCAGTTATTTATGCGTATCGATTGATCTATTGATTGGCTACGATTTTACACACACTGGGATTTTTCAATTACACAATTATTTCGTAGAATATTCACGTTTTCTCTGTTGCTCTGACTTTACGTAACCGTTTCCACTGCCTTTCAGCACGACGCGTATTCGTTTTTGTGGTTGAATTTATTTTTGGAGATTTTTCGGTTCGATTTGGGGGGTAGAAAAATTTTGTGTGTCGAAATTTGCTACGCAGCACCTTCCGCTGCTCTTGGCTCCGATATCGATCCGCGCTGCATCCACGACAAGACTGAACTGCAATTTCAAACTTAATTTCTTCGCTGTGTTTCCAATGGATAACGAAAGCTCCCCCAGCTTATTCACAAAAAGCCATTGGTGCGGCCTGGGCGACTCGAAAAAGAGCGCTATAATTTATCTGTGAAGAAGGAACTAAGCAATTTACCTACTTCTTTTACTTTGAAATAAGATTAAAACGTTTGAAATAACCAAAACGCACAAATTTTAACGATTGATAAGTTATTTTCAAAGTCTCCCGACAAAGTATGCTATGAAAATCGCAGGGACCTTTCGCTTTCTGTGTAGTGTATGGGAATGCCAAAAATTAAAAGCTCGCTTACTTCGCACGAGGCATGCATATGCGTACTACTAACACACAAACGCACACACTCACACACAGACGCCAGCTGCCCACTCACACATGCGTAATGAGCGCACAGGACGCAGGTTCATAACCTGCACCACTAAAACGTATTAGATGGAAACCACTCACACACGCAAGCACGTTCAGCTGTGTGTGGGTGTCCTGTGGTCACACATTCTGTCACACGGACACCCACACAGACTCACTATCTCCGAGACGAACCGTGTAAATTCCTTGACATTTACTACGCAACTTCGACGACTCGGTGTCAAATTCGATTTGCATTCGCATTGGTAATGGAATGTGTGGTCTTGTACTGGCAACGTCTGTGTGCGTATGTGTGTTCGTCCTGCCCTTAAGCTTTCCCTTTTCGACCTAGGGAACAATTGCAAGGCCGTCGCCTCCATTAATCGTCGTCCTAGCTAGGACATTACTTTGAGCACACCAATCACGCACTGACCATTACTCCAGGGACTCTGTTCCCGGGCACTTACATTTTTTAATAATTTGTAATTTGTTAACGCACGCTAAAGGCTAAACAAATGCCAGCACGTGCTGTCCATTGTCCTTCGGAGCCGTGACGTTCGAGGGGACTAACAAGGACTGGGAATGCCAAAAGCTGGAGAGAAGCAAAAAGCTTTAATTTAAATAAGGCGGTATTCTATTCATCAGTCAGGCAGCACTTTAAAGCGCTTCTTAACTTCTTATGTTTCAAAAAACTCTCCACTATATTATTGCAAGGCATATAAGGGTTTTAGGCTTCCTGATTTTTTATAAATTGTTGGTTTAAATACTTTTTAAAATACGTAACGATAACGTTAACGTATTTGAATGGAATATTGCGTCACGGCGAGTGCAGCCACTCTAATCCGATCGTTTACTTACAGCTGTTCTGTTCTTCTTCTTTTTCGTTCTTATCAGGTGTTATCACCGAAACAAGTGCACTTTACAATTCGTGTGTAAAAGATTCAAACGATTTTCTGGACTTTTGAAGTGCTCTCGAGAAGCAACTAAGTTTGTTGGCCTACTCCAAAATCCCTGTTCGATCCCGCTTACGTAATGCTAGCACATTTGGGAAGGCGAATTGGTTTCCGTTCGGCCATTAAGGTGCGATTAATTCACTCGGAGCGAAAAGTACGGGTTAATGGCTCTGATTTGAACATTGTGGAGAGCGGCAGTGGAGAACGGAGTTTGCTTCTGATGCCCGGAGCGCTCGGTTCCGCCTGGACCGATTTTAAGCCCCAGATAGAGCAGTTGCCGAAATTGCTGCCGGAACACACGATCATCGCTTGGGATCCACCGGGTTACGGCAAATCGGTGCCTCCTCAAAGAAAGTTCGGACTGGAATTCTTCCAAGAGGATGCCCAGGCAGCCGTGGATTTAATGCGGGCTCTGGACAGGCCACGCTTTTCGATTCTTGGATGGAGCGATGGAGGAATCACGGCCCTCATAATCGCAGGTCGCCATTCGGAGGCTGTGGAGCGCCTCGCCATCTGGGGAGCAGGAGCCTATCTAAACGCCGATGAAGTTAAGGCTCTCCAGAACATCCGAGACGTGGCCAAATGGTCAGCCCGCATGCGAGAGCCTATGGAGAAGGTGTATGGCGTCGAGAGATTTCCCCAACTGTGGGCCGAATGGGTGGACGCCGCCTGCGCCTTTTATGACCAACGAGACGGGGATTTCTGTCGCTCCGAGGTAAAACAAATCAAGGCGCCCACTTTTATCTTGCATGGGAAAAAGGATCCCATGATAGCCGCAGAGCACGTTCCTTGGCTGAGGAAGCAGTTGCCAGAGGCAAAATATCACGAGTTTCCTGAAGGCAAGCACAACATCCATCTCCGCTACGCGGAGGAGTTCAACAAACTTGTGGCTGACTTTTTCAACCAAAAGGAGTAGTTCAACTATATATTCAGTCTCACATTGCCTTAAAAGTTTGATTACACTTTAAAAATCTGATTTATAAGCGTCTTTAAAAAGACCTTAGAGATATCAGAAATGGAAAGTCAACTGTCCAAAAGTCCAACATTGCATAAATAATAAATTCATATCTGGACTAAAGGAAATTGTTTATCTATACTATGAATCATGCCGAATTTAATTGAAGAATACCCATATCACTTAAAATATATGAAAGTGACAACTGAAGCAGAAAATAGATCGGCTTCAAGGTAAAAAAATATTGTATGTGTTTTATAAAATACTAAGTATGACTAAGAAAAGTAAACCAGACCAGAACTTTTTAATAAACATTTCTACGAAAATAAATTGAACTGTTGGAAACCCTTGTAGCTCCGCCCACTTTCAGTGTATACGTTTTTTGCTTTATGAGAACTACTATTTAAAATTTATTATTTCACAGAGTGCTGATCAGTTAGTGGCCAGATTACTGGACCGTCTCGATGAGAGTCTTGACGTAGTCATCGTACTGGGCCTGGAAGAAGTTTCCGGCGACGGGGCCGCCGAAGCTGTACTTCTGGATGTAGTCACGGGCCTTAACGTTGATGCGGCCAGTGCGGCTGGTCTTAGACACGAACTTCTCGGTGGTGATCTTCTCGTTCTGCTTGAACACCAGGAAGACGTAGCGGTGGAGTCCGGTTCCCTCGCGGGGTCCAGCGCCGATGTACTCGGCAACGGTCTGGCCCTCGGACACCTTGTTGCCGGGGATGTTGATCACCAGCCAGTGGAGCAGCTCGCGGAACTTGGGGTCCTCGCGGCTGGGTGCGTCGGGGTCCACCAGCAGGATGGTGTACAGGGAGCCGGGCTCGGCATCGAACACAACCGTGGGCTGGTCCTTCACCTGCGTGGGAGTCAGCTCCTTGCCCAGCTCGACCTGCACGCCAGAGGGATAGGTGATGGTGGCCTTGGAGGCGGGCTTGACGTCGATGATGTCGGGAATGATACCGGCGGTGTCCATGTTGGCTGGTAGTGCTGCTGCTTCTGCTCGGTGTGGCGTTAGCGAGTTGACTCTGGCCCGGATCCCCGACTGCTGGCCTTTTATCGCCGGACGGAGTCCGACGCCTAATCAGTTCCGTGCACTTTTCAGTTAATACCCCAACGCATAGATAGCGAGATAAGCGATTGGTTAGACTTTATTGACTGGGAATAGAAAACCCGGCATGAGATATGCAAAAATCTAGCCGGTGAACGTTTTGTTCCTGATTGGCACAAAGTCATCAAACTGCGCCTGGTAATAATTAGCGGCTATGGGAGCCCCCAATCCATGTCTGGCAGCAAAGTCCCGGGCGTTGAAGTTCAAACGGCCTGCTCGAGTGCTGTGATTAGGAAGCGATTAGTCAGTATTGCATTCAAATGATAATCATTGAATTATATCTCGTACGTGTTGGAAATAGTGGGAGTCTCCTCGATCTTGTTCTCCTGACGATAAAGCAGGAAAATGTAGCGATGCAGGCCAGTGCCCTCTGGTGGACCCGAGCCAACATAGGCTACTAAGGGATAGCCACCAGAAGGATCGGTATTGCCACCCGGAATGTTGACCACAGCCCAGTGCAGGATCTCCCGAAACTTCGGGTCCTGACGAGTCGGAGCATCGGGGTCCACCATGAGAAGGGTGAGCAGGTTGGACTTTCCCTCCAAGCCAGACCAACTGACATTCGGCACGTCCTTCACCTGGGTGGGGGTCAGCTCATTGCCCTGCTTCACCGGAAGGTCCCCAGTATAGGTGACCTGCACGGTTCCAGCGGGAACCGCATCCACAACATCGGGAACTATGTCATCCATGTTACGTGTCCGCCGAAAACGATGACAATACTACTTTGTCGAACTGTTATCACTGATGACCAAGCCGGCTGGGTGATAACAACGCAAAAGCTTCCAACTGATTCAGCGGATGTCTTGCGGTTTTATTAAAATTTCCAGTTCAATTAATTAATATCTGGATGTTGAAACCGCTCAAGGTTATCCGTCGCTGGCAACAGCTAACAACTAGAATAATACTTTTATGGGCAGACCGGAATAAACGTTATCGTGTCTATTAAACTGATTGGTCAGTGTTCCTACATTGATTTGTTTTCAATGGAAAATTGTGAAAAGCCCTCCAACGATAGCAAAGCTCTTATGCGAACCGGCATTTTTTAGGCAATTTTACTTATAACGCAAAGATCACTTAACTAAAAAATTTTATGTATGATGAATGAATCACAGCTTAAAACTTGTTTCTACTTTTTTGGGGCAGTTACAATTTTATAGTTACATATGCCCAAAACCCTCTTACTTAAGCTGGTTGTGCACCACCGTGCACACCTGATAGCGAAGACAGCACTTGAGTGATCGTAAAGTCATATATCGTTCAGTTATGAGGTTGTAATTGTGCCTTTGTACTTTATTACTATGGGTCTGTTATCAATGGCATTATAAAAAGAGAATCGAACTTTGTAGAAATGCAGATCACTTTTCACCAGTAACTAAAAGTCACATTTAGTATATATCATGCTAATTTATTAAACAATTCGATTATTAACACTTGAATATTAATATTGATAGCGCTGACAGAGTTTTGGTCTATTAAATACGCTTAGTTGCATTTTTCGCTTTTGTTCTTTGCACAATGAAAATAATGATTAATATATATATGTATATATTTATAATACGATAATACAAATAATAGAATTGTGAAAACGTGAGCGTGAGATTTGAGAGGCGTCCCGCGACGCATATAAAACAACATAGTTTACAATTACATAGTATGGGTAAATCATAGTACCTAGTGGTATGTCTATAGGGAACACGCCCCGCCCGCATAACCAGCGCGCGCGGAGGCAGTGTGTGCGGTATACGGCATATGGTGTCCGGGGGAACCCGCTACTCGGGCGTCCAACGGACTTGCTGGAACTAATCTTGGAATACATTAACTGCTGGTTCAATTTGATTGAGGAAATACCAATAGATGCGGTAACACGTTCTCCATTCGTTTCGTTAAATTCAACTGTGATACTCTTGCTCCGTGATGGCGATGGTTGGCCGCCCTAGCAGCGTGTCTCGTACAGTCCGCTGCGTCCGATGTAGCGCACCCACTTGACCACGTCCTGATCGGAGTAGTTGATCTTTGGCTCGAACACCTTCAGGTAGCGCACCTTGAAGCCGGATGGCGCGAACGGCACCTCGAAGTTCATAGATATGGGCGGCCGGGTCCACTTCTTCTTGGTGTCCGTCTCCAGCAATTCGATTTCCGCCGACAGTTGGGTCTCCTTCATGCCTGCCATCCGCTTGATCTTCCACACGATTGCGTTCTCCGAGGCCTTGTACTTGGCCTTGCCCTTCAGGCAGATGAGCTGCACTCCCGAGGTATTAAGCGGTGTGGGTATCTTCACTTCAATCTTTTGGCCCAGCAGCGATGGCTTAAAGTTTGACTTCAACACGACCTTTACCTCCATCTTGGTGCGTCCCACCTCGCGCACCAGCGGAATGACTCGGAATGGCAGCGAAATGTCTTTGGTGGTGCGGTAGCGCATCAGCTCGAACTCTCCGTCCGGCGGAATAAAACTGATTGAGTGCTCCGTCTCGAATTTGCTCAGCTTGACGCACTGATGGAACTGGCAGTCGTCAATGACCACCACGGGCTTGCCAGAGCGCGAGGTTTCCGCCTCGGAATTGCCAGACAGGCTGCGTCCCTTGGACTCCATAACGATCTTGTCGTTGATGCCGAACTTGCACTCAGGCATGCCTAAAAATAGGGGACTCAAATTAGAATTCCTTCAAAGATGGATTGGCTTAACTTACCCGACAGATACGACTTCATCACCACCTTGCCGGCAACATGGGCGGACAGTACCTGGCCTTGCGGACTCATTAGCAGGTTGACGTACTCCAAAACGTCCAAGAACAGCTCATTGCGTCGGTACTTGATGCCCTCGCGACGCCAGCCAATCTGTCCCGTAACCTGGGAGGTGATCTGCATCTGCTCCTCCTTGGTGGCCGACTTAATGCCCTGCTGCGTGATAAAGGTCTTCAGGGTGCCGGAGTCTGTGTTCTGCGGATAGCCAAAGTCCAGGATCTCGTCCAGGAGCTCGTAGATAAGCACAAAGTTATTCTTGATGTTCTCCTCGGAGATCTTGCCGAAGTACGACTGCATCACTTCGATGATCTTCAGCAGAAACTCGAAAACCATGGCGGCGTTTACATTCTGCTTGGTCACAGCCGCCAGCCAAATGTTGGCCCGCTGTGGGAGGAAAATTAAGGATAATGAGTGGGTGTGGAAAAGGGACTAGGACTTGGATTACGCACCTTGATGTGGAAGAAGCTGGTCCGCGCAATGTTGGTCACTGGTGAGCGGACCTGCTGCCGGGCGTGGATGACGTTGACCCTAAAGGCATCCACAGCATTGCGACCGATATCATCGCGGTAAACTCGCGAGATTAGCACCTCGCCCTTGTGGTTGTAGACGAACAAACCGCCAATCATTTTGCGCGCTCTCTGCTGGTTGCTCTAATTCGGGAAAATATGCAGAATATACCCAAATTTAGGATATATGCATAGATTCTCTGGTACGATGCTGCGAAAATTTTTATCAGAAAATCAATTTCACTCCCCTTCAGTGTGGCTGTTCGCGGTAGAATATATACCGAAAATTGTCTGGTCACACAATTCTGCCTCAATGGCACCGCACTTGATAAAATAAGTTACAAAAATATTGTTGGCCCCAATTTTAAAAAGATTTACAAAAATTAATTAAAAACTAATGCTTTTTGCCAGTCTAAAGGCATGGGCTTGAGGTGACTATACAGCTGAGAACCAAAAATACCACATAGAAATTCCACAACACTGCTTCCCCTTCGGTTACAATCAAGTCTGGCAACGCCACCGGCCCAAGCACAACCAACTTAACGTCGTACATGACTTTGCGGCTTTGACAAAAACAAAATCTCATTTCATTCAGAAAAATCAACAATTTCTTTGTGCTAATCGAAGCGAAAGCAACCAATTCGATCACAATGCCTGCCGAAAACCTGGAGGAGCAGGGCCTGGAGAAGAACCCGAACCTGGAGCTTGCCCAGACCAAGTTCCTGCTCACCCTGGCGGAGTACAAGCAGGATGCAGCCCTAAAGGCAAAGCTTCTGGAGGCGATTCGCACCGAGAACATGGCCCCATGGTATGAGCACATCTGCACGGAGCTCGGCTGGTCGGTGGACAAGGACCTGCTGGCCCGCATGAAGGAGAACAACCGCGTGGAGGTGGAGCAGCTGGATGCGGCCATCGAGGACGCAGAGAAGAACCTGGGCGAGATGGAGGTACGCGAGGCAAACCTCAAGAAGTCGGAGTACTTGTGCCGCATCGGAGACAAGGCTGCGGCAGAGACCGCATTCCGCAAGACCTACGAAAAGACCGTTTCGCTGGGTCACCGCCTCGATATTGTGTTCCACCTGATTCGCTTGGGCCTGTTCTACCTTGACCACGATCTCATCACGCGCAACATCGACAAGGCCAAGTACCTGATCGAGGAGGGCGGAGACTGGGATCGGCGCAACCGGCTGAAGGTGTACCAGGGCGTCTACTCGGTGGCGGTGCGCGACTTTAAGGCAGCAGCCACCTTCTTCCTGGACACCGTTAGCACCTTTACCTCCTACGAACTGATGGACTACCCCACCTTCGTGCGCTACACTGTGTATGTGGCCATGATTGCCCTGCCCCGCAACGAACTGCGCGACAAGGTGATAAAGGGCTCCGAGATCCAGGAGGTCCTTCACGGACTGCCCGACGTAAAGCAGTTCCTGTTTTCCCTGTACAACTGCCAGTACGAGAACTTCTACGTCCATTTGGCCGGCGTGGAGAAGCAGCTGCGCTCGGACTACCTCATCCACCCTCACTACCGCTTCTACGTGCGCGAGATGCGCATTCTGGGCTACACCCAGCTGCTGGAGTCCTACCGCTCGCTCACCCTGCAGTACATGGCAGAGGCGTTCGGCGTCACCGTGGACTACATCGACCAGGAGCTGGCCCGCTTCATTGCCGCCGGACGGCTGCACGCCAAAGTGGATCGCGTGGGCGGCATTGTGGAGACCAACCGGCCAGACAACAAGAACTGGCAGTATCAGGCCACCATTAAGCAGGGCGATCTGCTGCTCAACCGCATCCAAAAGCTGAGCCGCGTGATAAACATCTAATGTAGTTCGTATAAAAAGGTTTATTCAAATTCAACATTTATTACAGTGTAAAACTAACGCAACGTACAATAATAAAAACGATAAAAAACTCATGGAAATGCTCTAGTGGATTGTACGCTCGCCTATGTATTAACTAAATTCTTTGGAATTGTTTTGGTAACGCCGTCTTTAGTATATTTGAGTATTATTGCAATCATTCCATGTTTTGTACTTGACCGTCGTCTGACCTGCTTCTATTTGGACGTAGGCCTAAGCGTCGCCCTCGCTCTTTCCCTTCCACGACGGCTCCTCCTTGGGATCGTGGGCGTGGCTATGACTGGTGTGACTGCTGTTGGCCATGAAGCGCAGTCCGCAGTCCAGCGGCTCCTCCAGATCCTGCGACCTCTGCTGCTGCTGCTGCTGTTGCTGCAGATGATGCTGCTGCTCCGCCGAGGCCTTGGCCGCAATGTCGTGCAGATTCTGGACCATCTCGTGGATGGGCGAGCCCTGGGCCAGGACCTCCGGCACCATGGGTAGGGCACTCAGACCGCCCATGTTGTGGCGCCTCATGTCCGCCAGGCGAGACGTGCTTAGGTTGATCAGGGCGTTCATCATCACCTTGTTGCGCTGGTAGTCTTTGCGCAGATGCTGGCGGATCTCCGTATGGCAGTGCTCGTTGTTGGTCACGATGATCTCGCCGGTGTCCGTGGTCGTCACGCGAGCCTTGCAGTTGAACTTGCGCGACAGGTTGCACTGCCAGTACTTCTTGTCCTTGCGCACGTACTGGATGCCGAAGGTGTGGCCGTCGTGGACCAGCAGCGGCTTGCCCCTCTGGCTCAGCATGAACTCCAGCTTGCCCTGGAACCAGTGCTCGCCGGGTGCGACTACAAGACAGGACGAGAAGGCTGGTGAGGATCGGTTCGGGTCTGAGGAGCGAGCTGCCCCGGTGGGTAATGTTTTGTTTGGGATTGGTTTGGTTTGATGCCAGGACGTACACGAATGAGCCCAATTATGTGTGTTTATGTGTTTCATGCAGTTACTCACCTGCTTCGCACCTCGTGCCATAAGCTAGCTTACAATATCAGGTCCAAAATGCAATTTATTCTAACTTATTGTAGCCCTATTTTGGTTAGTTGGTGGCTTCCCATTGATATACGCTCAGGGCCACGAAACGCATCCAAAATTAACCTGGTTAGCTCAATCTGGGATTCATTTCACAGCGCCCATTAGTACTGGTTGGTTTATCGTTTCGCATTAGTTTATCAAATACAGTATTTACATTGGTTACTCTCTCTGGCTCGAATCAAATTCAATTTTCTACTACAAACTCTAACTAGGCAAAATAAATTACTCCTCCTCTTTTTGGGGCAGTGGGGGATGCTTCCCCGGCGGCAGTCTTACATGTTCTCCATCTTGAAGCTGTGCCTGCTGCTCGGGGAAATGGTGATGGAGTTGATCACGTGCGCAGTGCTGGGATCCCCTGTTCCCTCGGCGGAGGCTGCCTCTTGTTGCTGTTGCTGGTGTGCCTGCTGCTGCTCCTCCACGGCTTGTGGCGGAGGACTCTGGGCCTGGAGGGAGTGGCTGCTGCGGTTCGACTGCGGGCTCTGCTGCAGGTGCACCGGCGAGAGCAGCACCGCTCCGGATCCCGAGCCTCCTCCCAGCTCTAGATTGTGCTGCTGCGGCGGCGGAGGATTGTGTGGCGAGTGCTGCTGGTGGTGCTGCTGTTGGTGCGTCTGCAGGTGCATGAGGTTCGGGTTATGCATAAGGTTCGCCGACCCGCCGTGCTGCTCCATGTGCGGCGGCGTCGGATGATGCTGCACCAGGAGATTCGGCAGCGGCTGTCCCAGGTGGTGGTGATGGTGCGGGTGGTGCGTCGTGGATGCCACTGGCAGCGGAGGTGGAGGCGGCGGCGGCGGAGGCGTTTGGTTGGCGAACATGTTGCTCACCCGGTTGCCATGCTGCAGGTCCGTGCCCAGGTGGCTGCCACCGTCCGCCAGGGAATATCCCGATTGGTTGGCGATGGCAGCCGAACCGGCAGAAGCCGTTCCAGAAACCGAGGACGAGGAGGCTGACGAGGATCCCTGACCGCGCATATGCGGCGGGTGGTTGTGCACGCCCGTGGCGGAGATGATCCTGCCCAGGTGGGTGATGCACCGCGCCCGGCACATGCTGATCCGGTAGGACTTGCACAGCCAGTAGGTCTTCATGCCCTGCTGCGTGGCCACCGTGTTGTTGCGGTTGAACACGCAGTTGCCGTGGAGCAGCGAGGTGGTGGACAGCATCACCATGTTGCTGCCGCCTGCTCCGGACAATGGTGGATCATTAGTGGTCTGTTCTCGCTGGTGCTCTCAGGGGTGTTATTTACAAAGGGAAGCAGGGGGCTGGAGTTTGGGGAGTGGCTGTGTCTGGCGGGGAGTCGGGCTCCTCCGCCTTTTGGGAAATGCGTTTGGGTGTGCGTGTTCTCGAAACTGTGCTTTTTGTTAGGCGTTAGAAAGACTCGTTTTGACCAGGTAAAAAAGAAGCAAATACTAAAAGCAATTCTAAATTGATACTAGGTGATGTGCGAAAACTAAAAAGCTCTACTTAAGGTTGTTTGAGGTGCAGATTAATGATGTATAGTATATGCCTTTAAGTTTTGAAATACAGAATATTAATTAAACACTCAATCTATAATTGCTTCAATGAAAAGTTATTCACATATTTACCTAGTAATGTTATAGTTAAAACTTTTTGTAAATCTCTGCTCCACATTTATTTAAGTTAAAAAGTTTTCAAATAGTAAAGCAACTTGAACAACCCATATAAAGATCTGAATCGGAACATGTGTCTTGAGGCCCAACAGTCTGCCAGGTCGTTTGAACAACTGGATCTGGCAATCAGAGCTATCTCTTGTTTATCTAACTACACCTTCGGCTCAAGTGCCTCTGCTTAATACCTTTACCCCAGTTCAATCAGCAAATATCCCTCTACAATCAATCACGAATTGTTAGGTTTCCAGTTGGTTCCAATCCTTGTTAGTGGAAATGTGTTCAGTGGACTAGTGGGTACTTGGGATGAATGATGATGTTGTGTGTGCCAAATGAAGGATGAAGTACAGAAACCCAATCTTATAAAGAACAAAATAATAAGTGAATGCCAAGCTACATGCAACAGAAAAGTGATCGAAAGTGGCGGGGCACCTACTTGAGGGAATGTCCATGTGGTTGGCAAAGTTTTTGGAGTAGTCGTTGGGCATGTACAACTCGTTGGGGTATTCGGTGCCGGAGCCCAAGCCCACGGATCCGTTGTTGTTGATGCCTCCAGGACCGCCGGAGCTGTTGCCACTGCCGCTGGGTCCGCTGCTGTTGCCGCTCTTGTAGAAGTTGTAGTCCAGATTGAAGGCCGGCGCGAAGGGGTTCCGGATGGGCGCCGAGGAAGAGGCCGAGGAGGCCAGGCTGCCTACGCTGCCGCCACTACCGCCCGACGAGGGACCGTGGTGGTGGCCATCCGACTCTCGCTTTAGCCCACCGAGATCGTAGCGCGGCTCTCCCATGGTTATGTGCGGAATGGGTGGCAGGAAGAACTCCTCCGAGTTCAGGCTGTTTTCCATGCCTGCGGCACTGTCCGTGTTCTCGCCACCGCCGCCTTCGCTTCCACCGGATCCGTGATCCTTCAAGGAGCGCCGCAGCTGCTTTCCGGAGTAAATGGACAGGGAATCGCTGCCAAAATCCGACGGCATCGGTCGTTTGCTGGCGTTGTACAGGTGACTGGCCTCGTTGGAGGCTCTGCTGGCACCACCTGGCGAAGTGGTCCTCGAATTGCTTTGGCCCTTTGACTCATTGTGATCCGCTTCTGACTTGCTGTTGTTATTGCTATTGGAACTGGAGTTCTGATGGTTATTGCTAGTGTTATTGCTGTTGTTCGATTCTTCTGCGGGCGGCTGACTAGAGGACTTCTCGGAGGCACTCGATCCCGGCGAGGAGTTGGAGTTGGTGGCCAAGCCCTTGATCTGCAGCAGCTGGCCAATCTTCATAAACGATTGCAGCTCCGTGTGCTTCACGTTGACTACACCTTGGTACATGAACTCCAGCAGCTCCATCATAATATTAAAGCTAACATCTTTGAGTATTACTAGAAGAGATTAAATGATTTCCAAAAATATAAGTGGGGAATTTCTTAGGGGAACTTTTACTAAAACTAGTTTTTGAAACAACTTAGATTCGAGGGGAATTTGTAAGAGATAATTCTCTTTAAATGCGGCTCAATCAATTTTGGAAAAATCCAAAAATGTGTTTGTCAACAAGCTGAGGAATATTTTTAATGCGTTTTGGGGACTGTTTTTCCCCCTCTCCCAAAAATATTTCAACGTAATTGCTTGTTTACATAAAGACTTTGAACGACAATAACATCAGTAGAAAAGGAGGTCACATTCGTAGTGGAGATGTTATCATCGAAACTAAATCAATACATAAAAACAGCTACGATAAGAAATCTGAAAACTTAAATATAAACTCGACAACAGCAACGCAGTAGCTCAGCCATATTTATAAAATAAGTAGCATGACATATCATCCGCGTGCTCTCGACTCGGCCTAAGAATCTGTGAAACAGATTCCGCTCCACAGTGGTGCGGATCTCTTATCTGAGAGGCACTTCGAGATCATGCCACATCAGTTTTAAACCACAACGGACGCCTAGTAATAAAACTATGCTTTCATAAGATTTTGACATGAGTTTAATTGTTTTTTGTAGAGATTTTTTAATAGACGAAAATATATTGAGTCACCACCATTCATACTTTAAATTGTATTAAACAACAACATAAAAGTATGAATAAAACTTAAATCATTTTGTATTTAAGATTAAGGTCTGTTGTGAAATAATTTATTATAGTAAAAGGACTTAATATTACCAATAATAATTTTGCATATGGGTTTAAATAACGCTTTAAATTTCGATCAGAAACTATTTTGAGTATTCAAATTCCCCCAGAAAGGGGAAACTTTTTTCTAGAGATTAATAAATTCTAGCCGATCAGAATCGGATCCTTATCAGTGCTTTCCCAACGACCCCGGACCACAGTGCCTGTTCCTCGCAGCATCAACATCTAGTTAAAAACAATATTATCACTTGTTCTCAATAACAATTTTATTACACAAACGAACGCACATACATCCCGTGTACAATATTAAATCGCCGATCAGCAACAGACAAACTCGGTTGCTTAATCTGACCGTGCGACGACATCAATTGTGCCCTATCATTTGCCGTAGTCGTCATTACGGATCGTTTTGTCTCGCCTATCTATCTATCTGCGCCTTGGCATGTCCGTATTCGACCGAGTGATCGCATGGCGAAGATCAAAATCCGGGCAATATATTGCTCCAGGGTACAGTACTCGCATATTGACGGCTGATGCCAGATAGATACGGGATTACACGAAGGGAGCAGTCAGCACCGACTACTATCACTATCGCTTGCCGTGCGGGATCACAGATACATCGGCGAGCATCGCCGGAGATAAAGCCTGGCCGTGGATCGAGACAAAGAGATCCATACACGGAATTCTCTGGAATCAATAAACCGTTTATGGTCCCCGGGATGAAGATAAACTCTGTCTAAAGTTCACGGAAAGCGTGATAAATCCGTGTATGCTGCTGATAAGCAGATCACCAGTGCCCAAATGTCCCAATCGGGCATCTCTGACGATCGTTGTTTGCCTAAATGTATGCCATATACTCGTACCCTCCGGATTTAATGGGCTCCTGACCCGCTGTGATCTCCGCTGCTATCAGAGCGGGCCTCGAATAGATCGGGGGCTTTTGACTGGGGGGCTGGGTTTGGGGAACTGCAGCGATATCTTCCTTGGCTCGCTTTTGATTTGTTTCGCGCCCAACACCCTCGCTCCAAAGATCACGCCCACTCCAAACGCTTCCACCAATCGGATCGCAGGCGATCGATTTCGAAAACAGTTTTATTTTATGATTATGATAAATGTTTATCGAATCAGAACGCCAATAGGTTCTGTTGTTGTTCTCCTCGGCGAGTCGCAGAGCCGACGGGCCTGTAGTGGAGTGGGCTGCCTCATTTTGACAATGTCGTCGCACAAACATTCATAAATATTTGTTATCTCCGAACGCCATAATAGTCGAGTTGTCGAATCGAATCGTTGTGCTGGTAGTAGTACAACCTGATAAAAAGCCCAAGAAGCCCAGCGACAGGCCCAACCAAACCATCGTCAGAAAATGCTGGTCATAGGCTTTCCCCTTTCCACCCAACACTTTTGGAAAATAAATCCATTGGCATTGACTCAAAGGAGTCGAAATAGCCTAGGGATTAGCCCAGCTTAGCCGATTGCCACGTCTATTTGCGACTTCTGGCTACTGGCTGGAGAGCCATAAATAACGAATTGTCAACACAAATGGCCAATAAAAGCATTTATGAAATTTCATATGCTCAAAGTCAAAGTTTGATATAATATGAAGAGACCATAAACTGCTCACTCCAAAACGTAAACAGCTGGACGATCGGTTGGGTAATGCCAGAAGCGGAAACTTTAGAAGGGTTCTAATAAATTCGATAATTCCAATGGGTTCGCACACTTAAGATGTTACTTTGAAGAACAATTTAAACAGTACAATAAGTCACATAAGCCCAATCCCTTTGTGCAAAACGTTTAATGTTAAATAACTTTTAGTAACAAAAATAAATGATTTATAAGAATAGAGAGGCACGTTTAAAAATATTATAAATTCATATACAGCCCTGATTTTGCATACGAACTTCATTTTCGAGGAGTTGAATCTCGAAACTGAAAATACAAATCACAGCCTTTCTAATATGACACAGTCCATTCAGATCTTTCCTAGTTTCGTGGCAATTAAAACACTTTTGATAATCTTCGACAAGCTTTGAAATAAACGAATTAAAGATAACGGGTCTTGGACAAACGGGAGCCCAAAGTTCAACGTGGTCAAAAATGGATTATTTGGCAAAATAAATAGTCAGCCCCTCCATAAAAATTGTTTACCCCCTTGGAGCCTAGCGAAAAAGCACCGACGTCTTTGCTTTAGTCACGGTCCGGCAATATATTAATAACACTGGGTATTTAATATTTACGACAAGTCCACCGATCGATATTATATTATCTTCCCTAGCCCGAGCGTTTATGGCTGGTAAGCAACCGTATTCGATCGCCGAGGCTACTTCAAATCGGGAATGGGAGTGGCGACTGGGGATGTGGCTTGGACCCGGTTCTTGGAGAGGCCCAATATCACACTCGGCACATGCTGCGGCTGTCTGAGTACGTTATCTAACGGGCAATAAGTTCAAAATCTTATTTTACGATCAAGAGTGATACCCAAAGTAAAGTGGCTGGCACTAAACGCAGGGCTGATAAAACGCTGCCCCCAGACGATGTCCGTCTTGTTTATGCCAATAATAAATAGATAATTTTCGAGGATTAGCATTGTATTGGGCCCGGGCAGATATAACCACTCGGCCCATACGGAGTGGATTGATTTACACGGCCGGAGCAGCGGAAACACGTACATATATCAACCAGGCGAGGCTCTCTAATCAATATCTCGAAAACTAAAGTCTTCGAGTGGCTGAATCGAGGCGAGGAAAGGGAAAGGGGGACCCAGTTGCTCAGTTGGGCAATAAATGATTGTTAAACGCGATAAAAAGATAAAAATATTTAGACTATTGTTGTTGCTGCGTGTTACACAGCAACAATGGGAGACACATAAACCAACATCGAGACGAGGCAAAGCCATTTGGCTTGTTAGCACCTCGATGACTGTTGTCGGTTGGCTTGTTCGGCCGGTCTATATTTAATAACTTGCCCCCGCTCGCGCTCAGCGTTATTTATAGGGTATATTAATATTCTTTATCTTTGGAAATACCTCTTGTAGCAGCGCTGGTGGGTAGGTAGCACCTTTCTGCTGCTACTTGAAAAGATAAAACCTTATTTTTTATGGCCGCCTGATCAGATAAAGCCACCGTGCAGCAGGCAGCCGTGTTCGACACGACCGCGAACGAAATCGGACCGACCAGGAGGGGCCCCGGCGATATGATATCCATATACCATATACAGCGCGTTCTAGAGTCCATTTGAAGTACGTTTGATGAGGTCAGCAACGCACCCAATCTCCCCGATCCGATCGAACTGGGCCTCTCGTCGTGGACCTTATCACGGTGCATACTCCGTGCGTGGCGTGGGTAAACAATCCGCGGACTCCTCTGGAGGCGGAGGACTCCTGCAGCTACCACGCATGCAGCTATGACCATAGACAACGCGGCGGCACCCGGCTCACTGGAGGATTATCTTAGTAGGTTGCTGCTGTTTGTCTTGGGATTTACAACCAGCGAAATCATTTTACAGTTGGGCATCTATAACTTGAAACTACAATCGGAAACTTCGACTTCATTGGGGTTCACCTTTTTTAAGGGATTCTTAAATACTATGTAGACCTAAAAATCAAGCTACTACCTACAAACTAGCACTATTTTTCAAACATTAAATGAAGTGTTTAAGTGTCTTTTTACTCATACAACAGGCCTATTATTAAATTTGAATGAATAGTTTCAATTAATCAAAGTGCCGTCAATCGTCGATTAAGATCGATTTGATTTCATGTATAAGAGCTTCTAAAAGTTGATATGAAAAGTGGTTGTGGGTTGTCTTAACAAAATCAAGAAGAGTTTGACTTTGGTGAGTTGTGTTAATGGGAGCGGTACTGTAATTGGCCCGGATCACCCCCTTCACGTGCTGCCGTGAGTGGGACTCCTGTTGGAACTCGGAATCGAACTGGAAGCGGAGCTGGGCTGATAACCGCCGAATGTGTCATGGAATTTAACACAAAGGTTGATTTATATCTAAGCGTTTGACAAGAGTGACGAACAGACAGGCTGACGTGCGGGCTCCTCGATAAACTGACACCGCTGTCCAAGTGATAAACTGACCGATTTCTGGAGGAATAATGTGGCTCAGTGATAAAGATGATTAGGAACAAACTTTTGATATGCTTAAAATGCAATGATCTTATAGGATCTCCTTTGGTTCTCTTTTTGGTAAATGTTTAGGGTGTCACGGCAAAGGAAAACCATTCGTTCTATCGAACCTTATAAGACCCTTCTCCGGACACCAGCTGACCATCTTTTAAGCAACAGCTGACTCATTGAGAACTCAATGTCCTATTAGGAGCATCCGTAACGTACTAGGTGCCTGATTGGCAGCATATTCGTATTGTAAGACTCGCCGTATAATTTAGCATGCGAAATCAGCGAGCTGAAACCACTGACGAAGACGCCGATGATTTGTGCACACAAATGGCCAGGTGATACTTACTGATGGGATGCTTGCAGGGATTTGTAGTGAAGATCTCCTGGAAGTAAGGACTGCAAATGGCCAGCACGATTTTGTGGGCATGGAGGAGCTTGCCGTCGCAGGCGAGGGTCACGTCCACCAGGTCGCCGCGGTCGTACAAATTCTGAAAGCCGCTAGCTATGTTGTCCTGGAAGTTCTTCCAGCACAGCTTGAACTCGTCGTCCATGGCAGATGGTCGGATTCGCCGATTTCCAGGTGGACCAGGCTGCTCCGATATTAATTCCAGGCTATAATTTATGCGCACAGACTTCTCGATTCTCGTGCGAATCTGTTTTTTATGGCTTTTGTTTATCCGCTTTGCTCGTGATTCGTTCACGGGCCAAAAATCACCAATCACGCCTTCTCACGCACTCTGTTACTAGGCTTCGCCTCTTGTTTTATTTGATAACTCGCTGTTCAATCCGCGTTCGCGCGCACACGATCTCGAGTCGTTCGCGTCCACAGGCGCATTGATTTTGATTTTGGTTCTAATTAACACAGTGTGATTTAAACATTTTTATCGGAAAGCGTGAAAAGCAGCGACTGTTTACGTTCCGGCTGATAATGAAGCACACGCCCCGCCCCGCGTCCCTTGGTCCATCTTAGGAACGGTGGAACGTGACGTTTTCAATGTGCCTCCAGGCGGTCACACTGGCCACGGGTAAACAAATGAGAAGTTTTTTATTCTCGGAGTTTTTTTTTAACTAATGGCAATGAATCTCTTATTTAAATATCTAAATAATGTACGTTTAAGCAACGTTTTCCTGTATGAAAGAATTGGGCTACCCCCACCTAAGCTTGTACAGGTAAAACATTTAACTTAACGTCTGAGACATGCGTAAGATAACGACTTATTACAAAATATTGGGAAAATATATTTGGAACCTAATAGTGTAAATTTTAAATTTTTAATGAGAATTGTAACGGTTTTTAAATAATTTTATGGCCTAAAGAGGAGCCATACGGTAATCGATATCAACTCCGATTAACGATTTCATTGAGCCATTTAATTTTAGGCGCCAACTACAATGGGCTGAAACGGTTTGCCCAGATAAGAGCTTATCTTAATTGGTTTATTTTTCGCCTCGGTGCGGTTGTATCCGACTACCTTTGTGTGCTTTTTCCACAGCTCTACGCTCTTTGCCACCTGGCTAATGCTGCCGGTAGGGAACTACAATCCGATAGCGCACCTACCCATGGCCATATATAACCCACTTTACATTTTAAACAAAAAGAGAATAAAACTAACAGCTCCCTTATCAATAAGCCATGAGTCGTTTGCACGCCACAGGTGCACACATACGCACTTTTCGTCAATTGGCCACCGATTTGGTCTGCCTGATTTAGTGCTCATCGAACTTTCAGCAAATTGACCCACTCTTCTCGAGAAGCAGTCAAGAGTATATCATAATGGGTTGTTGTTTTAGTAAGTGATTTACACATATCTGCATAAACAAATTCACTAGCAATAAATGTGCTTACAGGCACGAGTAAATCCGTCGACTTGCCAGCGGTTCCACCGGCTCCGGGAAAACAGCGCTCCACTTTGCCGGAATTCCCGGGCTCTGGATCGGTAACCACATCGGCTCCTGGAGGACCAGGATCCGGAGGAGCTACCAATGCAGCCCTGGAGGATGACTAGAACCGGCTGGATCAACAAAGATACGATTTCGTCGAGGAAAAACTTTTCCATTTGGCAAAGATCATGACTCACCATTCTCACGACTGGCGGACTCTCCATATTCCTGTAGTTATAATTGTATAAATATTCCTTTCTTTTTGTTGGACAATAAAAACTTAAAGCTTAAATAAATAAAACTTTAATTAATTCGATCAAGTAACTGTTTTTGTGCTAATATAATTTTAAGTACCCGCCAATTGTCACATTTTGCAACACTAAATCCAGAGAGGTGTTTTCCCATACTTTCCAAACGGTCTTACAATTTCTCTGCCGCACGTGTGCGGGTGTTTTGTATTTAACTTTTATTTTTTACGAATTACGCGGTGAAAGGGGATTATAATTTATAATTAAAAGCAGAATGGCTATTCAACCCAACCGGCGGAAGAGGAAACACGAGGAGGCGGAAGTCGATCAGCAGGACGAGGGCGAAGTGGTGGTGCCCAAAAAAAGTGGCCAAGGAGTCCGACACGCCAAAGAAACAGAAAAACAAGTCAAAAATTGATGAAAACATTGAAAAAATCACGCCGGAAACAAATGTCACAGAACCAGCAGACTCCACTCCTTCAAAAAAAAAATTAAAAAAGACAAAAACTGCTGAACAGAATGACGAGCAACAGGTGGAAATGGAGGCAGAGGAATCTCCCTCCAAAAATCACAAAAAACGAAAGGAAAAAAAGCAGGATGATGATGAAATAAGTCCAGACTCAGGGATTGAGCCGGAAGAGACTAGAATACGGTTTCCCAACGACTTCAAGATGATGCATTTCCGCACCAAGCTGCGCAGCAATAATTTTATAACAGGTGAGTAGATACCTTTAAAGTCATCTCCACATTTTTATGATTGTCTCTTTAAGAACTTCGGCACTTCCTATTTATGTGCTCCACCACCCGTCCCAAACTGGCGGCGAAGTACATTGAAAAGCGCGGAAAACCTTTGGAGCTGGCTGAGGCCTTTGAAAGGATCGACAAGAGCAATCTTTTGCACGTGGACTACCTCACTGAGGCACTTCAGCGGGTAGTCATGGAAATTCTCACCAATCAAAAAAACCACATGGAGTCGGCGACCCATGGATGTCGCTATTTCCTTAAGGTCCACGGCGGAGTGCTCGAGAACCTTTTGCAATCCTCGCGACCAAGTCATAGAAGAAATGCCCTCAAGCTGCTAACGGCAATCGTGTGCGTGGACCCTCAACTTGGCCGTCAGGTTCTAAACTCCTACGACGTACTCTCCAACGTTACTGTGATGCAGCAGATGCTGTCGCATGCCAAAAACGATTACCAGAACGAGGACACGGTGCGCAAGGCGTACATACACTTCGTTCTAGCCTTCCTGGTCGATGGCAATACGCTGCTCATCCGAAACATCCTAGATCGAGGCCACCTGATCGGCGTTCTTGCCAGGGGATTGGTCTACGATGACCATGTCACCGTGTGCGTGGTGCTGAACGCCCTTAGACAATATGTGCTGGAAAACCCGGAAATACAGAAGACCAAAAAGGTGCTGGTGTTCGATCTGGTGTGCTGCAAGAATCTGCGCCGACTCTATGACTGGGAAGGACCGACTGGACTCTCCGCCTTCTTTAGCAAAGATAAGAGCCTCAAGCCGCCCTCGAAACCACAGGAGGTGGAAGCCGTCTCGGCGGCCGTTCACGAACTCCTTCTGGTCTTGCTCACATCGAGAAAACACGGTGTGTGTTTCGATGCAATGACCCACTACCGTCAGAAGCAGAACAAGCTGCAGGGCAGATTACTCGGTGCGCTGTTAAAACCCTACGACAACCCCCTTAAAACGGAACTGGTCATTAAGACACTGACTGCCTGCCCGGACATAGCTCGCAATACCGTAAGAAATTTTTCTAGCCTGCTGAGTCCGGCAAAGAACAAGGCTGAGGACCTGCCCAAGGCTGCGATTTTCCTAGCCCAGATCATCGATGCCGTACCTCCCAGTGCTTTGTCAAGTGCCTTTAACAAGATGACGCTCACCGATTTTGGATTTTGGATCAAGCAGCTGTGCCTGCCTATCGAAGCTTTGATGCACATTACAGGCAAAAAGTTTCTTAGCAATTCCGACTTCAATTTGAGATTGGCAATGCAAAGACTTCTCCTGTCCATGATGAAGCAGTATAGTAATTATGTGCATGCCATCGCTGTTCGCGAGCAATCGAAGAAGGCCGGTAACTCGCTGCGCAAATTCAAGTTCGATTTACTGAATCACCTGCTGGTGCACTTTCCCACCATCGAGTCAATTTTGTACTCTCTTTTCATGACCATTAAGCAGCAGAAGGCAGAGGGAGTCGACGTACTTGAGTTTTTATCGGTCACCTTAGACTTGGTGCTGCTGATGTGCAAGGAAAATCGAGCTTTTGTGAACAGGACAAGTCAGATTCTGGACTACTTGGACGTATTACGACCGCTGTACCAGACGGACTTTAATAATTTAAATGAACCGGAAGAGGTTCTGAAGATTCAGCTGGAGTTGAAGTCTGTTAAGACCATCCTGCTGCTGTTTCCACGGTCTTTAAACCCACAGGAAAACCTATTTAGCAAGGTGTTCCAATCGTTCATAAAAGCCTACATGCTGGAGGACTTGACCATCAAGTCGGAGGCGGGAAACATTTTAAACCGTCTGTTTCACAATACCGGACTATTCGATTCCTGCAGCCATGAAATCAACATCTGGGTGGAAGCTCTGATCGGATTCGATGCAGAAACGGTGACCAATGTGGTGGACATCCTTCTGACGATTCTCAGCTTGGATTGGAGGCAAATTGAGTTGCCGGAGCAAAGCGTGGCGGAAACGGCCATTAACACCAAGAACCTGAGCAAACTTTTTGCCCAAATCGAACAGGGTCAAACGGTGCAGGCCTATGTGGAAACTCTGACGCTGAGCAAGATGATGCCTCTGCTGCTAAAGGGCGTGGACTTGGACGCACCTTACGACGACTACGTGGAGCTGGTGTTCATTCTGCTTTTCCACTATCACAGCAAGCCGGAGCAAGTGCTGCAGTTGTACGAGGACAACCTGGAGAAGCACAGCGACTACATGAAGAGCTGGATACCAGGTGAAGAAAAGGAGAAACCCAAGAAACTTCCATCTATATTAGCCGATAAGTGGCCTTTGCTGAAGCAAATGCGCAAAGTTATAACCGATGAAGACTCAAAGTCCTTCGATCAGATATTCAAAGTCGAGGAGGCGGAGAAGAATTTCGAGCTGCAGCTGGGCGAGGGACAGACCATGTTGTTGCACTCCACTCTCAGCAACCCACGTCGCAACATGATCTACGTCCAGGACCTTCTCTTCGTATTCAGCCATCTGTTCAACAGTCAGCGATTGAGTAAACTGCAAGCAGAAACCACGGCGGATTACCTAATTAAGTTCCTGCAGATCGCCAGCCAGGTGGACGGTGGAAGGCAGGAGATTCAAGAGGAGGATGATCAGCAGCAGGATGAGACTCACATACAGAGTCTGATGCACTACATCTTTAATATTCGGCTGTGGCAATTGCATCCTACTGAAATTCTGAGCGAAACCAGCGAATCTCGCTTGAACTATGTAATCTTCTTAAGGAGACTGACCGAATATTGTCGCAGTTTGCCTCGATTCGAAAGCTACACCGCTAACTTCCGGCTGCACTTTATCAAGACTTTGGATATTGCGTTAGATACGGCTGTAGATCATCTTGATTTTCAACAGCAACTCGCCGAGGTTGTGTCATTAGTGGATTCCTTCGAATTTACCTCAAGTGAATGCTCGCAGATGTTTGATTTGCTTACAAGCAAAATTCAAGCAAAGGATTTGATTCCAAATGGCAAACCAAACCACTATTTTGACCTGTTGCTTCGTCTGTTGGGACGATTGACCGCGCTAAAAGAGCCTATCGACTGCAGAAAATCATTTAAAGTGCTTCTGAGCTTCTACAAGGATTTCTGCGAGCTGAGCGAACAGCAACTGGAACCATTGGAGGCGGCCATCCTGCAGTTCTTGCTCAGCTACCATCATCACCTGGCAGAGTGCGATAACGACTTCTTTGACTGCTTCTTCACATCATCTCGAAAGCTGAGCAAATCCGCAATTCGATTGGCAAGTTTGCTGCTTGAACGTCAGCCCAGATTGGCAGATAAATTTGCGGATCTCCTGCCCAGCAACTTGGAGCAAAAGGAACTGATTTATCCCCTCCTGGATATCGCTTTGACCAAGAACTACCAACTGCCGCAACCAGTGCTTCAGCGCTGCTATCAGACGTACAAGAATGGCTTCATGAAGAGCATCGAGAAGCCGCAGAAGGCAGCTTTAATCTACCGCGAACATGGCGAGGCCAGTGCCTTGCTCATTGCTCTTTGCATGCCCAAGTCCGAGTGCCTGGATTACTGCCAGAAACAGCTGAAACTCGACTCCGTGGAGCTCTTCCAGGTGCGTGTCCTGCGGGAGATCTACTGGCAGGCCTTTGCTGCCGCCAAGGATGAGAAGCAGATGGCCAACGTCTTTGTCAACTACATAAACCTCAACGTCCAACTACTGGCACTGGATTTGAAGAAACAGGCCTTGGATCTACCCAAGTTGAAGCAAATATCCTGGAACTGCTACGAGTGGTGGGAGTTGAGTCAGGGCAAGGATCTACCCCTTGAATGGAGTCGTTTGCTGAAGAACCCGCAATGGCTGAACTTCTGCAAGAGCTGCTTGAAGCTGGCTCTTCATCTCGGCGAAGAACGACAGCCGCTTCAGGATCAAACCAATGGGCTTATGCTTAAGCTGATGGCCTTCCTATGCGATGGAATGTATGAGGATTACGCAGAGGAAGCTCAGCAGGAGGAGGATCCCACGCCAGCCCTTTTGTACGAAATGATTTGCACCCACTCCTGTTGCTTTGATCATCTCCTGGGCGCCCAGAGTGAAACCAAAACACATCTGTTACAGCTCATGGAGACGCTGGCCAGAAAGGCACCGAGTGCCCTGCAAGCCGCGCACATCCCCGTGATTTTGGGGTCCTACCATGCGAAACTGTCGCCTGGAGATCGATACGGATTGGCTCTGCTCGAGCACTACGAGCGCTTTGATGTGGGACTGGATAAGTTCAGACCCTTCATTTGGGGTGAAAGTGCCGTCGCCCACTATGCTTTGAGAGCTTCCGATGAGGATGAGCGCGCTAGGTTGCAGCAGCAGGAGACGAACGTGGCCCAGGTGTTGGCCCTGATTGTTCGGGAGACCAGCGAGTACACCATTGAGAATTTCCCCATTTGGAGGAGTCTGCATGCCCGTCAGCAACTGCCCGCCGTGGAGTTCCAGAATCCAGCTAAGAAATCCCAAAGTTTCGGCGACAACCAGCTGGAGCAAATGGTGGAAAAGGGGAGGGAGGATTTCCCCCAGAATCTTCGGCGCATTTGCCCGAAGCGAGAGAAGGTGTACGAGACCTGCTACGATCCCGCTTTCCTCTTACCGCTGATGATGCACTGCTTCGCACCGGAATCGGTTGTCTGGTCCCGCTGGCCAGTGCAGAACGGGCTGCTGGCGGTAACCTTCTGCGGGCTGTCCTCGCTGGACAAGGATATGCGCTTGGCGGCGGCCAGTTGTCAGCAACGCTACCGCGCCCACTTTGAGCTCTCCAAGTTCTACGAGCGTCCGTTGTGGACGCAGGCCTACGACAACATCCAGGCGGGACTGGGCGATCTGAGAAACTCGTGGCTGGCGCAGAGGAGAACGCACGGAGGAACTCCTAGGGTGCCCCTAATCCCGGCCCTGTTCATCGCCCACAGCTTCAATCTGAGCACGGATCCAACGCATCTGCTGTACAAGCGGCTCATGATGTACCTGCGGCTGAAGCAGAGCTTCAACTTCGAGACGATACCCGACTTCAATGTGTTCTTCTACTCCCAGGAGCCGGAGCACCAGCAGTACCGCGAGTTCATCGTGGAGCTGCTGCGGTGCGGCATCAAGTGCAGCGCCGATCTCTTCCTGCTGGTGTCCACCAACACGTTCAAGGTGCTGCTGGGATTCTATGGATCCAGTTTGGCCACTTTGGAGACCAATCTCCTGCTTTTGTCGGTGCTCTCGACCTGCGTGAAGATCCCCGGAGCCGTCAAGATCATGCTGGAGCACGTGGGCATCCTCTCCTGGCTGGTGGGCGTCATTCGCGACACGGAGTTCCACCAGTTCGACATCATCGAGGGCGTCATCAGCATCATCAACAATCTGTGGTACGCCCTGGCCGCCTCCCGCTCGGAACTGCCGGACTACGACCACATCCAGTTGCGAGTGCATCGTTTGGTGCTGCAGCTGCTGCCGCTGCTCTCGCCAAGGATCTCCGTGCCTGGCCTGGGTCGCCTGCTCAACGTTCTGTGGAAGACGGCATCGGCCAGTGGACAGCATCGAGCTCTGTCCGCCGCCCAACTGGACGTCCTGCTCGAGTGCATCTCGCGGCAATGGCCGGACCAAGTGGCGGGAGTGCGGTACGTGAAGAGCTTCGGCGGATCTGGTGCCTGTTCGCGATCCGAGTACTGCGACTGGCTTTCCGCGGATCAACAGCTCGAGCTTCCTGCCGTGCTCGCCTTGTCCAGTCTGCGGGAGTACGTCATAGACTGGTGGCAGGCCCACCAAACGGAGCTTAAGGAGGAGACAAAGCAGCTGGTCGAGTCAACTGAGTAGGAATCCCTTGAATTGTTTTGCCCTAGGTTAAGCTATTGAAATGTGTTTAGTGTGTAGGCCTACGAGTCTTCGATTTATTAAAAGCCTATTGGAATTGTAAAGTGTTTTGACCCCCTTTAACCACAATGATTGAGCATTGCTCTTTGCATCCCGCACCGACTGATTACCGCCGTAACTCATACTGTATCAATATTTGTGGGAGTCACTCGCAACTGCTCCGCAAAGCGAATCACTCACAAATGTGTTGAAAATGAACTGTCATGCGCTCGGCTGCTCCATAAGCCTCGTCAACCTTCATTAGTCGGCCGCCGCATATGACAAATTACGGACAATCAGCATAACAAAAGATCTGTTAAGCCAAAAAAGAAGAAAATCCGAAGACAAAGTCTGGGACCATGGCAAAACCCTTTAGAGTTTGTTAATTTGGCCAATCCGTTTTCACACGCAGCACAAGTGGGCGTTCCCCGATCCCCGAGCCCACCCTCCATCTTTATCCATATACCATACACCGTCCATAAGGCATCTTTGCAGCTTCGGCGACCCCAGTCACCACCTACAATTTGTTGGGTCAACAAAATGTTAATCACCCGAACGGGCTTAAGGCAAAGCTGGGCTTTGGTCTCTGAATTTCTAATATGTGAAGCAAAGTGCGCAGAGTTGACGCAATCGCCGAACGAAAATATTCACAAGATTTATGATTTTGCTAGATGTCTCGAAATCTAAGCCAATTCGTTACATAAAACCCGGGGTTGGGTCGCACTCTGGAGTTGCAGATGCGGCTCCGTCCGACATAATTGATTGATATTGCCGGGCGTTTTGTTGTTTATGAGGCGGACGTCATCCCAAAACGTATCAAATGTATCTTTGGCCTGAAAAGCATAGTGGATCGAATAAATGTTTAAATTTGCTTAGCTCGGGGCATAAACAACACGGGAATAAGCCAATAAAGAAAGCAAATGATCTCGGAAATCATCTCATATTATCTCGTTTGATGGATTATTTTAATATTGGTCGGCTAACTAGTTATAATCATTAAGCCCTAAAAAATGGGTCGTAAATCGAGGCGTCATTAATTGAACACATCTTCATAAGGCTTCGAATAAAACAAGTTTTGATTGGATGGCTTGATGAAAATCCATCAGCCAGGCATTGTTTAAAAATAGAAATGTTTACCTTGCCTAATATTTGTTTTAAGTAATTAAAACATAACACAAGGCAAGTTTTTTATTACATTTTTACACTTTCTCATTACGCATGGTTTTAATTAGTTTTTAGAAAACGTTTGTTTGGAATATTTAATTAGTTTGTTAATAGTATATGTACAAAATCAATTAATATGTTTTTTCATAAAATAATAAGATTTCTCTTTCTAAAGGCCTCTAAAAATTTCAGTTACTGTACGATCAATCAAAGTCCTTCAATTTTCAAGTTTCCCTGACATTTAGGTTCAAAACACATTTCAAACTCGTTGAAAAATCACCCAAAGAAAATCGGCCTGCCATGGCATTGAACTACGCACAATGGGCCAAAAAAAGGGGGGGTTCAAAAGGTCAGACGGTAGCCAGAGCAGCAGCTATCCAAAACCCGAAGACAATCCCACAGACGCCTTGTGGGTGTGACCACCGATCGCCGGACAATTAAGCAGCTGTCAAATGATTGATTTAGCTTACTTAAAAAGCAATTTTGTCTAATCCGGAACTGACAAGGCCCCGATAGAAACTGTAACCGAAGAGCCCCAATAAAACGAGAGTGGATATATGGGCATCCCCGGCCCCTCGCAGACAAAATGTCTGAAAGATGCATATGATTATCCGGAGAGCGTTGGCAAATCACTTCTCGGGTTTCAGCGTGTCGCATCCCATGGGGTCCGAAATCTGAAGATTAGGCTGCTTCTGCCGCGTTCATATTTCACACCTTAAACGACAATCTACGATTGCCTCTCGACTATTTGCATTTTAAATTATTACCGCGGTCCTCATTGACACGTTTATTTCAAAGAGCACAAAGGCCTTTGTCTTATGTCAAATGTATGCAATTTATACAAATTTATTTACAATCAAACTCCTCGCTTGTCTGCCCTGTTTGTGCCATTTATTGGACGCGTTGCTCTTTTTGCTATTTATGATTTCATTTGCCCTGCCAATCATAAATGCCCGAATCTCCTGGGAGTCAATGCCGAACTGTCGCACAGAGCGGCTCAATCAAGAGTCACAATAAAGCTTGGCCCCAGGCAATTCGATCATCTTTTGCCCAGATGGATGGCTTTATTATGCGGCATGAAGTAAATATTTGAACAGTAGTGGGAACAAGGCGTGGCGAATTGAGTCAAGTGGCTAAGGTCACCGGTGGGTTACCAAATATGGCTCGATGGATGGCACAAAACTGTTGTTAGCCAGAGTTATGACAGCAGGGACCACCTCTGATCGGATGCCAATCCGTAACCGCAAAACTTCATTAGGAATCCCGGTCACATGGCTGCAGCTCCTGAGCTTCAGAGCAATGAAACATGCATTTTCAATTTGAACTGCACTCAAAGAAATCACAACACTTAAAACAAACTCCCAATTTTCCAACAAATGGGTTTGCTGAAAATTTACCAAATTTCACCAGATCTAAGTGCATAACTTTTCTAATTTTAACCAGATTTTGAAGTGGCATACCTCTAAAACTGAATCCTTAGTTAATTTTGTATCTTCGGACATATTTTTTATAATTTTTAAGATATCAAAACTTAAGATAACAAATTTATAAAATTTTACAAAAGGGAAACAAGAATACTCAAGTGTAGAGATAAACCACCTCGAACTCCACACCAAAGTGGCCCCCGGATAATCACGTTTAGCCTCGAGTTGAGCGCATGTGCAGCAGCCGTTGTCCTGGTCGCAATCAAAATTTGTTCAGCATACGGAGCAGCAAACGACTTCGACTTGGAAAAGCCAAATTGAAAATGGGGGCGGAGGGGGGAAAACGCATGGAATGGATCCGTTGGAAAAGGGTGCAAACGGGTTCAAAAGCTCACCAGGCGGCCGCGTCGAGGCGTCTCGGCATCATTTCAAATATCAAAAGTCACGACGAAGAAAGCTGGTTTGCCACTCGACGCTCAACGTGTTCGATGTTTGGTTTTTGGCTCGCTTTTGTGGCTTTCTGTTGGTCTTTACGAGGCATTTGCCAAATAATCTGCCGCTAAGAGATGCGACTCTGCCCTCCTCCCAGTGGCATGTGGAAACTTGTCGGCGGAAAGTGCTTTTCACTGCCTGCCGATTTCCCATTGACAGAGGATGGGATTCGGGTTCCACTCCCCCGCCAGCTGGTAACTTCCCAGGCAGGTTACGACTCCCAAAAAAGGTGTTATGGCACCCACCAGCAGGCATTTGGAAATGCCCAAAAGATGTTATTAAATGCAATGGTTCATTATTTACTCACTCATTAAACAAAAGTGTTTCAAATTCAAATCATTTTCTAATAGGAAAACTTATTATAAAAGCTATGCTTTGATAGGTCTTAAATATATGTTTAAATTGAATAAATTATATAAACCTTTATAGTTTGTGTTTACTATAAGCGCTTCCAGGTTTTGCAAAAATAATTGCAAGTGTCGAAGAAGACCGGAAATGGCAAGAGGCATCCGGAAATCGAGTATTGAAACATGCGTCTTCAGAAATGAGTTAATTTACATGCTGAATTGGCGATAATTCGAGAGAAATTCGCACCGCGAAGTGGACCAAAAAATTGGCCATCCACTCAGCCACGAGGAAGTGGCAGCAAAGCCAAGTCCAAAAGCCAACTTTGATCCGCGGCACGTGTCTAAGTTGGCCCCAACCAGCTTGGGGCAGAGTGGCTTTTAAAGCTGTGGGCCAGGATTCGGAGGAAAGCGGAGCCAGCGAGGTTGGGTAACTGGGAAAGTCTGGCAGCGAGACACGCATAAAACCAAATAAAATAAAATTAAAGATAAATAAATGCGTAAAATGTAATTAAACCGCGGGCTGCAGTTCCACTAGAATTCCGTTGCGTCATAATGGCCATTAAAGGCGTGAGTTGTGAGCTTGCAGTTCGCTGCGAGCCAAGTTCAAGCTTAAAACAACCGTCGTAATGAGCTGGCATTCATTCATCGCCAACTGGCAACGGCAACATGCACACCAGCAACATGTTGCCGCCCGGCAGCAACATCTGCAGCATCTTCAGGCCCATGGTTTTGCTTTTGTCTTCGGCCAGGAAACCTCGAGTCGTTCGCGCCTCAGTCTGCAGCGAGCGTTCAGACGGTTTGGTTTGGTTTGGTTAACTTTTTCTCTGCCAGCGGTTGGCCGCCCCAGCGCTTAAAAAACTCTAAAAAAAATCAACGCTAATAGGCAACCTTTAAGCTGGAAAAATACAAAATCTAACTAACTCGGAGCCGCGAAAATTATCGGCCGGTGTGAACTGTTGTTCGCTAATTCGAAAATAACGATTCGAAATTTGGCAATTAATCGAAAACAAAGTGCAACGAGGAACGGTCGACAGCCTGCGGCATATGGGCACTATATAAATCAAATGAATATAATCCCAATAAAGTAAAGGAAACGTTAGCAGCTAATTCGCATTTGATTAGTTTATGTTTCTGTCTCGACTCGATTATTACGATTTGATTGCGTGCATCATCCGAAAGCGAAGAAGAGATTGAGGTGGAGTGGTCATCAAGCCATCGGATTACCGAGCTATAAAATTGGATATAACCCAGTTAAAATCGCATTCAAAATGCTGGTGGTAAGTCAATTGTTAACCTACTGGGACGTACCCAAATTATTATTACTTCAGCAAATAAATATTACTTGATTCAAAGTTGATACATGAATTTCAAATTTAAAATTGAAAGTTCGGATGATTTGTTCTTAAAAAATACAAAATAAGTTATAATTAAGAGAAACGTATCTTAGCCTGATTTTAATTGATGAACCGAGGAATCCCCTTAGACTTGTCTAAGCCAAATAGAAATTTCACTTAGCTTGCTAATTAAATTACCTCAATTAGTAAGACACAAGACCCCGCCCGTTTTTTGCGCTTTCAAATCTTGTGTGTGTGGGAGCCAAATATTATGATCTGACAGCTTTGATTGACGCCGATCGATCAGATAGCCCAATCATGAATATATGCATGGGATTTCTTCGTTTTTGGCAAGACCAAATTATTGAAAGTCATTTGCCAAGTCATTTGTGTAATGGGTTTTTAATGCCGTTTAATGACTCCGTTTCGGAGCCAATAAAACAATTTAATTAGCGACATATGAGACGCATTTGATGAGTATTCCGGCTGCCGATCGAGTTGTTTTACGACCGTTAATCACTCAAAGTCCACTTAGTGACTGACTTAGTGCCTGATTAAGACCGTTAAAAGCGACATAAAAGAAGTGGCTCTAAGGTCGAAATGAGAACGGATGGCGCTTATAAAAAGCGTTTTGGCCACAGGTGCCTGTGGATCGTTAAGCCCAATTGGATTGGCCTAGCCATGAAGGATTTATGGGCCTTCTGGCCCGCATGTAAGCCATGTCGGAGTCCACACCCCGGGCATATCCGATTTCCAGCTTACGCAATCGACAGTTTATGGCCAAAATTCAAATGGCCAGTGCGACCTGTTGGCCAGCCAAAGTTGAGAGCTGGCCGCAGCCTTCGACTGGACCCGAGCAACCGGATAGACTTCCATTTCGAGTCCCAAAACCCAAACCCAAACCGAGACCGAGACCGATGCCAAAACCAATCCCAGCCCAGCCAGCAAGTCATCTGCGAAGACGTCCCAAAACGCAAGATGTGTGTAGATGCCTGCCGTTGTTGACATGCAATAAAATTTCACTTTTCACCATTGCATAATTGCAGTTTGACAATGCTTAAAATTGATTATGCTGCGTTTTCCTTTTTTCGCTTTTTGCTTGCGTTGGCAAAAAGCGTAGCTTCCTTGCCTGCCGCTGATTTCACCAGCCCAAAATTAGCCAGCCGGTCATAAATCATCCAGGGGCACTCAGTGTCAAGGGATTTGCATTGGCTTCATAAAAAAATGTGAGCAAATATTTAGGAAAACCCTCGAAATATAAAAACTCATAATTCCTTAACGCCTTGGCTTTTATCTATAGTAAAAAGCTTCCCTTAATTATCAGGTGAATAAATCTAATAAAAAGAAAACTTCACTAAGCAATATAAAATCAAGAGGGTTGGGTAAATTCCGAAAGTCAATGGCCACTTCTTTCTTTCAACAGACTTTATCACCTTTGAATTTCCGAGCCCATTTCTGTAAGCCATTTCAATTATTTTTTTAAAAACAAAAATTATATAAAGACGTTTGAAAGATCTGCCAAAAAAAATCTAATCTGCGCAGTTATTCCGCCGCAATGACCTTTCAAAAGCAAACACAATGAATCTTCCATTAATGAAAGCAAGGCAACGCAAACAATAAAAACATATAATACAATTGGTTTAATAATGACCCGAGTCATTGGCTATCGTTCCCCCAGAGTAAGATATCTCTCTGGAACACACGTTAGTTTCTCTTCCCCATTTCAATTATCGCTTTCAAGGGCCGCGGGCTTCCGATTTTCACAGTCATTGATCGGGGAATGTTATTTGGCTGGCTTATCGGACCTGCTGACCCGCCGCCATTGTAGGGTAACAAAAGTAAAAGTGCCACACACTCCTCACTCGCTCACGATCGGCGCTTCATTCACAAGATATCCGATTCATGGATTCAACAAGAAATAAATAACGAGAAAACAAACGCCCGCACACCGAGCGGGCGAACGAACATGTATCGTGCGGGAAGATCTGTATCTAAAGCCGGGCTCTGCACGAAATTGTGCAATTGTCAAAATAGCAATTTACAATTTACAATTTACCATATGATAGATGGGCCACCGCAAGGATAGGGAACGGTGAAACCCCTCGAATAAATCAGCGCCACTTCAGATGGATGGCTAAGGCCGCTGAGCAAGTGCAATGTGACGGGATGGGATGGAATGGTGGTCATGCAACGCTTTTAGGGGGAGTTTAGTGTCGAGTTCGTTGCCTAAGTCTTTTGTTTTGTAAACCCATCGACGCATCTGCCCGGCGAAAGGTCAACAGCAGCACTTCCAGCTGGCAATTGCGGTTGGTTGCTGGTTGGTTACTTGGTTGGTTGGAGTGGTAACTGGCACACGATGCGGCACACACAATGTAAACGATTTACATAATAATATGTAACTATATAGACGGGGCAAACAAAGCTTAAAGCATTTACCACTTCCACCGGCCACCGATGATCGCGGCTCCATCTTCATCTGTGCGGCATCTTCATCTCGGCCGGGCTCTTCCTCGACGGTCTTCGATAAAAGTGAAACCGAAATTGCCGAGCACACGGCCCAATGATGCCATTGACATTGCATTTTTGTCTCGACGCGCCATTGGATGTAAGAGCAAAACAAAAAGCGAAAAAATTGTAAAAGAAAACACTGAGATTTCCCTCGGCCCCTCCCCAAAATCCAACATCTTCGAACTCCCGAACGAACAATGGGCAGACATTACGCGAACCGAGCGGCAAACAGAAATGATCGTAGGATGGAAAAACCTTACTTACTTGCTGCGCCTGTATGTGCTGCGGAAATTTATCGTAATATGCGCACATTGGTAATTTTGTCTTATTTTATTATGAAATGCTGTGTGGCTAAATAAAGGCCGGGGAGATGGCAAAAAGCGTTGGTCAATAAGCCCGCTCTTCGGATTTTCACCCGGCCACTAATGCCAAGGAGAGTTTGGCGCCGCAAAAAGAAATGTCGGTGGAAACCTGTTGGAACAGCATAAGGCATGACTTTATTGTTATCTGCCTGGCAAATTGAATATGAAGTCCAAACTTGAACTTCAGCTGGCTATCGGCGGTCCATCGGCAAACTTGACCTCTGGCCAATCAGGCGAAATGAGATGAGCCTCGTTTGTGTCTGCCTCGTTGAGATGCATTATGGATATGCCATGTCTATGACGGCTTACACGCAACCGACAACCCAACCGACAACCCAAAACCCAATTAAATGCACATAAATATGCAAATAACAGTCAGCCGAATGGGCCCTAATCGAAATGTAAACAGCTATGAATTCGATTTGCCCGAAGACCCCTCGCATATCGCGATATCGCATTATTGGTCAATATCTGGCGACCCAATCAATGCCAATCAAAAGCCCGCTTCCATGTCAAAACAGCCTAGGCCCAGAGATTAAGTTGATATCACATCGAGACAATGCCACGAAATCCGAGATCAGGGCGCGTCAGCCTCGAAATGCGAGTGTGAAATTATGCAAATGCTCGGGACCAGCTATATAGCATCGCTTTTTTCTTGAGTTGGCTAGCGATAGCGATGGATGGCTCCCATTGAGAGAAGATGCTGCCGAGGCCCACACACGCAATTACGCAGGTTTTTTATGGGCCCGTGGACAACGAAGCTTGGTAGCCACAAAGGCAGTTAAAAGCCCATAAAATACTGTAACGAATTTATTGGGCAACCGAAATCGAGGGGGGATCGTCATTGATAAAGGCCACAAATGGTAGCAAAGACATCGATTTGTTCATGCTTTTACAATAATGCTCCCATTCAAATTTTACTTAAAATGTTGCAGAAGTAAATGTTTATTCTTAATCATTCAAATGTCTTTAATAAATAGAAAAAACATAGAATAATAATAGAAGTAAAATCACTTTGTTAAAACTATCTAAGCTACAAAAAGCATCTGCAATCCAATTTTAACACAGTCTTCTTTAGCCATTGATTTATGATAACCAAAGAAGATTTCTGTAACACCTCTGCATGTGATAATCCCCATTGTTTTAGGTATCAACATAAATTTGCCTATGAATACAGACCAATTTGTATATCCCAATAAAATGCCATTTAAACAAACTTTGTGGAAAGATGAATATACCCATAAAAGACTTTTCTCCAGATCATCAATCGTTTATTGGGGCGTGAGCTCGCCTCGAACTGGCATTTATTAAAATATATTTCTATTAAATGCGCTTGCATCTTTGGGGATTACAACATAATCCGCACAACACCAACATTTATGCTGGCCCACATAAAACATAAACAGCAATTTGCACCGGCTCGCCAATTGGCGAGGAGTTGGATGTTTTGGAATTGGTGTCGGGATTGCGATATGCGAGTATGGCGAACTGTTACATCCAGAGCCAGATAAACAACTTTCGGCCGGGTCTCGAAATTCGGGGTTTATCATCTGGCCAGCTGCTTAATAATGCGTGGCCAGTGGCTTGTGGCTTGTGAATTGTGAATTGTGGATGCAACCAGCACGGGTTTTGAGCCACAAGCTAAGTGCGGAATGCAAAATGCATCTGCAGAATGCGAATGCGAAATATCTGAGGTGCAGCGGCGCTCAGCAGGCGTGAAATTAATCACAATAAAAACGGGGAAATCCATTAAACTCCTCCCCCAACTGACAGCTCGAATTACTGGCATACGAATATGATGTGCCATATCTTCATTGTTGGCCAGTGGAACTGGGTTACCCAGTCCGCTCGTCGAAAGCGGAGTTTCGGCTTTGGCCAGTTTCGCATTATGCAATTGCCGCTTCTCTCGGCCCGCGGAGATATTTGCTTACCTCGAACGGGGGAAACAATAAAGAAAACACTTTCAACCCACACACAGGCGATAAATAAATTGTATAGACAGCTCTGGGCCATTACCCATTGAGGCACTGCTAATTTATTGGCGTTGTCCGATTGTTGTTAAATCACTTTTACACTTAGCCGCATGTTTGTGGCCAAGACTTGCGGCTTCGGGCCTTTGCGGAACTCAGCGGCCGGCTAAAATAATTATGGATAATTAAAGGAATTTTATTGAACTGCCTGGCGGCGGTTTACGCGCTTGTTAATTTCGTTTGCAATGTGAATATATTCACCTAATTAAAACGGAAATCTGCGGCGCCCTTTGATTGTAATTTTAGTTGGGAACTGGCGCGAATTTCAAGCAGAGAAATTTTTAAATTGCCGCGAGGCTTGTTAACCTTCAACCATGCGAAATTTAAATACTAAAGCCATTTGATAAATCACATGTTTAGGCAATAAATATTTATATAAGCAAATTAGATCACAGTGCATCAAACAGAGGGGAATGCACTGTATCAATAAAATGTGGAGAAATGCATACTGGTTTTCATTGAACCCTTAAAAATATAAAATTTAATTATAGCAACATAATGAAGAAATCCACTCTTTTGGCACAGACAATTATAAGCTAATACTTCCGCAAACTTGGCTTGGAATCTTCGTGTTTTAAAGTGCCAAACATAGCAGGGAAATGGCCCGAAATGAAATAAATGGAAATGCCCACATGCAATTGAGCCCCATGCCTTTTAATATAGCTACAGAGATTCCCAACTGACCATTACGATTTATGATGATTGCTCTTTCTTTTTGCTGTGCCCGCGGATCGTCCTCCTCTTCCTCCTCCTCCTCCTCCTCCCTCTCCATTCCCCCTTTCTCCTTTATACCTTTAAAGCCACCCGATCCGCGAAATCAGAGCCGGTAAACTTGATTAGCTTAGCGCCAACTTGGCGCGACTGACGGACTGTCCGCCTATTTGACTGACTGACTTAATGCCCACTATGATTTCCATAGTGAAATTGACGCAAATGAGCAGCAAAGCAGACAACGCCATCGATTTTGTTGGCCAAAAAGCCAGAAAGCGAAAAGCCAGACGGAAAGTCAATAGCAAACTAGTTGTGCGGAGAAATGACTGCCGACCGAAGTTATTTCCCATCAAAAGTGGTTGCCTCCTGGACGTTGGTGTGGCCCGAAATGCTTTGCCCTTTGGCAGAACTTGAACTCTGGCCTTGGCTGGGGCGGAAGGCGGATGCCAGTTAAATTGTGAAAAATAATGGTTATTTTCACCAGTCTGTTTAATGTGAAAACACTCGAGTCATGTTCGATTTTGTTGGAACGGACATCAAAGGAGACATCATCCATCGGTCATTCAAAGGCAGAAAAGTAGAAAGTTTGGGGCGAACTCCAGTCAAAGGTGTTGAGCAGAGTCGAATGATTTAATCAACAGACAAGATTAATGAACGATAGGGGTTTGCCCGAAAAAAGGCCTTTATAAGTTTGCCATTTGCTCTAGTCCGTGCTGAAAAATTAAACCCAATTTGTAACTTCAACAATCCAGCCAAGCATTAATATAAAGTTACATTTACTTGATTTATCATCATAAATTTACACAACTTCTTGAGTAGAAGACACTATAGATTTAAAGAAAATTCAAACTATATAAAACTGTTTGCCTTCAGTGAAAGGTAAAGATTTATGCAAAATTGGCATGGCAAATCGCTGGAATCCTTGCTGCGAAATGGGCTTTTCATTTCATCTGCGGCTGCTGCTGCTGATGATGCTGGTTAAATAATTTCCAGCCAGCCAACGACTGGGCCACGATTGTTCAAATTTGGCTAGAAACGCGGAGTAATGCCAAGTGCCAAGTGGCAACAACGTGACTGCCACACAGAAATCCTGGGCACCCAAAACGAAACCAGAAAACCAGAAACGCAGACCAAGCCGAATAACGAAACCAAATCAAAGCGGGAAACCCACGTAGCTCCGGCGACAGGTGGTCAGATGGGTTGGCTTTCCGCCAGAGAGCCCATTCCCCCGGTCGTTGATGCAACAATTAGCCTAAGCACTTGGCCACAGCCAAATAAGCGTTGCAAGTTGCTGGCCAATTTGCAAACGGTCTCGCCGAGCCGCAGCCGAAAACCACCAGGAATCAATCGCCAAGCTGTTGAAAATGGGAAATTGTGCAAAGGCAAAGGCCCAACGCAGCCACCAATTCCCCCGAAAAATCCAAAAGGAAAATCACATCCCATGAGTGGGCAGGCTGACCGGCAAAAACTATGTAAAATGCGTTATGATTTTCTGTCTGTGCAAATGCCGGAAAGATAACCACGCCGCGATTAGCAGGCTTCGGTTGGAAAAACGAAAAGCGAGGGGTCACAATCCGCAGACACTGCATGCATTTTCCACCAGGTTGCGAAATTTCCCGCAATTGGGCTTGGCTATTAATTCGGCAAGGAAAATGCAATCGAAATTTCAATGAGTTCACTTCACAAATCTTTCGTTACTTCTTACAAAAGATATCTCAAGCTTTACATTTTATAAATTGGTGAATGGAATTTGCATTAAATTACAAACAATTAGGACAAATTATCACAAATGTGAAATATATTGTTAAAAATATCTGACCAGCTCTATTTATAAATTAGTTAAGGAGCAAACTTTGTTTTTTATGCAAGGGAATTTTTTCAGTCCCAACTCAAGCGAACCTAAATTTATGATTTCATGAATTTTCCAGCCAATTGCGTGTAAAGAAATGCTTCAAGAGTTGGCCAACTCTGAAAATGGCAAATTGTACTTAAGCTCGTTCCACGGCATGTGAAATGTTTAAGGTGTCACAGGCGATTAGCCCAAGTGCTTTGGGGCCCAAGGTGGCTCCAACTAGCCGAGCATCAATTGCCATTAAGCCAAATGAGGCTTGAAACTTGGGCTGCCGACCTTATTAAGTTATTAAACTTTAAACGCAACCATTTATGTTTCCTCTTTTCATGGTTTTTTTTTTTTTTTCCGAAAACAGAGACATTTAAACAGTTTGCCTTGGGCCCTGCTGGTGGTTCTCCTGCTGGTGGCCTTTAGGCTCCACGTAGCCACCTCGGAATCCAGTGGTGAACAGAAGGAGGAGGTGGACAGTTCCAGCACGGAAAGCAATGAAATCATTCCACGGGAGGCCATCCAGAAACTGGATTACTCCGTGAGACAGGCCTTGCTGCGAGCAATCGATAAATTGGAGCAGGAGGAGGCGGCTGCGGCTGATGTCACGGAAAGTGGAGAGGAGAGTCCGAGCAGCAGTGGCTCCCGTTCTCTGCTCCGAACGGAGACCTCCACCCTGCCCTCCCATCGCGAGAAGGACGAGATTCTGGAGGAGAGCACCAGGGGAAACGAGCCGGAGCCAGTGGTGCCCACTGTCCAGTTCTACACGGCCACCTTCGACGAGAAGAACGCCCAGGAGCAGCTGCTCTCCTCCTTCATCGATCGCTCCAAGCTGTGGAAGAAGACCACCCTGCGGAAGCAGAACTCCCCCGCCATTTCCCTGCCCCTCGAGCCAAAGTCCGTGGAGCCGGAAGGTCCGGAGAATCGCCAGCTCACCCGGAGTGTGGACAGCTCCAGCTCGGGATCCGTGAGCAGCAATGAGATCTCCCACGACAGCGGCAGCCACGAGATCAAGTTCGAGATCAGCAATGTGAGGAAGACCACCACGCCCACGACAACCACGACCCCGAGCACCACAACAACCACAACGCCCAGACCCCGAACCACCAGAAGACGAACCACCACGACGACAACCACCACCACAACGACCACGCCGAGACCCACCCACAACGAGGATGGGGAGAACATAGAGCTGGTGGACAAGCAGGACATCCGCATCCAGGAGGCGCCGCTGGTGACCGCCTTCACGGTGGATCTTGACGAGCGGGGCACGGCCCACAAGTTCCGCCCACTGCTGGCGGGCAGCCAGCGCAGCGGCGCCTTTGCAGCTCCTCAGCAGCAGCAGCTGCCGCACATCGGACCCACCATCACCAAGCTGAATGTGCTGGAGACGGAGCCGCCGGCCACTCCGCTGCCCACGCAGTTTCCACCCACCAGCAGCAGCAGCAGCACCACCACCCAGATCAGCACGAGCCCGAGCACCACTGCCGGAGGAGGTTTCTCCACCACGCCCGCCTTCCTGGCCAGCTCCACCAACAATTATGTGAAGGTATACCAAAAAGATTTGAACTGTGATAAACCGTCTTACAAAATCTTTCATTTTAATTAGCAATGTATTATTTTTACTGTTATTTAACTATTATTTTTGTAAAACCACTTCAGCAGGAACCTCTTAACAATCTTTCGGAGCCGCCGAATGTAAACAACTATCTGATTGAGCGACAGCGGGCTCTGGAGCAGCAGATCTACCAGCTGAAGGTTCAGGCGCAGCAGCAACAGGCTCTGATCCTGCGCCAACTGAAGCTCTTGGAGGAGCAGAGCCAGAGTCGGTTCCAGGGCACACCCATTGCCCAACCCAGCACTCTGCAGCCACAGAAGCAGCAGCAACAACAGCAACACCTTCAGCAGCAACAGCAGCAATTGCCGCCGCAAGTACAGCAGCAACAGCAGCAACATGGTTCGCTGGATGCCATTCAGACGGGCCTGCAACCACCCTCGTTGGGCGGTTACTCCATAAGGCCTTCGGTGGAATTTATACCCAGCACACACACCAAGACTGTTATTTATCCCACATATCCAATTGAGCAGCAATTGCCGCTGCGCGATGCCGTTTCGGGTCATAAATTCGCCCTGCACAATGGCAACATAAACGGCAACAACTATCAGAAACCGCCGGCGAATGCAGTGCAGCAGATTTTCCAAAATTTGCAGCAATCTCTGCAGAAATCGAACGAGAGCCCTCAGGTCCAGCCCTCCAATCAGTTCAACTTTGCTCCGGCCGAGGCGGCTCAACTTCAGGCCTTGCCCCATAACAATTACAAGCCGTTTCAACAGCAGCAGCAGCAGCAGCAACAGCAACTGCAACCTCAGCAGCAGCAACAACAGTTGCTGGTGCCGAACTACGTCAGCAATGCGGTGTTCCAGCAGCAACAGAGGGCTCGCCAATTCCGCCAGGAAACGGGGGTGGGCAACTTCGGGCTAAATCCCAATGTGGAGATTCAGCCGAGCAACTCCTTTGCCACCACAATTGTTAGCCAGCAACCTGGGCTCAATTCCAATCCCAGCCTGGAGAATCAGAACTTCTACAGGCAACATCTGACGCCGCAGTTGAGCAACCAGTTGCAGCAGAACGCCCAGCAATACCTGCAGCAGCAACAGCAGCAGTTGCAACAGCAGCAACAGCAGCAACCACAAGCCAGCAGCGACATTAGTCCAGGTAATGCACACTATAGGAGCAGACCGAGTAGCCCCAGCGGCAATCCTCTTAGTCAATTTAGCAGCTTAAGAAATCTTGACGAATTGAAAGTAATCAGTAAAGTTTTAGCTCTCAACCACGGGATACCGCAGTTCGCCTCACAAAACCTGCACTTCAACGGGGCCTTTTGAGCACTTGCACCACCAAACCAACAGCACAACCACCAGCACCACCATCCCGCACCACAACCAAGCAACCACAACACCCACTGTTTCCGTTTCCGGTCCTGCTCCTGAGTCCCTTTCACCCTGAATCGAAAAGCAACCGTCCTACCACTTGATTTAAGTTTTACGTCCAACATCTTTGTAAATATTCATTCTATTTTAAAACTTAAGAATCGATCTAAGAAAAATATAAAACAGAGAGCAGGATGAGCTACCAGGAGAGAGGAGGAGGATCAATTTTTGGTGAGGCAATTGGCAGAGCAATGTGTTGAAATGTAACAATTATTTATTTTCTATGTGAATAAAGTTTATTTTAAAGTACAACTTTTTATTATTTCTCCTTCAAAAGTTTTAAACAAAAAAAAATAAATAAATAAAACTCTTATAGTAAGCTCAATCAGTTTTCTTTATTGATTGCTTCATGTGTAAAATTGATTGGGGAACAGAATTGGCAGAAGCAACACTAAATTACGCTTCTTTGGTTCTTCGGTTGGCTCTGGGAAAACAAAAGGACGAGCTAAGCCAGATCGAATAGCTTAAAAAATTTTTGTTATTTAACGTTTTAATTTTAAAAATCATAGTACTGACCACTTAAGGCATCCACGATATTATCAGAAGCCGGTTGGGCGTTTGCCAAGGCAAACAGGACCAAGCAAACTAAAAGGAGACGCAGAAGCATGATGATAAACGTTGAAACACAACTGTAGATTTTCTCAAAAATAAAGAGTTTATATACCACAAGTAATTCATACACCTGCCGTGAAAAAAGGGAAAACCGTTTGTGAAGTTACTTCATGGGCTCATCAATCATTTTTCGAGTTTTGACCTAAAAAATATCATACTAATGAAACTAGGTTAATATGTTTTGCTTTATCTGTATTTCAAAAGTAAACCTTTGTAGAATAGTTAATTTATTATGCTAAACGATTTAAACATATTTTCAATTTTTCAATATTAAATCTGAAAAACCGTTACGAAATTAAAGTTAACGGCAACAAACAGAGTTTAAAATTGTCCATCTCTAAAATGCATACTTCCGCGTCTATCGAAATCGCCAAGTTTAAAATAGAAGACGAAAATTCAGCGTTTTTCGCCAATCAATTCGAATTTAATTAATCCAATTGCGCGAAAACCCGACAATTAAGCTTGCAATGGATCAGCAACTATGTATTTTTAGAATTCACCAGAGCGAAAGGCTGACGAAACAAGCGATTAAAACAGAAAACCGCTGAGTGCGCGCAAAAGCTTGAAAAGCTTATTTTGGCGAGAACATGTCGCTATTTGTTTATAAACAATGGTTTTAGTTTGCTGTCAGTCGTCGTCCCCAAAAGTGCGGCATGTGGTCGCGCGGGAGCAGTTCGAAGAGGCAAGTGGCCACCAACGACAATGACCCCGAAAAGGTTTTGAAACAGGTGCAGGATCTCAGCGATTGGCTGGTGGCCAATCCCCAAATCAACGGATGCAACACCTTCGAAAACCTGCATTTTTTCTCAGAACCTCAAAGTACGATGTGGAGCGAACGAAGAAGAAACTAAAGACTTTTTATCAAATGAGAGCGGAGCGCACTGAGTGGTTCGATAATCGCGATCCGAAGTTGCCAGAAATCCAGGAGCTTCTTAATCTGGGAGTATTTCTACCCATTGGTCCCGATGCGGAACAAAGGATGGTGGTGGTCATCCGGACAGCGGCTCACGATCCGAAGCTCCATACTCAGAACAATGTTTTTAAGGTGAGTAGGGGTAACAAGCGTCAATGTGTTTTTTTTTTTTTTGATATCACATAATTACAAAAATTGTATCTTTCTGGGTTTAATATATAAATACATACATTTATTCTTGAACTTTGTTTTCCAGACCAGTAAAATGATATTGGACCTGCTCCTAAAGCTGGAACCGGAAACTTGTGCCCGCGGAATGGTGGCCGTTCTAGACATGCAGGGTGTCCAACTGGGTCACGCCCTTCAAATGAATCCCAAACTCATCAAGCGATCCGTGGAGAGCTGGACCGCCTATCCATGTCAACCCAAATTATTGGAGTTTACCAATGCGCCGCGCCATGTTAACATCTTTCTAAATACCTTCAGGTGAACCATATCATACACATATCTTAAAAAATTAACTACTCTCAACCCTAATCTAACCTTTCAGAATATTTATGACACCCAAGATTAGATCCCGACTCTTTATCCGTCGCGAGGGAACCTCTGTGATCTGTGACCATCTGCCTAAAGAGCTGGGTGGACAAGGTCTCAGCTACAAGGAGCTCTCCCTCAAGTGGAAACACTTGGTGGAGGACAATGCCGATTTCTATGTGGAGCAAGACAAATACAAAAGCCAGCTCAAGTGATTGGGGTTAGTGCGGCGACAGTGATAAGAAGGCGATTAGCCGAATGCTATAGATTAGTCGCAAACATTTACAATGCGCAAATGCACACAGGCTCATATTAGTTGTCATCATTTTGAAAAGGGTACAATAAGTATCCACTGAATCTTAAATGTATATTGTAAGGCATTACTTCATACCTTTTAAAAGGGGTATTTAATCACGATAATGTATTTTGTTTTTGTTTTTTGTTTCTAAATAAAGTGTGAATGCACGATAAACGTAAAAGAGAGTTTGCTTTATTCATAATATTCTCTTTATTAGTATAAAACGTATCAAAAATGTTTATCAAGTCTACAATTATTATCAGTTATTGGGTGCTGTCGACCGTCGCCTCACATTGCTGGGGTTTGCATTACAAATTCGCTTGATCCGCTTAACGACGCCGAGCTATAAAGCGATAGTTTAATAGTAATAAATACATACAATACATACAGAAAGAAAAACGATAAACAAGGAAACACGCAAAATTTGTGAACGTAATATTGGTTGTTTCTCGAAAGCGGGATGTGTTAGTTGTGGAAGGCGTGCTGCTGCTGATGCTTTTGTTTTCTCCTTTACATATACATATAAATATGATTTATACTCCTTAAAGTTACGATTCACATATAAAAATATAGTAGTTGCTCTGGATCAGCAATTAGCCCGCTATAGTCGACTTTGTTTGGGTTTTTTAGTGGGAGGCATCCCATGAAGCAGTGAACGAAACTTAAAAAGAAAGGCGGTAACTAACTAAAGCGTAATACAGAGCGCTCCCATCACAAGTCCAACTGCAAGCCCAGGCCACCGCCACCTTCGCCGGAATTTCCGGCTCCCTGCAGTGATTCCTATATCTGCCGCTCGTCCTTCGCCGTCAGCTTGTCGATCAGCTCCTGCAGCGGGGCCAGTTCGCGCCGCTCGATCAGGTTGAACTCCTGAACGAAGAAGATGAAGTGCTTGAAGGACGTGTTCAGATGGGCCTCCTCGCCCAGCGTCACCACCTCTGTGAAGTGCTGGTGGTAGATGTGCGCGTACACGCGGAACAGTCGCTTCAGTATGGTTTTGGCGGAGGAAAGAAAGTTCTTTGGAAACGGCACGCCGATCTTGGAGGGAAACAGGGTCTCGTCGTCCAGCTGGTCCTGCACCCAAGTCATCAGATAGTCGATGTACTTGGGGGCGCTGCACTTGATGGGCTTCTTAACGGTCAAACCGTCGGCCCAATGGTACTCGTATTTCGGACCAGCCGACATGATGCCACAAGTCTCCTCCGTACAAAACTCGGTGATAGTGCCGTAGAGCATGTTAATCTGGTTAAAGAAGTCCACAGCTAAGAAGAAGAAAGATGAAAGATGATGTTCCGGAGTACCGTGTACTACACTCACTGTTGACGGCCACCCACTCGTTGAGATCCTCCCCATCCGGCAAGGCCACTGCGTTGCGCAGGTTTCCCGATCCCAAGGTGGCTGCCGCATGCTTCATGAGATCATACTGGTGGGTGCCCTCTGGGATGTTCTTCTTGGGCTTGAAGGTCTTACTGGAACGGGAACCGCTGTGGGAAGAGAAGAGCGGTTCAGTCTGGAGATCAATAAGAAAAACAACATAAAAACCCATTGGTTTTTTATAAGTTTAAAATCTCTACTTCACGAATTGATTTTTTAAACGAGTTTAAGAGAGGTTGGTCGTAAAAGAGTTAGGAAAGTTCCTCTGCATGGAGTTGGGGACTTCACCCCATCGAGCGAAAACAAAGCCAGAAAGTCATAATAGGGGGCGGGGTGATCCAAGCTTTCTTTGTGCTCGAAAGGACTGCGGTTTGCGCACTCTGTTGCTTTTTTTGTTTTGCCCCGAGAACTTACAACAAAAAGTCCATTGCATTCAGTTATTGTGCTTCGCCCTTCACTGGCCTCCAATGGAATTTTTCTCTACGTTGACTTTTCGGCGAATGGCACACCGCTTTTCCGGCTCTCCTGTGACGTGTCAGCCGATTTATTCAGCCGATTTTTACACAATTAACGCCGAATAATAATCAACAAAAGTGACTGGAATCCGCAGCAGGTTTCTTTCTCCCCCGAGTCAACTGCAAAGTGATGTGTGAGTTCCAGTCGACACGGTAGTTCCAAAGACCAACAGCTGATGCGAGCGATTCCAGGAAGTGTGCAGAGCCAACTATTTATTTCTGTTGTGTTTATAAACGCAAAAATTGTTATAAATAAAAATAAAATTGCTTTCACACACAGAGACAGTTGCTGAAGGTGCGAGCAGGACAACGCGACAGGTTATCAGGTTATCAACGTGGCCAGCCTGTTGAAACTCAAGAGTACGGTACACTGGTATTTTTTCTGGTATGTCTCTTACGTTCCCAACTTGACATACTGCGGTCACACTTTGATCGTAGCACGTGGAAAACAACTGTGGGAAGCATCGTGCGTGGATAAAATATATAATTTGTATAAAATCGGCATATATTCGGCATAGTCATGGTAAATATTTGATTTTTAAGCAGTAAGCTTTTGATGTTTCAATAAATATGTGTAAAGCTAAAATGTTTTCTCAATGAAAACTAACCTTAACAATGGAGCACCCTTAAACACATGTGCTTGCCACCGCACCAAACTGATATTTTCTATTTCCCCCTCCTCCAGTCGAACCTGTATGTGCTGTACGAACATGCGGCGGGCTTCTCGCTCTTCTCCGTTAAGGAGTTCGAGGAGGTGTCCATGTTTCTGCCCCAGGTTGAGTCCTCGGTGACAGACCTAGCCAAGTTCAATTCGATTGTGAAGCTGGCTGGATTCGCGCCCTTTAAGACGGCCATCGCCGCCCTAGAGAACATCAATGCCATTTCCGAAGGCATTGTGCCGCAGGATCTGCTTACTTTTCTCGATGACTTCTTTGCAAAACTGAAGAAGAAGAAGTGCACACTGGGCATCGCGGATGCTAAGCTGGGAGCTGCCATCACCGAGGCGATTGGCGTCCAATGCAGCCACTTTGGAGTAGTGCCCGAGATCCTGCGCGGCGTTCGCTTTCATTTTGCCAAGTTGGTCAAGGGTAAGCTATTATTACACCTTTCGTAAAGCACTTTTTCAAACCTCTATTATCTGCAGGATTTACGGATAAGTCAGCGGGCGTTGCTCAGCTGGGTCTGGGCCACAGCTACTCGCGTGCCAAGGTCAAGTTCAATGTTCACCGTTCCGACAACATGATCATCCAGTCGATCGCTCTGCTGGATCAGCTGGACAAGGATGTGAACACATTCTCCATGCGCATACGCGAGTGGTACTCGTACCACTTCCCAGAGCTGGTGAAAATCGTTCCCGACAATTACATGTTCGCCAAGGCGGCCAAGTTCATCAAGGACCGCAAGAACCTCACGCAGGAACAGCTGGAGGATTTGGAGAAGATCGTTATGGACTCGGCCAAGGCGCAGGCCATCATCGATGCTGCTAAGATGTCTATGGGCATGGACATCTCTATTGTGGATTTGATGAATATTGAGTTGTTCGCCGAGCGCGTTGTGAAGCTCTCCGAGTACCGAAAGAAGCTGTCCACCTACTTGCACAACAAGATGAACCTGGTGGCGCCCAATTTGCAGTCCTTAATTGGCGACCAGGTCGGAGCTCGCCTGATTTCGCATGCCGGCAGTTTGACCAATCTGGCCAAGTACCCCGCCTCTACGGTACAAATTCTGGGTGCTGAGAAGGCGCTGTTCCGCGCCCTCAAGACCCGTTCCAATACGCCCAAGTACGGTCTTATCTACCACTCCTCGTTCATCGGACGTGCTGGCCTGAAAAACAAGGGTCGCATCTCCCGCTTCTTGGCTAACAAGTGCTCCATTGCCTCCCGTATCGATTGCTTTTTGGAGCAGCCGACCAGCGTGTTTGGTGACACTCTGAAGCAGCAGGTCGAGGACCGTCTCAAGTTCTACGAATCCGGTAATGTGCCCCGGAAGAACATTGAGGTCATGAAGGAAGCCATTGAAGCCGCTGGCCAGGAGGCGGCAGCCACTCCTCAGTCGGAGAAAAAGAAGAAGAAGAAGAAGCGATCAGGGGAAGATGAGGCCGAGGCCAATGGAGCCAGCAATGGAAACGGAGCCGCTGCCGAGGATGAAAATGGCAATGGGAATGACAGTGGGGAGCCAAAGAAGAAGAAGAAAAAGAAGAACAAAAACAAGGAAGCCGTGGTGGCGTAATTGTCTCCATTACATTCAGCTTAGTTTTAAGTTCAAATCTACCTTTTACTTTGATGCTTCTTTTGTATTTTCTTGACCCCAATGGATCCTACTTCTATTTTAATAAACACACTTTGGAGGATATTCCCCAGAACGTTGTCTGTCTTTTGATTTGTAAGTCAACTCGTTAAATTGTCCAGATTGAAATTGGAAAAACAAATATAAAGTTCAATTATTGGTTTCAATTCTTTTATATTTCATATTTCTTTTACATTCAATTTATATACAGACACATCGTAACGTTAACTATTGCTAGAATTGTTTGATTTCATTATTTGTAGTATTTTGTTTAACAATTTCAATGATGGATCGCTCAGCCGTCCGTCCGCGCGTTGTGCTAACAAATCCGTTCAGTACAACCATTTATTCAACTACTCTGTATTGCATTTAATGACGACGACATTCAATTTCCGAGTGGACAATCAGGACGGATGTGGAGTTCATGGGTGTGATCCGAAAATTGCATCGGGGGAACTTGTTTAACAATAAATTTAGCAACAAATTGCACGCTTCGCAAACTTTATACAGCAAGGGGAAGGTAAACGTAAATAATATGTAGAACTGACAAGTATAGCGATCGTGGAAATGTGAATGTGGGAGTGGAATTTTTGGGGATTAGATCAAGGCCGGGGTGGGTTAAATTAGGCTAAACAATATCATTGAAACAAGTCGAATGCCGACGAGCCGTTGTTGTTGTTATTGCTGTGGTTCTGCTGCTGCTGGAACGCTCCAAAGTTGGCAAATGCTGGTTGGTTTTGTGGAATGCTTTGCTGCGGCGTCGCAGACCCAAAAATATTGGGGCTAGTCATCGGGGAGAGTCCGGTGAATCCACCTCCCGTCTGGACATTCAGTGGGGCCTTCGCCGGACTTTGGGTCTTCAGGGCGTTCATGGAGGGAGCCGGAGCACTGGACTTGCCCGACTTGCTCATCAGCAGGTTATCGAGGTCGATGTTCATCTTGCCGCCCTTCAGGTTGCCCGACCAGGTGGCACCCACATTTGTGGGCTGAACACTCGACGCGGTGGTGTTGTTGGCTCCACCGTTGGTGTTGTTGTTATTATTGGTCACCGACATGGGCTGCAGCAGATTATTGCCCGTGACGGCGGCGATGGGAGGCAGCATATTGTCTGGAAAAAAATAGCATTCATATTATTTGGTGTTTTGAAATTCGGGTTATAGTTCGGTATACAAAAAGCTGGTTTGAATGTGTGGCTTCGATAGAATTGCAAATGCGGCTACTTGGTGATCGGCTAATGAGGTGGTCACTACTCGGAAGCGTTTGCGCAGCAAATCAAGTGCAATTACATAGTTAAAGAATATGTCCGTATATGTTGTACGGCTACTGCGCTTATTGTTGTTTTACTGGGGTTGGTTTACCTAATGAGACCGCGGCTGCGGTGGCCGAACAATGCCCGGAATATTGAGAAATGCTTTTCGATTCACCATAATAAAGTACATATATTTGAGAAATAAAATTTGATCCGATGTGTGTGTAGTTTGCAATACAAATATGCAGTAGGAGAAATAAATAAACAAAAGAAAATTGTTTGAATACATTAAATCCGTATATATATGTATACCTGCAATACAATGGCTTTGCGGGCGAGAAATACATAGGCATTATATTATTCTAGCAAAAAATACTCTTCTGGAGTTTTATTTTTAATATGAAGGACACCGTGTTAATTGTTTTTTGGCTTATTTTCCGACAAAATAAGGAATTCGAAAGTATTTTAATAGCTAAGTTATTTCTTGTTTGAATAAAGAATTAAGGATTTTTAACCTGGGTTACAAAATACTTGGCTTAACAATTTGTTTACTTTTCCATTTACTCTTTGGAAGAGGAACGTGCTTATGTATTTAAAATACAGTGTTTAATGGTTTTTATAAGTTTAGTTTCCTTTAAGATGGTTTTCAATAGCTAAGCTAGGCTGCCTGCTCCGTAGCGGCTGAATCGAACAGCTTGTAGCAGGTGTCCAAGATGCTCTGGGCCAGATCCCGGCACTCCTCCGACGTTTCCCCGCCGACAAGAGGCGATCGTATAAAGTCCTCCAGCCAGCGTCGCAGCTCATTTAACGACTCGGCAAAGTGCTGGGCCAACACATGGCCAGGAGTGGTGACCAGAGCGATCCCTATCAGCTGCAGAGTGGCCGCTCGCACGCGAGCCTCGGCATTGAAGCGCACAAAGGCGCAGAGGTCGAAGATTTCGCGGGTCATCGCCGGCAAAAGTGGACAATTCTGGGAGCACATGATCACCACAGAGAGGGTGTGCAGCAGATTCACTAGCAACTGGGTGTCGATGTCGTGGGAAATGTTTTCGTATTTGACGTAAAGCATCTGGCGAGTTCGTTGGCCCCTCACCAAAGTAAAGAAAAAAGTGCCTGCTACCGGGTGAAAAGGATTGGGCTTCTCTACTCGTTCCGCAGTCTTTGGCTTGGAGAAATACCGTCTGGTCTTGGCACGCAGGCGTTCGCGAATTATTCGCTGGGCAGCGGCCAAACGCGCTGCAGGATTCTCCTCTTCCTTCTGGAGCTCGAACTTTCGCGGCAGCTTAGCTGCGGGTGGTACAAGATCCAGGATTTCACCCTCGATTTCCTGCTTATCATCGCCAGAGAGTTCTTTCGCCGCCGCTGCCAGAACCTGGAGGATCAGAATGCGCACACTGGCCGCATAGCTGGAGTTATCCGTGTGGAACTGGCGGCACAAATACTCGGCACAGGGACCAGGATGTGCCACACAAATGGCCACACAGCACTTGAATTGCGTGCGCTCAAACTGCTCATAGTAAAATTGCATTTCCAGTACTAGGAATAGTTGCAGCAGATCAAGGGCCAACTGGGTGTCGTGCCTGGCCAGCTGATTCCGGATAAGCTGCTCCGCTGTGGACAAAGCACCCTCAAATACCTGGTAGTTTTCTACTTTAGTTCGAAGGAGTTGAAGCAAGTCCATAACGAATTTGGGCCGCTGCTCAATGGTGCTGGTTATGTCGTTTGACAGATCATAGGGCTTCAAATCATCGTCGTCCTCATCAAGTGGCTCATCATCATCTGAGTCCAGCTGCATGTTCATATTTTCTGTTTTGGCAACTGGTTTCGCCTTGGTTTCGATTTTGGGGTGACTGTTTTCCTCCTTCTCCCGCGTTGTGCTCATAAACTCCCCGAGGTGTGATTCTAACTGCAATAAGTGATCCCCACTGGGTTTCTCATCTAGCTTGACCTTGTTGGGGCACTCAAATTCAGATAATTCATCAAACTCCTTAAAAATGTTCCAGTGCAACGTCTCTTTCATTGTCTCGTAATCAAAGCGTAGACGATCTTCCTCTTTCGTATCGGGCAAGGCCATGAAATTGAAGATAAGTTCCACTGTCTTCATGCCCACGTATCGCTGCAACGCATCTGGGGATTGCAGATGGTTGCTGAGTCCATCGTGCAGCTGACGTTTGGTGTCCAAGTCCATTTCGAGTCTCTTGCAAAGGCATTTGCCCGTCAGCACCAGCAATTTAGATATGGCCAAGTGCTCCTGGCTGTTCAGCTTGTGCAAAGTGATGCGCTTGGACCAGATTCCCAGCAACTGGTTAAACAGAACCTGCAGCTGAGCAGGAGCCACCACGTTAAGATAGCTAGCCAATGTCTTGAGCTGCTTGTTCTCCACTGGTGTTCGTTGCAGAGGCAACTTCTGGAGTAAGCTGTGTTTCCAGTGAGGGGTTTCCAAACAATCTGCACCCAAAAGGACATAGAGATTCAATTCCGCCGAAAGAGCCGACTGTGCTGTTTTTAAGCAGGCAGCAGGGTCAAGTTCCTTTATGATGCTATGCACCACTTTTCGTCCTCTGGGAGCAACTGCGTAGTCTTTGAGCACTCGTAGGAAACTCTCCAATGTTGGGCCATCGTAAATTAGGTTTATAAGCTGTGACAAAAGCCAGGAGTAGACTTCCAGATCGAAGTATCCCTCGATGTCTTCGCACTGCAGAACAAAGTGCAGAGATTTCAGCCACTGCCGCATCAGGAGTTGTTGATACTGGACTGGGGCAAACATCCCTGGCAGCTTACGACCCAGTCGATTTGCTACTTGGGCTGGCAAACTGATGAGCATTTGAAAGAACGCCTTTATCTGGGCGTCCAATTCCTCCACCCGCCTTTCCGGCATCAGTTTAATAGTCCGCGCAAATCGCTGCATCAAAGTTCCTCTCTGGCGAGAGATGTGTAGCAAGGCGATGGAAACCAGGCCGTCATCAGTCAGTAGTTCTTTCAGAAAAGAGGTAATAGTTTCGGGAAGATGATCCAATTTTTCTTGGAGCGTCTCGAAAGCCACGCGTATATAATCAAAACTGTGATCAAGCTTAAAGAGGTTCAGAACAGCCACATCCCGCGAGGGTTCTGGCCAATCCCGGCTGAATAGGGCGACCAATTGGTTTAGCACCGCTGCATAATCTCCGTTTGCAATCGAATTCCAGTCACACGTCTCACGATCGAGGCCCACGAATTGTTGCGGAGTGGCAAACCCGGGCAGAGCGTTTGAGTGATGCAGCTCCTTTAAAACGTCTGCCACTTGGGCAGCAGTAGTTGCGCTCTGAACCTGTCCCAAGTCACGCAGCTGCTTCTGCGCCTTGGCCAAAGCCAGCCGCACTGACTCCGGTGGAGGTGGCGGCGGAGGTGAAGGCGATATTGAATCGTTCCCGGACGCCAACTGCTCTTCGACAGCTGCGAGAGAGAATGAGAAGAGAACGAGTGCATCCGATTGGAATATGTTGCCGTTTATGTGTGGGAGGATGTGGGACTTTGTTTGTGTATGGGGTTGGGGAGCTCGAGGTAGAGATAATGGCTCTAGTCAAGCTCGGGCGCGCCTTCATGCAGCGATTCCTAAATACATCATGAAGTAACTGAAGCCAAGACAAGTACTCTAATCCTAAGCCTAATTTAAAATTACGACTAGTTTAATCTACGAGAACCGGACGTCAACTTACCCATGGGCATGCTTTGGTGTATGGACAGATCGCCCAGGCCCGCCAGGAGATCTGTGGCCGTCGTAGCCTCGGGCGAAGTCGCAGGAGCAGCGTTGAACAGGTCAAACGAGTCGTTTGCTGGAGTGGCGGTCTTCAGAAGATTCCCATCCAGGGCAGAGGTTGAGTTCGTCGATCCTTGGAATGCGGCAAAGTCGGCGAACTCGTCGTTGCTCGCCGGTATCAGCCCCGTCGAAGGTGGCTCACTAACCGGGTTGCTACCGAAAGCGGTGGCAAAGTCTCCAAACTCCTGCTGGCTAGCATCGCTAGCGCGGGGATTAAAATCATCGTCGTCGTCTACGTTCACTGCGGCACTGTTTAGGGTCTTCTCCTGCGCTGGCGGTGGCGAGCAAGTCTTGAACAGATCGTCCAGCAGATCGTTGTTATTGCTTTGCGTGTTATTGTTGGCCTTGGAGGTGGAAGGTGATGGGGAGCCGCCGCCCATTAGATCCACGCTGGTGGGAGTATCACGGTGCGTGGGCGAATGGATGCCCGCAGCACCGCCAGGCGCCGGCTTGCCAAAGTTGGCCGCCGCACCCAGATCGATCTTCTTTTGGGACAACGCCGGCTTGGCGCCCACTGTTGAAGTTGGCTGCTTGGAAACCGGCGAGCTGACTGCCTTCGAGCGAATGTTCATGTTGAGGCTGGTGGGCTTCGCCTCACTGGCCACTTCGGCGGGACTGGCGCGGTCATTGTAGCGATAGTTACGTCTGTCAGCGAAAAAGGAATCTTTTTTTAATAACAGTGCTAAGGGATAAGGAATTAATAAAAGCTCTTGCCTTGGGCTGGGTGAGTCGCTATCAGATCCCTCGCGCTCTCCATCGTAGTGAGTATCATCATCTTCATACCGATCCTTGTCGGCGTTTTTGTCGGAATCTGCGGATAAATATATATCAACTACTTGTGAGCTGCTTAGTGATAGACTCCGATCTTACACCAATTGTCTCCACGACTTGAGCGATAGTCGCCGTCATTGTAGCCACCGCCGCCGCCTCCTCCTCCACTGTATCCGCTGTAGCCACCGCTTCGCATGCCCATCGCATCGCTACTCATGCCGATGTACTTATCCTTGTTCTTCTTCGCCTTCTTGCGCTCCTCGCGCAGTCGATCATCATCCTGAATGAAGTCTATAAGCTCTCGTACCTTATGCCTAACGTTAATACCCTGATCCTTTCCGCCCTCGTCGGTGAACGTGTAGTTCTCCAGCGAGCGCAAATCGTAGATGTGCTCCCGGGAGGAGGTTACAACCCGCTCGGAGCCATTCCGCACCAAATAGTTGAGCAGGAGGAGACTCTATAAAAGAAATATATGAATATGAATATATTTAATTCGTTTAAGTTGAAAATATACCTTATAGGTGCGACGCCAGTTGGTTTTATTGTCCTGCAGCATTCGCTTCCACAGCATGGACATCACTTCCGGAAACGTCTCGTAGGAAAAGGTGGCGTAGGCCAGCTCCTGCATGAGTGGTCCTGTGGGCCCCCAAGGATCGTCGTTAGTGGCCTCCCGCACCTTTCCCTCTGTTTCCGTGTAGTTCATTACGACATTGGTGCTGTTATCGAATTATGAAAAAAGGCAAAATTAAATATTTTTGTATCCTTGAAATATCAAAAATTTTATAGTTTTGTATACGCTTTGCATTTGCAAACCAGAAAATCCATTTTTGGAAAAGTAAACGTATTTACTCGGGGCTTTGATAAATTCAATAAAGTTGATAATCGTAGAGATATAGCGCCAGTTAATCAGAACTGGTATCTTTGGAAAAACGAAGTGTGACAATGCAGCTTTACAATGCCCAGGAAGAGATAAATAAATAATATACCTCGGGTGCGACGGTGATAGACGTTCAAAACGTGATGGAAGAGGGCTATTTGTCGCAACTGGGCCAGCCTTATCAGTCCGAGATAAGCCTTAGAAAAAGTGTACTCGAATACCCTATAAGAACTCCAATTAACCTAATGTTTTGGGTGACATTGCTATTGAAACTTCATTGGCTACAAATTTCGGGAACTTTGGAGGTCCCACCCCATAAATGGGGGACAGGTGAAAGGGGCTAGCGGTAATTAATAGCTCAATGGCGACACAGAAACACCCGTTTCACTGGAAAGCCTGGAAGTGGAAGTGTTAACACAGGTGGAAACATTTTGTTTTATTTGGGCAGTCGAAAGCAAACAAATTGTTTCTTGATAAAGCCTCACACACACATACATATACTGATGGATATCCATATCGGAATGTGTGTTGGTGTGAGTAAAGCTCGTTTGGAATCACGAACAACCTTGAAACAGGTAGAAAAGTGAAGCTAATTCAGCACACCGATGCAGTGCATCCAAAAATAAGACACCCCTATGGTTAAGCGGGCTTTGATCAGAAAATATAATTTTTTATGCCAATAAGGAGAAGGGGGCGTGGCGGGAACTCGGGAACTCAAGGCGTGGGAGTCGTCACATTCGTTCGATTTTAAGGCAATGTTATACACACTTCTAAGTCTGTTCAGATATGCCCAGTCACTTACACCTTGTCCGCCAATTCGCGCACTTTCCACATGCTTATGAACTTATCCACCATTTTGGAGCTATCGAATGCTACGGAATTTTTCACACAATCTCGTCGAAAAGTGGCTGGAAAATCCAACTACAACAAGACGTCGAACTCGTTTTCGCTTGGCGTGCCGTTTTCTGTGTTTTTCTCGTTGCCGTGTTGCACTTTTGCATGAAAACTGCGCACTCAAATCGCACTCGCACTATCCGCCAAACAAAAACGTAAAAATTTAAACGAAAATTGTAAAACAAAATCACAGCAGCTAATTTTTTTGGTGAGCTGTCGTGTCTAGAGATGGGAAAGCATCGACGGAAACATCGATGCATCGAAGTTTTAAAGTACTCTAACGGCGACTATCGATGGTTTAATAAAATTAAAGCTTAAAGGAAAAAGAGAATTGGAATTTGAAAAATAACTTTATTCTAACACTTAATTCATCCTAGGAGCGTACGTACTACTTCCCTCCAAAGTAGTGGGAAAAATTGTTTTCGAAGTCAACGTACACAATTTTTGATAAGCCCCTTCGAAAATATGTTTCTGCTTACGCGATTGATTCATCACATATTTGGACATAAACTTTTTATCTCCAAACTTTTATTTTTTTATTCTTTTTTTTTTTTTAATTTAGAAACAAATACCAGTATTCCCCAATAGCAGTGATACTCGAGTAATCTCTCTTGCATAAATAATGATTTGTTTATTTGAATTAAAATAACTTTAGTGCTTCCCTGGAATACAGCTCTGAATGTAATTGGAGGAACTAGTTCCGTTTGCTAGTGACTCAAAATTCCGAATCAGCCGTCATCTGTGGATTCCCAACGTTCAATAGGAAAGTTAGTTTAAATTAAAGGATTTAATAAATGAAACTTTTAGGATTTCAATAAAAATAAGGCCCACCAAGTCATGAACACGAAGCTGGAGCCTCGGCATAGTGTAGCATGCTTAATTTTAGCCCCAGAAAATGTAAACAAAAAGGTTATGTAAACTTTTGTGCTTTTTGCAGCGTGCAGAGGATTGACTTAAAATGTTGGGGCTTCAACGATTCGCCGGCACTTTTGTCACCCAGTTGTACCGCCGTGCGGCGTACAGCAGCAATGTTCGGGTGGCGGGAGTTCCGTTGACCACCGCTGGGGGTCAAACGGACGGAGGGGAGCCGGAGTCCCGAACGCCGGCTGCAGAGGCGGTGGCAAAAAAGCCCAGAGGTAAGAATTTTCCTTTGCCGGCATAATAATAACTAACTGGTACGTAATTCTTCTAGGCAATATGGTAGCCGCTGCCTTTGAGTCTCTGAAAAACGACAATCCTAAGGATGAGAGCAAGAATCTGGCCTCCAGCAAGATAGACGAGCGCATCATTAATGCCAAGACGGTCAATGGACTGTTAGCTATCACGGAGAACAATACCGCCTTCTCAAGAAAGCATGCCCTTAGAATCGTCTCCATCCTGGCCGAGTGGAGCACCTTGGATCGGGTAAAGATCTCCGAGTTCGAGAATGACACCAGATTCCTGCGCATTTGCCGGATGTTGGGCAGGACTGTGCCGAAGAGTAATGGTAACAACAACAAAACTGTGGCAGATACCAATAGCGCTTCAAAGCGTATTTCTGGCTTCCGGACGGATGATCTGAACACGGTGCTCGGCGTAGCCGGTGATGATGAGGCGGCCAAGCTTATAGCCAGCATCAGTCTGCCCCAAATGGTCAAGGTGATGAGCACGCTAGCGCAACGAAAGAGGCGTAGTACTCCTCTCCTTCGATCCCTGGCTTTCAACATTAGCAGCGCCCCGGAGGCACTGGATCTGAAGCAATCAGCAGATGTTCTCTATGCCATGTCAACGTTGAACTTCCAGGACTCGGTTCTGGGCGCCAAGGTGTGTGCAGATGTTCAAACAGCACTGCCCAAAAATGTGGAGAAGTCCGCTGTCGTGGGTTCCATCATCACCAGCCTGGGCATTCTGCGTTACCGGGATTTGGGTTAGTTGGCTCGAATCTAAATTAAATCATCTTTTCTACTCACAAGTTTATTTTTTTTACTTAGACATTTTGGAATCGCTGACCCAGTGGCTCTTGAAGAACAGTGAAATCTGCCGGCCTCAAGATCTCAGCGCCTACTTTCTTACCTCAGCTTTGCTTAACTTCAAAAGCGCCCAGCTGGAAGAAGTAAGCAACAAGCTGGTTAAGTCCATTGTGCGCGAGGACTTTACCAAGCAATCTGAATGGCTAAGCTTTGTGTGGTCGCTCACAATGTTGGGTCTAGTGGAACACAACCACTTGGCATCTGTTTTGAGGTTTGATTTATGCAATATATTTTACGACTATTCATTTAAATCGAATATTTTTAGTGCGGACTTCCTAGAGACTTTAGAAAAGGACAAGGGTGGCGTTACAGCCACCTCCAAAATGAGGCTACTTAACCTGAACAGCTATGCCCACTTACTAGCCACAGATTACAAAGGTCCCCTGCTCAGCGCAGACAGTTCTGTCTACCAAGTGCCCATGGCGCACCCCAAGTCAAAGCAAACGCTGGTTAATGGCATGCTGGATGCCCTTAAGAGTCTGCTGCCGGCCAGCAATCATTTCCAGAGTGCGGTGGACAGTAAAATGGGTTTCCTCATAGGTGCGTAAAAATCTACTTTTAATCATGTTTCTGTTTGCTGATTGGTTGTCATTTCAGATGCACTGTGCCACTTTGACGCTAACCGAAATCCCCTGCCTTTGGACAAAGAAAACCCCAATGCCGTTAGGTAATATTCCCAAAATATCATTAATTTTGCTCTTGATATTTACCTATCCGGATTTTAGGGTTGCGCTGATGGTCATCGACTTCCATGACATTTGCCACGGAACGCATCGCAGCGGCAGCGGCGTTACGAATCTGACGTTTGACCTGCTGGAAAAGAGTGGCTACCACGTGATTCCCGTGCCCTACAATGAGTTCAGTACCAGCGACAAACTACTGAAGCGCGTTCAGTATTTGGAAGCGAAGTTCAAGGCGATTGCAAGTAGCAAATAGTTGCAATTGTAGTTTATTTAATTTTTCTTGTAATGATTGATTATTATCTGAATTGTTTAAATTTTGTAAATGTAAAATTAGGCGCTGAATTACAAGCTAAACCCAAACAGTGGAGAGTGTGATTTGCGGCGGAGACATTCATAAATTAAGTAACCTTTAAACGGCATCCAGTTTGCTGCTACGTTGCTGGTTCATGCCCACCTTCCACCACTGACCGGTCTCCTGGAACTCGATGGCCACGGCAGCCAGAGTGTGGAACAGGCTGCGTGCCAGCATGTGAAGATTGCCGATGTGCAAAATGAACTTGGGATCGTACACCTTTTCGATGTCATCGATCTTGTAGTGGTCTCGCGTCTCGCGCTCTGTCAAGCAAATGCAGTTCCATGGCGCCCAGTCATCGCTCTTGTTCCAGCGCGGCAATCTGAATCAAAGTGATATTTAAAATTGTATTTGAAAGATGGTGTAAAAGTTACCTTAGTTCACTAAGGTTCTCGGTCTTGCTGAGAGCCGAGTGTCCATGCCAGATCTTGTCTATGATGTGGCGCACGTCATCTGGCTGCATAACGAAGGCGAAGGATGTGGTGCACTTGCGTTTGCGCTCATCCCGGTGGATGCATCTCAAGATGGACTGGTAAACCGTGTTCTCAGTGGCCGTCAGCTGCGGTTAAGCACCATATATACTATACTATTCTAAACAAGAAAGGAAGCTAGCTTCGGCGACCCACCTTTAGATAGTAGCAGTGCTTGCAGGTGTCCACATGACTCTGACGCGTCCTGATGGCGAACTCGGCATAGGTCTTGACCTTCTTGCACACGATGCACATGCGGGACGGAGTTCCTGGCGAAAACATTTAAGAAGTAACTCAACTAGTTTCCGTTTCCAAGTCAACACTCACTTTCCTTGGGCTTGTCCTTCTGGAACTTTATCAAATCGAAAAATAGCTTGGTCTGGCGCTTGCGCAGTATTTCCACATCAAAGGACTTGGCATAGAGCATTAGATTCTTCTCGCGCTCGAAGAGATCAAAGAGCTCGGGAAAGTTCGGATAGCAAGTCTCCTCGGTGAGGACCGTCATGACTTGGCGGATGAACTCCAGGCGGTCCTCCTTGTTCCGCGGCTTCCGCAGATCCTTGTAGATCTCAGTGAGGAAGCGTACTCGCTGCGTGCTGAGCAAGTCCATGTGGATCTTGGAGTCCTTGTAGCCGATCCACTCTATTGGCTTGCCCATCTCTTTTAGCAGCTGATCGTTGCGAAAGTCCTCCATGGCCTTGAAGACGAGGTTGCGCTGCCTCTCCACGCCGTTCAGCAGCTGGATCTCCTTGTCCAGCAGGATGTTCACCTCGGCAATGCGGGCAGGTCCCTCGTAGTTGGCCGTGATCCGCTTCAGCTCCGCCTTCTTCCAGCGACTCACCTCCGCGAAGAGCAGGTCAAAGTCGTCCTTGTTGCGCGGGAACAGCTTGACCACTCGATGGCGTTCCACGCGCTGCTCCACGCACTTCTCGTACCGCTCGTCCTCCTGCTCGCGGTTCTGCACCAGGCGGCTGATCAAGGAAAAGGTTCCTGTAAATCTCTCCAAGAAGTCTGGCTCTACTCACCGATATTCCTTGGCCCGCAGGTGGATGTATTTCCACAGAATCCAGCGCCTCCAGTTCCGCTGGATGAGCAAGATCTTCTCCAGCTTGCGTTCTGCTCGCTCCTTTTGGGCGAAGGTCTGGTACTTGCCAGGAATTATGGTGAAGTCATTGGCTGCGGACACATACAGGATGTTGATGCCATCCAGATGGCACTGCACCGACTGCTCATGGGCTGTGTTCTGTAGGGGATTCAATTGGGTAAAAGTTCAACCCAAAATAAATATTTGTATCCCTTACCAGAGTCTTTTCCTTGTGCTCCCAGGTCTGGGTGTCCCTGGACTTGTACTTCCTGTACTTCATCTTGTCGAAGTAAGGACCCGTCTGGGTGAAGGCATCCAGGTACTCCTTGCCAGTGTTCTTATCCCGATAACCGCACAGGAAGGGCTTGACAATCGCCGCGTTTTCTATTTCCACCACCACGTTTTTGGGCTGGCCATCCTGGGTATCCTCGCCGGAAATGTGGACAGTGATGAAGTCCGCCAAACGGTGTTTGCTAGTTAAGAACCAAGAGGTTTAAAGGGTCATTAACTGAAACTTCCATAGATGCACCTACTCGTAGTAGACATCGAGGTCCAGTTTGGAGGACTGATCGCCCACGGTGCACAGCTCCAGCTGGAACTCATGGATGCCAAATTCATCCAGGGCGGTGGAATTCAGAGGCAGCTTGTCGCAGAGAATGCGACCCTCCTGCCGGAGGACAAGGGCAGCCGGATCCACCTCGAACTTCCGAGCAATGTCCTGCTTCACCTCGGCCAGCGTCATGCAGTTGGGATACACCTGGGCCAGGATGTCCGAGTCGGAGAGCCGGAACTTAACCGTCACGTTCTCCAGCTCCACGCAGCATTCCTCCGAGTGCTGGGGCTCCGATTCAGTGCTCCTCGAGTCCAGGGGAGGGGGCAGCCGGGCGGCAGCTTGGGTCGCTCGCTGGGCTCCACATGGAGCTGCACGTTGCACACGTACTCTGGGGCGCGCTCCTCCACGCTCATCTTGCCGCACAAAATATGTTTATCGTTTCGGGAGGGAACAACAGTTTGTAGTTGGGGTAATTCCAAAATGAGGCTGAAAACTGCCTGCTGGGTTTCGTTCAAAAGAGGATGGGAGCCACGAATTTGTTCAATAACTTTTGGCCGCTGCTAGGCGCCCTGTTGTGGCAACGGGTTGTAGGTTGTAGGCCAAGAAGCCGTTCGAGCCCTAATTCTTCAGTGGGGTCTAAGTACTGCGTAGCAACTCATTAACAAACGATTCCAAATGAAACAAACTACCAATTTAGCTGGTTTTCACTTGCACAAATAAACCAATTTTAATCTTTAATCTTTAAATGACAAAGAAGTTTAGTTTTCACTTAAAAAGAACCAATCTATTTACCAACTTTTTGTTCTCACGCACTTGCCCTAAATTTTGCACAAGTGAAAGCTCCCAATCATCTAATGAGGTTCAAAACTCTTCTGAGCATTTACGCATTTGCATAGCCATAAATATTTTTTAATTGGCCCGAATTCGGCAGCTTCCCATTCCGATCTGTCATATTTCAGCGGCTCATTATTCATTATTATTTATTGCACAACATCTGGGCTTTTGGCATGCGCAAAGACAACGGTGACAGTAATTACTTTTACTAAATGGATCGAAGATGGGAGAGATGGCCGCTCCACACGTGAAGGTGATTTGCAGCTGCTGCTGGAGCCACCGATGATGCTACCGATGCGGAAGCCGTCTTAATAATGATGGTTAGCGATTATATCATGATCCGAGCAGATATCATCAAATTTAATGGGCCCGGCTTTCAGCGATTTCTTTCGTTTCGTTTGATTTTGATTTTGACCCAATTCGGGGGTTTGTCAATTCGGCTCAAAGGAAATGCGATCCAGTTGAAAGGTTTTGCCATTTCCCATTCAAAAGCCGCTTAACATATTCGCTTTCCGAACCCCGAAACAAAGCAATTGTTTTCTATTTTCTGTTTTGTTTTTTATTCGCTAACTAAGAGTACTAATAAATAATGTTTTTGTTGTAGTAGAAGTTGGACTTTAGGTTGAGGGCCGTCAGCTCGGACTTTGGCCCGGCGTGGGCCACCTGCAGTCGGTGTGGGCGTCCGTTGAAGTAGTAGTCCTTGTGGTGCTGCACCCGCAGCACCTTACTGGGACTCCGGTGGTCCAGCTTGGGCCTGGACGTCGTCGTCGTCGTCGGAGGACGCACCGTTGTGGTCTGCGTGGTGGTGGCCTTCTCCGCCTCCTGGAGGATGGGATTGATTTTCATCGGCTGATAGTCCAAGCCGATGCCGGGTATGTGACGGAAGGGCAGTGGGGGTACGGGTATGTAATAGATTTTCGAATCCTTTTTCGTTTTTTTCGTCTTACTGCCATTCTTGTTGTACTTGCGCAGGCTCAGCGGCTTGGAGGTGACCACGTAGTCCATGTACAAATTGTCCAGCGACGGCGACTGCACCACGATCCGGTTGGCCAGCCTCGTGGGCGGCACATCTGCCCTTGGCCCGTAGGAATAGGGTCGGGCTGCCGCCAAGTTGGCCAAGATGATCAGGGAAGCCAATGGGAGCAGCGGCGACATTCTGAAAATGGGCACAAGGTGGGTTGTTAGAGCTGGTCGGGCAAATATTACCAACATTCTATTTTTATTGGCTTGTTAGAACGTTTTGTACAACTATTTCCTTCTCTAAAATTAAAACTGAGAACTAGATTAATTTTTGAGATAAAAGTTTCAACGTTTATATAGAAATAAATGGGTCTGCGGTCTCCCAATCGTACTACTGGACATTGGGAGTACCTTTTGTGATGACAATGAATGGGTCCCAAAAAATGAAATATATAAATAATATAAATATTTTTGAGAGGTGAGAGAATGTCAAGGCGACGGGCAATGAAAGTGCCGAGTGCCACCCACGCCCCACTCGACGGGTTGTCCGATTGTTCAAGGTTTTGATCGATGGGGTGGCAACCGAAGTGGCGGACTCGAAGTGGCGAACTGCTCGCAATCATAATAATAATCACAGCCAATGCGATTTTCTGCAAGTCACATGCCAAAGCCGAATAATTTAATAACAAATAAATTGTCTGGGCGCATCAAAGCGCAAAATGTTTCACCTTTACATTGTAAAGTTTCTCACGTTCCCCACCACACACACACACACACACTGGCGTACACATTAATTCCGAAGCACTCACATGCCGATATAATTTTCGTTTCGATTTGATTTAAATGAAAGCATTTAATGCACGCTAATCAAAAAAAATCGCCGGCAGAGCAATTACGCTAATGAGCGCGTCGAGCGCCATCTGGCGGCGCAGATTTCAACGCTTCAGTGATTAATGAGCCAGTAAAAAATAAATTGATCGCCGCAACACCGAAAAACCTGGGTTCGAATCGGATAACAAGCGGCTCGCCGTGCTTTTCGGGGCTAACTAGGGGCGTCGGCGATTCGCCCACAGTTCCAACAGGTTACGGTCTATGCAAATCAGCCCCAGTATATGTTTTTCCGATAAAGACATTTGTCTGGTTCTGTGCGGTTGTGTATGGCGAGATTCCACAACAAAATAAAATGCAGAAAGTTGGGAATTTGTTTTGCGGATGATCAGCGAGCCCCGCATGACATATGATATATGATGTACGATTGGGGTGATCGGGCATCGCAGTGATAATAGAACAAAGAGCAGAGTGCGAAATTCGAGGGACCACACACCGCACCGTGCGCCTAGGCTCATTACAATTTAATTGTTCAGAACCCTAATGACTCGCGCAGTTCGCGGAGTTCAGAAACCAGAAACTGAAAACTAAATTTAATTTGTCCACTCACTGACTTCAATTATCTAAGGCCGCCTTATTTTGCGCCTATATCAACAGCATTGCCAAGGTCATTTTCGTGATGCTGGCCATGATTAATCATATCACGCTCCTCTCCGGTGAAAGACGAAAGACGAAAGACGAATGACTTGGCCAGCGAACTCGAAGCTAGCGGGGGTTGCGGGGGGAAATGAAAGACTCAGGCAGCGAACCCGCTGCAAACGAAAGACTTAGGCAGCGAACTCGATGCGGATGGGGCAGCAATTATAAACTTATTAATGAACCGCCTGCCGGCCGTCAAATGCAAATGATTATTCTAATCGCACTCACTTTAAATGGCTTTGACTGCAGCTGCCGGTTGGCCAAGTTGATTACTGATTTTCCTTAATTATATTTGCCTATTGTACAATTTATTGCCGAGTGTCCTTCAAGCGAAGATGTGTTTACTTGAATAAATTGTGCAAATTAATTTATGCCTAATGCTTGGCGCACGTTCTGTCACGTTTATGGTTGGGTCTTTAGTTTATACTACGAGTATCTGGAAATCACTTTAGTCGCGTTGGATTTTCGCGTTTTCCTCGCACTGCTTTGCCGACGCGACGTTTTCTTTTATTTTTTTTTCTAGCTCGAGCGCGATGTGAACGCCTCGAAGTGCGGCAAATAAATGAGATCTGCGGACTGTTTGTAATTTGTTTTTTTCTCCTTTTCTTCTTAAATCAAAAATCAGTCGCCGTCGCCGTCGCTGCCGACGTCGCTGCTTTTCTGTCGTCATCAGCGGCAACTGGAAGTGCGAGCGTTCACTTGCCGGCGCTGGATTTACTATTGTGTGAGGTCCCAGCCGATAAAGTCCGTAAGACCGAAAGAGCCAAAAGAGCCAACAGAGCCAACAGATCCAAATGAGACGCAAGAGGGAGCCAACTGGTTAGCCGGATGGCAGATGATCTCCAGATGATGGGCGAGCATAAATTAGCCACTTTATTGTTTGCCCACTTACTGTTACAGTTGCCAATTGCACTTTGTGGGATTTGCGTGCTCCGCATTTGCCATTTGCTTAACAAATTCATCAGAGCCGACCAGAACTGGTCAGGAGGAAACCCAACACCACTTGTCCAGTAAGTCGGCTCCCGATTGGATTTCACCTCTGCAGCCACTGGGCCAGATTCCTTAACCCTCTGAGTAAGGTTAAAGATTCTGGAAACCTTTTCCAGGATGCAATAAATATTTTAAACACTTATCACCTGTTAATATTATCAAACACCTAACACAGTTTAACAAACTTCTTTTGTTTTCCAGTATAATAATAATCTTTAGCTAATTTGTACGAGTTTCGAACAGATTTAAAGCTGAATGTGTTTGCATAAATTTGAATGATTTTGTGTTTGTTTTGATAACACGGGTTCAACAAAGCTTACAAATTAATTTACGCGTTTTTGATTTTTACTTTTATTTGTTTTAATTATGAATACCCTTTTCAGCCAAGCGTTGGGTTGTATTTGGATTGCTTATCCCAAATACCACAGTCTGCTTTTAACAGCAGGTTTTTTACAATAAAAGAAGTTACCTTCTCAACGTTTAGCCAATATAAAAAATGTGCACTTTAACTGGTTTCAACTTAATGGTAGGAAAAGGGTTAAGAACTTATGCCTGACTCCAGGTGGGGATCGGGATCGGGATCGGAATCCGGGTGCAGTCTGGCTGGCAGCTCCTTTGTCTTTCCGATACTGTGCACAAATTAGTAACAAATGAACCTACGACAACAAAAGCCGTTGGCGGTAACACGAAGCCTTCGTTGGGGTGGGGATGGAAGGTCTGCTCCTCTGTTCCTGCAAGTGGTTTCATGTGGGCTTTTTCGGCCTGGCTTATTGACAGGCCACCAGGCAGCTCCAAGTGCGACTTCTGAAAAAGCCATGTGCGTGCGGCGCTTCGAGGAATCTGTGCGATTTGCCCTCATCATAATTTAATTGGAATTGCAAATGGTGTTCGGGGCATTTTTGCAACACTTTTGCGTGCGCTACTGGCGTTGAGTGGAAGTGTTGGGTGATTGAAAGAGGGTTCCACGACCTTGCTGCTGGCAGAGGAGGATGCGGTGACCCAATGAGCCAGAAATCCGCGCTGTAAATCAGCGAAAACTGTCATATTATGCCGAAATTTACGCAAACGTGCCTCAATTAAATCACTTCCCTCAGCAGCACCGTTTTATGAGCCGCTAATTAAACAAGTAAAAGCAACTAAAACAATTACTGTTGGGAGAGATTACATAAAGGCTTTCCAACTTTCCCAGGGCCCAGACATCTTTCACCAGCTCTCGACCACCACTGGAGACTATCTAAATTTGGGCCCCAAGCCAAACGAGTGACATAACCGCAAACACTCGGAGGTACAACTTCCCATCTTGTCAAAAGTTTGTAAGACACTCAAAATATTAATTAGCCATGGCAGCAGAACTCCCGGCAACTGGGCCTCCGGTCCAAAGTGTGTGTTGAAGTGCGTAAGCTCTCGCATGCGCCAAGTGGCCAAGTGGATGGGATCGAAATCTATATATAGTATATCCACGGCGCACACACCCGTTCTCACAGCCAACTGCAGCAACACGCACCAGCTGCCAGAAGAACGGGCAGTCAGAGGCCTAATTGTAATTGTAATTGTTAACGATTAGACAACACAACACAAATCACGAACAAGCTGCAAACGCCAGTATCTACGGTCTGGTACGAGTATCTGGTATCTATTAAATAGTATCTGGTATCTGGTGTCTGTGCATCGGCAACGTCTTCGTGCCTCTGGTTCAGTCCCATTTCGAGCGCCGTGTGTGAACCGAGTTTTAGGCATTATTAAGAGTAATATGTTTAATGCTGACGGAAGCAATACGGATGGATGTAGATGGCCCGGGCACGGGGCACCATAACAAACGGACACAGAGAAAAAAAAAACACTTTCCAAGAAATCGCAATTTCAATTAGAACAAAAATGGTTGTCGTACTCTAAATAATGACTCACTAGATAATCGTAGAACCATCGGATTTGTATTAGTTTTTGTTATTTTTTTAAAAGCTGTACATATAAATGAAAGTTTTTCACACCCCAAATAATGTCGAGAATAAAGCAATTAAGCAATTAACCAAGCTGGCGATAAGGAACTGAGATGGTTGTGTTTTTCGCCGTGTAAAAGCCCACCCTGTTTATCAACCTTGCTAAAGTCATCAGCAAACTCGGTCCCAGTTTGCCGGCTTCTAAGCTTAGCTCCCCAGTCCCCCAAGTCTTCTGGCTTGGTGTCTTCGGATCCGAATGACAGACACACACTCTTGGCTCTTAACTCTTAACTCTTGCCTCTTGTCTCTGGCTGCTGGCTGCTGGTTGCTGGTTGCTGGCGCTTGCGTGTTTGGCTACTGAATTTTTAAGCATTTGCCAGCACGCCGTGGAGTTGGAGTTGAAGGGGGGACTCTGGGGGCTCGAAGGCTTCATTTACATTGGCAACGTTTTAATTAGCCGCTTATAAAGACACTCCGAGCCGACTGCCACTTAGATGAATGGCGGGAACACCCACCGCCGCGGCTTCAGCGGTGCTACGTCACAGTTAAGCCGACTAATCAGCCGGCTTAAATCGCAACGATTATATATGGGCCAATTATAGCGAATCTTTTATTGTCGATAAATTCGCAGGTTCATTAAACCCGCGCAGCAGCCCATAAACTGACTCACATGCGGGCTTTGAAGCCACTTAAGCCTTTGTCTCAGATGTTTGCGTTTGTCATTCGGGTGCTTGGCATGTGGCCACCGCATCGGATCACCATCGAGTGCACTCGGAATGAAGTCGTAGACTTATGCAACAGAGCCACAGAGCCACATAGTGTACATGTGTCGGCCATCCCGATTCGGCCGTGCACTTGGCATTTGGCATTGCTCAGATTTCAGCCCCTGGATATCGGGGTCATGCCTGCCAACACGTCTGCAACTTTCATCGAAAGCCAAATATTTGCGGAGCACGCAAAAAGAAAAGTGTAACGAAAGGAAAAGACCTGCTCGCTGGCCGGCCGACCGTCGATTGTCAGCCGCAAGATTCAATATTTGCTCATCCGTTCCAAACCGTTTAGCGAATTCTTCGCGGGGATTTGTGAAAGTCCCCGGGGCAGGGAGCAGGTTGAAATGGGCGTTGCGATCGCCACTGGCGCTTGGCCTCCGCCGACACCGACACCGATTGGGGGCGATTGGCAGCCAATTGCCAGTGGATTGGCAGTCGAGATCGCTGCTTCCAGAGTCTGGGTCTATTGAGTCATAACCAAGGGGCCCAAGTGGTTCGGGGAAGAGCTCTCCAGCGGAAAAAGAAAGAAAGAAAGAGTGAGTAAGGTATGGGCAAGTTGAGGGGAATCCCCTTGTTTCTGATCGAGTTCTGTTTGCAGCATTCCTATTTCAATTTTCAGCATTTACTATAAAAACTCTTTTAGCAACGCCAATTCAGCAACTTAAATTCAGTTGAAAAACCACTAAAATATGTCAAGGTAACCAAAGATGGTAATTATTATTTGGCGTGCTTACAATCATGAACTACCTGCGACCTTCGACTGTCAGCGGAGATCGGTGGTCTCAAGAGATGAGTATCTGAACAATGGCAACATAAGCTCGGAAATCCTTAGCCATATAGAGCTTCAAAGATACAATCACCTCCCACACCGAGTTGAGAGACCCCTGGTTTCCCCAAATATATCGCTATGATCGATGTGATTTATACCCATCATAAAGACGACTTTCCAAGTATCCAACAATCAGAGCAAGCGATAGATAAGATATATGGAAAGATCGTTTATGGTGGCTTTACGGCCTTTTTCAGTGGATGAAAGATTTTAGCACGTACTCCTTCGCATAACACAAGGATTCCATGGCTTTTCCATTAATGATCAGAAGTATGTTTTAGATAATTGAAAACCTGTTGGCCATTAAAAGGAAAAGCAGACGAAACCCCAACCGAACGGAAAATACAATATGCTCCGATGTTTGTATTGTAATTGCGTTAAACGCATTAATTAGCCGGCCAGCGGACGAGAAAGAAATCATTGGAAACGAGTTAATTACCCGGCGGCTTATATTGTTTCGGCTGCTCGCCAGAGGCAGCAAAAGCGAACTATTATTTCAATTGGAATTTAATTTCGTGAGTGGGCATTGTTTGTATTGCCATCTTTGGGGCTGGCCCAAATGCGAAACCCCTTGGCTTGCGAAAAAATCGCACCGCGGTCAAACCCATCCGCCGACCTTGAGAGGCAAACGAGCCATTAATGGCGTACGAAGTCACACTTTAAGATGGCCCTTCCACGGTCCACGATGTCAATAAACCCGGGTTCTGGAGAATCCATCTGGTTGCCGGTCGCCGCAGCATCCTCCACACACGTCGCATCTTATCGAGATCATCCAATGCCACCATCAGCGACACTGGGCTGTTATCAATGTATCTATTTTCATTGCTTTTAAACTGCGGAGCCGGCCATTATGGTCTCCCTTTGGCTTGGCTTGACGTGCAGTAAAACTTTAATTTCTATTGAAGTGCGATTGGCATCAGATTTTACAGAGCATTGTCTCAGTTTTACGAGCTCTGCTCTTAGAACAAAAGTTTAATTTTAGCATGCAGTAGCTCTAAAAAAACGATATTCAACTAAACTAGTTGTGAATGCTATGAAGAATAAAATATAGCTCGACGAGGATGGGATTCGAACCCACGCGTGCAGAGCACATTGGATTAGCAGTCCAACGCCTTAACCTCTCGGCCACCTCGTCATATGCGACCTTGACAGCCAAACGCTGATTTCCCGCACCGCTTGATCGGCCAGCAAGCAGTGTTGGTTCTTATCGGTGAAGCAAGCACCTAAAACGGAATAAATAATGAAAAGCAATAGCTGTCATCAATGAAAACAAACTTTTAACAAAAACATAATCTAAAAAGGTTTATATTCCTAGACAAAATTAGTATTCAAGCATACCAAATATATTGTTCTTATGCCATTAAACTGCTTGTTGTCGATAACAATGTGAACAGATGCTTCGCTCAGAACTAGTGGTTTGTTTGACCTACCCGCATCACATGTGACGAGGTGGCCGAGTGGTTAAGGCGTTGGACTGCTAATCCAATGTGCTCTGCACGCGTGGGTTCGAATCCCATCCTCGTCGATTGAAACTTTTTGTTATTCTTTATTTGCTCGGTAGTTTTAAATAAAAGATTTAATAGTTATTTAAGTACCTGAAACGTTTTTTGTTAATAAAAATGATGGAAAAAAGTTTTGGTACATAGTATGTTTAAAAGTTGAAAACAAAATGGTTTATTAAAAAACAATAATTCATATTGATAAATTCTTATTGGTAAAACAAACAAATGGCTTTTATGGACAATATTTAAGCGTAAATGTTCTACAGTATTAAAGAAGATAAATAATGTGAATACATATAATAAGGTAAAGTGTAGTAGTAGTCAAAGGCGCTGCGACTGACAATTAAGTTAAATTAGGTGATTAAAGGACCTTTTTTGTACTTTTTGCAATATAATATACAGATTTGCATCTCTAATTTCAAAAAACCATCTAGAACGTGCAATTCCCAATTGACGAGGTGGCCGAGAGGTTAAGGCGTTGGACTGCTAATCCAATGTGCTCTGCACGCGTGGGTTCGAATCCCATCCTCGTCGAAATAATCCTTTTGGAAAAATATCCTTTGTTTGAGCTCCGAGCTCTAAAGTATTTTGTAACGGTTTACTTTCAAACAAATATATCATTATGCAGAGATAGTATATTAAATTAATAAATAATATAATCTCAACTATTTTTTTTAAACTTTACTAAACTTATAATAATAACTTTATCATAATAATAAAAAAAAATAATCTTACGACGAGGATGGGATTCGAACCCACGCGTGCAGAGCACATTGGATTAGCAGTCCAACGCCTTAACCTCTCGGCCACCTCGTCTTCAGAAAAAAACTTATGAAAACCCCGCTTTCGCCAAAGAAGATTCTAGCTTCTTATCAAGTTATATGAGAATACCAGGTTGGAACTAATTGAACTATCACTCGGGAGATAACAGAGTTTTCCAATCTCAGCCAAGTTATCGGTAACTTGTTTGGCAAACTCTGAACTGTTTGTTTTATAATGGTGTCAATAAAGTGCAAGCTCTACATTCAAGTTTTTGAAGAGGTGTTTGCCATGGTTCTTCATTTGTTTGTTGTTAAAGAAAGTAGCTAAGTGTGGCTCGTTCAACTATGAGCATTGTAGGGTATTTCGCTTTATTATCTTCTGTACATTAAATACTCGACGAGTAATTTGTTTACTTAGCCCGACTAGTGGGCGACTTCCTGAGGGGGTTTTCAATAATTCAGATTCTCGGCCGGCGGTCGTGCCGCTTCTGACCCAGTTCTCCGCCGATCTTCTGTCTTGGCTTCGATTTCTTTTTATATCCCTCTTTTGGTGTAAAAAACAAAAGTGGTTTACTTTAGATGGGCCACGCTCGATCGAGTGCGGCGAAGCGATGATGGTGCTGATGATTTAATACGAGAGCTTCTGCCTTTTAAATGGCAATGGCCATCAGCAGTGGCCCCAACAACTGCGGCGTTTTGTTTGGGCCATGTTTGTGTCCAGGCTGTCAGTCGGTGTTAATGAACCCTTGTAGCCTGATAGCTGTTAGTTGTTTACGTTCCGAATGCCGATACCACGATAGCACATTGAATCCTACACTGAGGAATGCTTTAAAAGCTGAAATTATAAGACCTTATTAATCAGGTGCTTGCTTAGATCACAAAACTTTACTTTACCTGAAACCTTATAAACACCCAAATAAAATTTAAAAAAAGAATTGTTAAACCTTTATTAGATCCTGCTTTCCCTGGCTTCACTTATTTTTTTCCCGCAGTGCATCGACGACATTGTCACCTAACGTGGCTTCGTTAGGAAAGTGGCCAAGTTTGATGATCCGCAGGCACGCGCGTTTTATATTTAGCCCCACACCAGGCGACTCGGGTCCTCGGCGTCGGGGAGCGGGGCTGGTCACGTGCACAAGGACATTCCAAGGCTAATTACGTGTGGCATGGGGCTTGGCCAAGTCGAGCTCGGGCCTCGGACTGGGCCTGGGCTTGGTTCTAGTGACAGTGGCTTTCGGAGGGTAATGGTAATACACACATAGAACACGAACCGTTCATTATTGTCGTCGCTTGTTGGCAGCCAGTTGCCGCAATCTGCGGCATGTATCTGTATCTTTGCATCTGCGTGGATGCTGCTGCTGCTGTTGCTGCCGCCGCGCCGCAGCTTAATTAGCTGCGTAATTTATTATTGGTCTAATCTCAACGCCGGCGCCAGTGCCGCTGGCTTTGACAAATAAACAAATTATTCATATTAGAATATTAATAGTGCCCGGCGGGCTTATCTGGCGGATCGGGTATCTGGCGTATCTGGAGTATCTGGCATAATTATGACCTGTTTGACGGACCTCTTTGGCTGCCACTGCCACTGGCTGAGATACTCCGCCTCCGACACCAACTGGCATTGCTGGCTCTTCTTGCGCGGTAATCGCTGGGCCGACAATAAAGATGCACACCAACTGAATATGTAGGCACGCCGATGCAATCGCACAATTATGCCCAATTATGCAACTGGGAAGAGATCTCCAGATCAGCAGGAGCAGTAGCAGGTGCGCGAGGCCGAGTGCTAGGTGGAATGCCGGGCGGATATCATTGACTAATGAGCCCGGCTCTGAGGTCTTCTTTCGCCTTGTCATAAAAATTAAAATGCATAATCGCGGGCGTTGCTTCGCAGGGCGCTTGTTACCCGACACGGGGACCTTTTGCCGGGGTAATTAACATTGCTCGCGATTCTTTGGCCAGCCGGAAAGACAGAAAGACAGATAGCTGGCTGTAGAGCCAACCAACAAAACGCAGCAATTGCATGTGGATGTGGCCTTTGCAGCTGCTGGGGTCGGGTTATATTCACAGTCGGGGCTAATTAAGCCGGCGTTTAAGCCGCTGGCAATTAGCCGATTTATCACTTGCCACAGAGCCTCGAAATCATGACCGCAGATCGCTGAGAACATCCAAGCAGCAAGTGCAAACAAACTTAATGCTCAAACGCTCTGCGCACTTAACTTCTGCGCTTCTTCAGTTCTGCGCATGCGCAGCGCCGTCGACGTCGACTGAGCCGCTGGGAATGTCGGGATTCTGGCCAGGCCCACTATATAAAGCGCCGATTCTGGCCGCGATCGCACTCACTTCCAGTTGAACGCGTCTGCCGACCAGTGGACCAATCGATTCGTTGGCAACCCGAAAAGGACTTTCCGATCCTGCAAGGCAATCATCGATCTCTAGAACATCTCGCAGGTAAATTTAAGAAAAGTGATTGGTAAAGTGAGACTTTTTGAAAAAGTGTAGGAAAGCAAAAGCTTCTTATTTGGGAAATGTATAACATAACACTAGTAAAATTTCTAGATATTTACTTTTCGAACTAGTGACCAATTTATAAATTTGATTTCAAGGGGCAAAACCAAAGGTAACTACATACCATTTATCAATGCATGGAAGTCTAAAGTCCCCCCTCTCAACTCAGCTGAGAGTAGAATCACACGTAATGGTCACTTATTACCCAACTTAGGGTACTTCGCTTAATAGGGAATTATTATAGGCTTGGGAGTCCGCTTACTTTGTAAGCACATCGCTCGCCTCGATCTTCACCAGCCGTGGTAGTCCAAAGTGCTGACCACATTTTTCCGTTGTTTGCTTACTTACAAGCTGCTGGGGGAAAATCCGCTCGTTGCGCAATTGGAGTGTGAGAAACTAGCTCGCGGCATGCAAATCAGCAAATCAGCTCCAGTGGATTGGGGTCAGTCGGAGATCAGATCAGAAGTTTGCTCATATCATGTGCCACGATCTGTTTACAGCTACGCACACCACCTGAGATGGCCACTCAAATGTGGAGTATTGTCCTGGGTCTGCTGGTGTTCGATCACCTGGTTACGGCGGCCAATCTCGCCCAGCTGGTGAAGAAGCAGAGCCAGCAGAAGCAGGTGCCATCGCCGCAGGCGGGACAGCAGCAGTTGCCGCAGGGCCAGCAGATCCACGCCCAGCAGTACGTCCAGGACAGCCTGACCGAGCAGCAGGAGCTGAAGGCCGAGGAGGAGGAGGACCACGACCCGTACCAGCTGCTGCAGGAGGCCAAGCAGGAGTCCCGCCTGCCCAGCACCGCCAGCTATCCCTGGAGTCCCTATGCCGCCGCCCAGGGGAATCCCTACGAGGCCATGCCCAAGATGCTGCCCTTCATCGGCTACGCCCAGCCCGTGCTCATCCCCGTGCCGCTCTACCTGGCTCCGGACATGTTCTACCCCGCCTTCCCCGGCACCGGCAACGACCTCGAGGACGTGGTGATGTCGCGGGCCGCCGGAGGGCGTCGTCCGCCCGCCAACCACCCGCCGCCCGCCCGCAACTCACCCATTTACTACGTGCGGCTGCCGCCCACGCCGTACATGTTCCTGCCCAACATGCCGACGGCTCCGTTCGCCGGGGGATTCTCCCCGCTGCTCACCTACCAGCCGATGCCCTCGTTCTCCGCCTACGGCTCGGTGTTCAACCTGCCCGTAAACTTCCTGGCCAACGGAAAGCCCACCGGCGTCTACCAGGTGAACGGATCCCCGGGCGAGGGACTGGGATCCCTGTCGCCGAGCTTGGGTGGCGCCGGATACGGCCTGCGGCCACCCACTCCGAGCAACCCCTACAGACCCATGTCGGCGCCCTCGATGGGCGGCGGCTACGGGGGCTCCCACCAGAGCTTCGGGCTCGCCTCCTCCATGCCGGTTCCCCAGCAGGACTCCAAGCTGACCTCCCTGAAGCGCCCCTTCGTGTTCAACGGCCGTCCCGAGGACATCTACATCCTGCCCAACAACCTGAGTCCGCTCTACAACGAGCAGACCTACTACTGAGTGCAGCTCCTGCAAAAGGAAAGGTTTTCCGCAACTGAAAGTATTATGTACCGCATTTACCAGATCCATGCCAATGGAGCTTGAAAAGTAATTTTTAATAATATATCCTCCGAACACTAAGCACTGAGTGTTTTAATTGGGAGCAAACTTAATATAATATATAATATTATATAATAATATAATGATCAATAGTGATTGTATTTGTATAATCAGCTCCATCATCTTTATTGTGTATAAATTGTATATTTTTGGCCGAAAATATCAGATGGGGTAGACAAATAAATAATAGTTAGACTATTCTTAACAGACGATCCTCGCACTTCAAGACGCAAAGGCAGTAAAGTTTGCCAGGAAATATTGGTGTAAGTCCCACAAAAGGAGAGTAAAATCAGTCGCCGATGGCTGCTACTTGGGCTGTTTTCCGCCTGATATATTCCTGATCCCCCAGGTTAATGGCGGAGCCAATCAAGCCTCCGGTATTCAGATCGAACTCGTAGACTCGCGGCACGCAATTCGGAATGTTCACCTTTTCGATGTCGTCATTGGAGATTCCTTTCGACAAAATATAAAATTGTGTTATGTAAATAGAAAAACATCTTCCCAAAAATCAAAATGAAACTTTGGATGTAGTTCTTTAGGGAAATGAATTACAAGACTGTAGAGGTATGCCACAACAAAATCTGAGTAGTAAATCATTTAAATTAAAAAAAATAAGTCAAAAAATAAAAAAAATTCTAATGATGCAGTTCGTTAGAGAAGAATTAAGCAACTTCACAATCGGATTAAAATTAGAAAAAAAAATACTTATTTTTCAATTTTGTACCTACCCTCGATGTGCTGGACGAGGGCACGGGCCACGGTCCCGTGGACGCACATGAGGACCCGCGACCCCTGGAGCACCTCCCGCTTGACCTCCTTCCAGACGGGCTCCACCCGGTCGACGCACATGTGGAGGGACTCCGCGAGGGGGAACTGCCCGGGGGGCACCTCGTCGAAGATGGGGTTGCTGCAGATGGTGTAGTAGTAGCGGTTGCTCTCCTCGATGGGCGGCGGTACGCAGTCGTAGCCCCGCCTCCAGGCCTGCACCTGCGCCTCCCCGTAGCGGTCGGCGATCTTCCGCTTGTTGAAGCCCGTCAGGTTGCCGTAGTGGCGCTCGCACAGCCGCCAGTCCTCCTTGATGGGCACGTAGGCGCAGTTCAGCTTGCTGAGGATCAGCTCGGCCGTTTGCCGGGATCTGCTCAGCACGGACGAGTAGACCACGTCGAACTCCAGCTGCGACTGCTCGAGAGCGGGAATAGCCACTGTGAGAGCCTCCTGCACGCCTGATCAAGTAACACTTAGTTTATCTGTATCTGATGGATCTTTTAATTAAGGATAACTCACCGAAATCGCTGAGTGGAGCATCGTGCCAGCCGCAGAATTTGTTCTCTATGTTGAAGTCGCTTTCGCCGTGCCGCAGAACCACCAGGCGATTTGTTTTCGTCATGAACTGGGAGCTTTAAGCAGAAAATAAATGACACGGTTAGTTATTAAATTAAAGTTTGCAGAACAGCAATAAATAAAATATGTTCTACGAGTAACTTGATGTAACTTTGTTCTTGCGTTATAAATATAACCCTTACAATATTATTTTTGTGTACTTAATTTTATTGGCAAACAATAGGTATAGTTCATATTAATTACTTTTACTGTAATGTCACTAAATCCGAAAGTTGTAATCTTAACACCTTAGGGTAGACTTATCGCGAATGTAACTAGATCACTTTTCTGGTAATTGAAATGTTTGTTTAAGGCGATGCACAGTAGGAACAGTAGCACTTGGCACTTGGCTTTATCTTTTTATCTGGTCTCGCGTGTTTCGTTTATTTGGTCTATCCACCATAAAATTTAGTACATAGCTTAGCTGTCCGATTAGCTGGGGGTTAAGCCGCAATCTTTTGGGTGGGGGGAGTGGAGTACCTCATGGCGGATGATAACAACTTCGGAGCACCGGAGATCGAGATGGAGACGGGGAGCGTGTGCTCACCTCGGCGACGTCCGGATGCGATTGAAACGCGGTCCAGCGGCGGACACCCTGCGAAGCGGCGAAAAATGCGGACGCCCAGCGAATTCCGCACATATTTTCGACTAGTGTATCTGATAGATACAAAAGCGCGGAGTAAAAAACGCGCGCTTGGCCAACATGACGAGACAAAAACAAAATATAATTCGCATTATCTGATGTCCAGACGGCAGCATAATCACACACACGCACACCCCCGCAAAGCGCAAAGCGCAAAGCGGGCCCATTCATTCACACAGATACTTTTCGCTGGCTCCGCGTCGTTTTGGTTTTTGGTTTTTGTGTTTTGCTCGGCCTATTCTTGCCCTCCATCTCCATCTCAATCTCATTCTCATTCTCATCATCGTTCGCGTTCGCGGCTCGAGTCCGTCTGCAGATGCCCCTCAATGCTGGCCAGGTATCCAGCGGATACCAGATACCAGATACTTCCTAGACGTAAACAACGCCCCCACACCTTCGCATACTTACGCCTGAATTTCGCGCATTGTTTTTTTCTCGAGGGTTTTTGTATCTTTTTGGTGTTTTTGGTTGGTTTGTGTCTCGTATCTTTGTTGGCGTATCTTTTTCGCGATGTTTACGTTGATCTGTTGTGCTTTTGCTTTTGCTTTTGCTTTTGTATACGTTACAGCCTGCTCTTCAGGAACTTGAAGAAAACCATGGCTTCCTGGTGCAGCTGCAGCCACGTTCCTGTATCTTTCGGATGCCGCCGCGCACTAAGCCCGATTCTTATTGGCAAACAATTTTATCGCGGCGCAGTTGCCGTCGGTTTTACTTTGTTTTGTTTTGCCTTTGCGGCTGCGGCGGATATATAATTGTTTTGCTGTGTTGTCGCCGTAGCCGCCGAACAGCTGATTCGCTGGGTTTTACGCTCAATTTCGGATCGACTTGGGGAAAATCAATAACAATAACAACTTTAACTGAAAATTTTCTGCTTGTTTTCGTTTTGCCTTAGAACTGAGTTAAAACAGACTGTTCACATTTCCGTCAACTTTGCCCCTTCAACCAAATGCGCATTAAACATGCATTTGGCTTTTATTGTCTTACATATTTGACATACCAAAATTAACTCTAATTACTTGTGGCAGCTAAAAAATGATAGATAAATCTGGGCCATCCCAGTCACAAGTACTTTACCCTTTACAAATTGACAAAGGGTTTTGCTCGACCAGTCAAGTCTTAAGTGGCTACATTAGTAGCTTACTTCTTTATAAAAATGCATTATCTACCACCAAAATATCTGCCACGCGCGGAATGCATCGCCGTTTTTAAATTTAGCTGATTTGTTAAACAAACTCAGCTGAAAGCTGTTCGCAGTTCGCATTGTAAAAGTGCAAAATATAAAAGCCATGTTCTATATTCCATTGTAGGACAAGTCTGCGAAATAATAAGAAGCTCTTTGCATTCCGCAGCTGCAACTGCCTGACAACCGAAAACTGGATCTCAAGAGTCTTCAGCCCGCTTGTCTTCCTAAGCCAAGCTTACAAAATTAACACACAACTCAAGGACCAATGGAAAAGTCAGTGGAAAATCTAACCCAGATGAGGACGTCATGAGCAGAGATCAAAATAAACATGATTTATTTGACATAAAAAATGTTGTATGTAAATCGTTTACTTTTAGTTTCTTTTGGGTATCTTAAGAAATTGTCCAACAAATAAGCAAACCAAAAATATAATATATATTAAACAAAATATAAAAAATCAACACTTAAAAATGTAAAGGGCTGCAAATAAATTTGTATTTTTTAGTGAGGTTTCACTTAAATTTATGAACTGTGCATCTGATTTTCACGTTTCCTTCTGAATAGCTATTTTTTTTTTTTTATATTCCCAAAAACAAATCTTAAAGAATAGAATGTAGAGCCTATGGAGGAAAGAGGTAAGCGGCGGTAGACTTGAGTTATGCCAAAGGAATTATATTTGTATAATCTCATTATTTTCGTATTGAATCATGTTGTCAATTATACATTTCTGCAATCTCGGGTAAAGGCGCCGAGCTCCAGTACCGGGTATAACACCGTCGAGTCGAGATAGCCATCAGCTGCTGCTCCGTGGAGCGTTTTACAATGCTACTCTCGCGGTGACTGAAACTTGGGCCCTTTGGTATAAAGGTTGCGGCCCAAGCCGATCGTGGCTCAGTCTGCAGAGGAGCGTGCGTGGATTTCTTTTGGCTCGGTCAGGGGTTGCGGTGCAGATCGAATTCGGACTACATTGGAGGAGACGTGTACGGCGGGTGATCGGTGATCAGGTGGAAAATGCATTTTCCGGCTTTCGACGAGTTCTACCAGCGAATTCTGTTTCTGCTGCCGTTCGCCGCAAGTGAGTACCAAAATGCCAGCCAATGAGGTGTGTCGCGTCCGAAGAACCAAAGTACAATGCGGAGTGGGTCTCCTTGATATTGAGACGCCAGACACCGATCGATGGATCGATGGGGCGCAGTCTCCAAACAATGCTACCCAGATCTTGAGACGTCGCGGCCTGAAACGCTACATGACCACCGTCTGTTACGTAGTTCCGTATCCATAAGAGAATTTATGAGCCATCCCCTCCAACCGAACCAAACCTAACCGAACTGAACCTAACTGAGCCCTCCATATGTCACACTCGACGCCCATAAAACTGTCTCATCGCGGTTCATCTAATGGATAGCAAACAATCCGGGGGCCTGTAAATAATAACAATAATTAAATTTGCATCCACAAATGCCCCATGAAAGCCAATGAGCGCGTCAATTTCGGAGGCGGAGTAGATGTCGAAGTACCATCCATTGTCTTGGGAGCGGCGTGTGCGATCCGCCGTTCGGAACAATGTAAACAAAAGGGGGTTTCCGTGCTCCGAACTAAAAATCAAGCGATTATACCTCGCTTAGATATGAGCCAGGGCCCTGCGAAATTGCTGGGATTGCGAAGACGTTTTGAAAATTGGCAAGTGCAGAAATGGCTTTAACGGCCTCCCTAATGGCTTGAAAAGTTATTTCTCCTGTGAAACTATAGTACATAGGAAAGTTTACAACAATCTAAACGCTGGCTTCAAACAACATTTTTACTTGAAATGTTGTTAAATTGTTATTTCTCTTCTGAATGCATTAATACTTCTCAGTAAGACAAAATATCATTTTAGATTTTAGGTCCAATGAAATCGAATTCGACTACCAATCTCCGGAGAGATGGAGGGACATTAGCAGACAGTGCGGAGGCTTGAATCAATCCCCTATTGCGATTAGCAGGCGCAAGGCTATACCCCTCAGTTTGCCCCCTCTGGACTTCGGGGTTTACGACGAGTACTTCGATGATCTTGTAACAGTGAAAAACACTGGACACACAGGTAAATAAAAGGAGCAATAACCACCGGAGTCTCACATTAATTCGACTACTAGTGGAGTTTAAGGTGCCCTCGACGGTTTATGGAATCAAACCCTATGTCACAGGGTCTCTTCTTCCGCTGGATTTCTACGAAGCCGAGAACGTCCACTTTCACTGGGGATCCCCTCAGTCAAAGGGGTCCGAGCACATGCTTAATGGACATCGCTATGACCTGGAAATGCACATTGTACACCGGAATACTAAATACTTGACCCTTGAGGACGCAATAAATTACACTGATGGAGTTACTGTTCTGGCAGTGCTCTTCAAGGTTGTGCGGGTAAGTGGGGAATATAGATCACAACAAACAATCCTTAAACTACATATGTATATACCTCTTTGTAATAACTAAACCTTTAGACGGATCCCACGTTCTACCAGCCCGGACTCAAAGAGCTCTACAATTCGCTGCTCCACCTGGGGAACTCCAACAGCAGCTACACGGTGAGGGAGCGACTCTCCTTGGGAGCCTTGTTGGGCAACCTGGACCGGGGCAACTTCTACACGTACAAGGGCTCCCTGACAACGCCTCCCTGCGCTCCAGTGGTCCAGTGGCACGTGTTCGGCGAGGTCCTGCCCATTTCGCACCAGGACCTGCCCAAGTTTTGGCAGCTGCGCGACAGGCGGGGAAGACCATTGGTCAACAATTCTCGTCCTCTGCAGGCGCAGGAGAACCGACTGATCTTCCACCGACAACCCCATCCGCCGCTGCAACGGGTTCACCTTCAGGACCTGATCTGGTTGTAGCCACTAGTTTGAACTTAACAGTCTTTATTATTGTTAAAATTAAAGTATTCCATATTCAATTGAGCAGCTGCTGCTTTCATCAGGGGAACCAAAACGACTTGGGTACACTACATTGTGGTAGTTTTCCCGCTCATAGAGCTTAGTCCTTTGAATTAGTCCTTTTTGAAGCGAGCCAGGTAGGACGCCAGCATCCCCAACTGCAGGGCGCAGAGGATCTTGGTGAAGGTTGGCGTTCGGGGCACACCGGAGGGCATCTTCAAAAACGACTGAGGCACGGGTGGCACTTGACTTTGCAGAGCGGAGAAGTGCTTCGCCTGGATGGAGGCCACCAGGGAGGTGTGATTCCGCTTCAGGTTCGTGGGCATGGGCGGCCACTTTACCGCCGGAGCGATGTGTTCGCTTGTCGGCCTGACGGTCATCGTGTGGAACTCGTGATCCCGACCATCGAAGGGCGGTCGTGGTATTCGCATTCGGGGATTGATCGGAGGATGGAACGGCGGCGTGACCACCACCTTACGACGCTGGTGTCCCACGCCGTGGGTCTCCGCTGCTTTGTCCCTCTCCAGGGTCGTGTCCATCGGAGAATTAGAGCCCAGATCCGGTTCCACCTTGAAGGGATTGCGGCCACTGTAGGTTACTCGGCGGTCCTGGCCCTTGCGCATAAGGCCGACCTTCTGGATCTCTTTCTCCAGCTGGCTCTTTCGATTCTCGTTATTTTGCCGATGTTTCGAGGTCTTTCGCGAGCTCTGTTGGCTATCTGCAGGTGCTGCATCACCAGGTGGCTTGCTGGAGCCAGCCTGCTGTTTTCCCGATTTGGCCACCGGCTTGACTGGCGGCTCAGTCTCCGACGCCTTCTTGGCCACCGGATCAATATACTGGGCGGATTTTAGCGAGGTCTGTCGGTTTTCTGCAGATACGGCCGCCGGCGTGCTCTGCTTAGCTGACGGAGATTCCTTTTTGGTCTTCAGCTGCTCAGTTGGCTCGGCAGTTGACACATCTTTGGCCAGAGGTTCAATTTTAGATACTTTTTTACCCACTGACTTTGCTGGCGGCTCCCGGTCCGAAGCCGAGGCCTCTGGCTGCTCAAAATCAGCCATGGGCTCCAACTTGGTGCGTTGGTTCTGGTGCTCATTGGGAGGGGGTGGCTTTGTCTGCGGCGAGGGCGGAGGATCCGAGCGGGGCTGATTCTGAAACTGGGGAGTGCCCTCGCGAGTGTGGGACTGTTTTCTGGGCAGTGGCAGCTGCGCAGGAAGTGCTGGAATTTGAGAGGGCGTGGGATTATGGGGTTGCTCCGTAAGCTTCTTGGCAGCTTCGGTATCCAATTCCTCCTGAGAAAGGCCTTCTTTGGATTCATCACCACGACTAGCAGACAACATCTCCATCTCCAAGTCGTGATGCAAAGCTTCTTTCAGTTGATGGTCGAGATTTTCCAGCTTCTCTTTGTCACTTTTGCTGAGTATTTCGTTTCTTTCGCTCGCGGGAAGTTCGCGCTGGCCTTCAACGGTGTCCATGCCGATATTTTCGTTGTTCATCAGCCAATCCCACTCGTGGTTGCCCGTCCCCTCACCTTTGTTTTCGCCATAGTAACGCAACTTGTCCTCGTCCAGGCTTTTATAAGGCTCTTGCTCACCAAAATTCTTCGCCATCTTCTCCTTCTTCTCAGCCCGAACTTGGAGGGGTTCCGCTTCCTGATGGATGTCGACATCCCGCAGCCTGTCCTCGTGTTCCACCGGAAGCCTCGCGTCGTCTTCCCAGGCCGTGGATTCTTCCAGTTCGGCTGAAAAGGAGGGCTTGTGGTTCCACTCGAGCAGTTCCTGAAGCTCTATATTCTCCTTTGTGTAGGTACGATCCTTTTTACCGATAACAGGTTCCTCATCCAGATCGGCATTCTCGTCCTGGAGTTTCGTTAAAGCTGGCTCCCCGTCGAGGTCAAAATCATTCTCGTGCTCGATAAGCATTTCAATCTGTTTATCGGCCGCCGAATGCTCCTCGTAATCCTTAAACATAAGCGCTTCGAGATTCTCAGTTTCGGATCCTATATGGTCTTCCTTTTCGGCCTTTAATTCCTGTAGAGGTTCTTCGTCTTCAGCATGGTGTCCAACAAAAGAAGAATGCTCTGCTTGGTTTTCCAGTTGAGAAATGCCCTTCTCCATTTTTTTTTTAATTTTGAATAATTCCTCCTCCATGGGTGTTTTCATCTCCGAAGTTTCTTCATCTATTTGGTTTTTTAATTGAAAATCTTCCGCTTCTAACATACTTTTTTGTTCAAGACCACTCTCCTCAATTTGACTTTTCAGATGGTAAAGTTCTTCTTCCAATTCCTTCTTCACAAACGAAGTTTCCTGCTCTAAGTGATTTTGAAGTTCAAAACCATCCTTTTCCAATTCACTTTTCAGTTGGAAAGTTTCCCTCTCCATTTCGCTTTTAGGTTGTAAATCGTCATCCTGTGTTAGGCTTTTCAGTTCGAAAACTTCGTTCTCCATTTGGCTTTCAGCTATAAGATTATCCATTTTATCTTTATCACCTAGTGCTTGAATAGTCTGCCTAATGGATCTTATGAGATTCTCCTGAGCTTTTAAGTTAAGATCCTCTTGGTCCTCAATTTTCGATTTTAGTGAAGTTATACCTGAAAATTTGAAAGCATTTTGTTTCTCTTCATCCGAAATTGGTTTCATTTCCGATCTCAGTGGCTCGGACTCGGAACTCAAGTCCAAAACATCTAGCGAGTCGTTCGAGCTGATGCCAGTCTGACCACCTTTTCCGGTCCTAAGTTCAGAAGCTGTGAAGGAGTCCCGCCGACTCCATCCGCTGTCATCCTCCCGGCCAGCAACCAATCTGGACGATATTCCTGACTGAATTTTATCGGCAAAAGTTTCTCTATCCTCCTCCAACAAGAGCCGCAAATGTCGATCACCTTCGTCAATGTCCATCTTAAAGGCCACCTGCACCTTCCCATCCCGTATGTCGTCCTGAATCTGGGCGGCTTGCACACTTAGCCGCCTGGGCATTTCCTCCGTTTCATGGGGAGAACCAAGAGCATCCGCCTGTCGCTGACCCGCCCCCTCGACGTCATAGTCATTCACTTCTGTCCAATCTTCCGTTACCTTCAAGTGCTTAAAACTCTCGTTGCCCGCCTCGGACAAAACCCTGTCCAGAGCGTTCCTCAGTTTTGGCAAGGTATCAGCCACTGGATCCAGTACTTTGTCCACATTCCGCTCGCCCTGTGCTGACTCATGGGCCAATAAATTCGAGATAGAGGCATCGCTGTAAAGCAGACGAGGTTGGGTAAAATTAGTTTAAACTAAAATGATCTGAAAATTAAACCTATACCTCAGGTCTGGGTGATTTCTTAAAGCCTCAAGCATTAGTTCCGGGGAAGCTTCGCTCTGGCAAATCAGATGGATAGCCGTGAAAAGGGGAAATCTATGAAATAGTAAAGGAAATTTAACTAACAATTGATGCTATTCACTACACCGTTGCAACTTACTCAGCCTGCATTATCTCCTTTTCCAACAAGGCGTTCACTTGAGCGACCACCATAGGTCCCAATATTTTGCGGCCATTGGGAAGACCTGCTTCTATTTCCTCAATCGTTTTGCCCGAGGTGATGAAGCTCTTGGCAAAAGTGGCATTCTTATTAACTGAAGGTGAAATAATTTAAAATTAGTCAATACGTCTAGAAGTCTAAATACTTTAACGCACCAAAGCTTGCAGACACGGTGTTGGCCACGCCGCAATTGTCATAGAAAGTTGACATTTCTGCAGAGGGGAAAAACGTTTCGATGAAGCGCATCATCTCCTTAATGACCAGGTGGACGGCAGCCACCTGTGAGTTCTCGCCTAGGCGCAGCCCATCGACGAAACCCGCTCCCAAGGCAACAACATCTGTAAGCGTTCCGCACAGCTCCACTCCATCAACATCGTCCACGGATATCACGCTGCAGTTTTCGGTTTGCAAGACGTCGGTCAACAACCTGGCATGTCCTTCATCGCTGCAGCCGAGGGTCACCTCGCACTGCTCTTCCTGAGCCATTTCCATGGCACTGTGGGTGGACATCATAGAGTAACATGGAATGCCCAGTCGCTCACTGATTTCCTGGGACACGAGCGTGATTTGTCCATCACTCTCTCGCATCAAGCCTTTGCTCATCGACACGGCGAAGGCAGACTCCTTTATGTTTCCGGCCAGGATTTTGCAGTACGATTTAATATTTTCCTGTGCGGATGAAAAAATCAAGATATCTGCGTTCTGGGCAGCTTCCAAAAGATCATTCGCCGCTAACTGAAAATCAGCTTTCCATTAAATTTATGCAAAAAACTAAGAACTCGAAAATATCCTCACCAGGTTATTGGACAACTTGATCCCAGGCAAATACTTAACATTCTCGTGGTGACTGTTGATGACCTCCGAGAGGACTTTGTCGTCAATCATTTCATCATTGACATAGATGTGCACCCGGCTGTCGAAGTCTCCCTTCAAGACATTGTTGCTCACGGCGGCTGCAATGGCCGTGCCCCTGAAAAATCATTCCCAGACTTATATTATGAGTATTTATTCCAAACTCAAGCGATCGCGGACACCTACCAGCCCTCGGCGCCTACGATGCACACTTTCAGCTTTCCTTCCATCGATCCACCTTAAAATCAAAGTATACCTATAATTTAGGGCCGAAACGCGACCAAATCACCGCCTGTGTGTTAACTGAATGTAGAAAGCTTTAAATTTTATTTGGAATTTCGATAGTCCGGAGTTGGGGGACGTCCAAAAAGTGATGTGTGACTGTATTTAGTGAGTTGGAAGGCTTGAACGGCAAACGCCTAACCTACTTTACGAGCAGGGGCGAAACTCGTAGATAATTCCCGATGCATCTTTCATTCTCGACTGTCCCTGCCACTGGCCCTCCTTCTTAGCTTCCATATCCGAGATAGCGCGAATCTCAAACTCGGTGATGATTTGCGAGATGCGGCTCTTGGCCTCAGCGGCCAGTTTCGGCGGCAGGCCCTTGACCGTGATGCAGGCGCTCTCGAAGAACAGGTCGTAGCTGTTGCTCTGGGAAGCAGAAGGGTTAGGATTAGGAGCAGCTGTTGCTGTTGCAGGGGCGGTGGTTCCTTCTCGTTGCCGCGTTAATCTTTTGAGGTAGGCACCCAGGACCTCGCGATCCCGTCTGATGTTCTGGAGGAGCACCTGGCGGTTCTGGGGGATTGTCCTCATATACGGCTGTTGATTTCGTCTAAAAGGCGGGCCGATCCGTTTGTTAAGCAGTGAACTCATTCTCTCCGGCTGTAAATGCAAACCAAAAAGTTAAGCCTTTTAAAAACAGTGCAGGCTTCTCAAATTTACCTTTATAAGATCTTTCTCTTTGCCGGACGGAATCTCCACCAGATCATTTTTCCCTTTTTTAAGTTCATTCGCCGAGATGTTCCACATTTCTTTGATTTGTATCGGCTTTTAAATCGCTTAAGGTAAATTTACAAATAAATTAACTAAAACCAGCCACAGGTTTGCCGCTTGCCTATCAAGTTATCGATAAATACAATTATTGCTCAGACTTTTCAATATTTTCAATTTTAATTTCAATTGTAACAAGGTCGCCCAAGCACATTAACCAAATTTTAAGGTAAATGCAACCGCAGATCGTAAAGAAAAGTTCTTGATAAATAAAATATTTATTTAAAAATCAAAAAAATTGTGTTCTAATTATTTTACTGACTCTCAACTAACCCCGCTAAAACCAGTATGCTGTTGCACTGGAGCATGTCCTGACGGCCGGTTAACATGCAATCCGTTGACTGGAGGATTCGAGTTTATTGCTACCCCGTCCTCCTGGGGACTGGTTTCCTTAAGGCCGCGCAGCTCCAGCTCGCAGATTAACTGTGATACCCTCATCTTAGCCTCCGCCACCAATTTAGGTGACAAAGCCTTTACACTGGAGCTAACGCTCTCGAAAAACAGGTCAACATGGTTCTTCTCCTTGGGCGGGACTGCGTGGTTCAGAGACCTTTGGCTACCCATCAGCTCACGGAAGGAGTCCATCAGCTCATTCTTGTCCTGGTGAATCTGCATGAGAAGTTTAATGCCCTCCTGATTGGAACCAGCAGTAGAGCCACTGTGTCTGGACGGGCTTGGTGTGGGTTCTGACACTTTCGCAGAGGACTCCGTTTCAGATATCAGCTCTTTCTTGGGAACCGACACTTCTTCGATGGCGGGTGAACAGATATTTGAATCTGAAATGACCTCTGTAGAAGCAGGGAAGGCAGAACACTCCGTGGGTGGTGTCAAATCCTGGCTTTCCGCCTGCGACGTTTGCTCTTCCTCATTGCGCATTGCTAGCTTCCGCTGATGGTAGTACTTGCTACGCTCCTGTCGAATCCGGAACTCCTGGACCGCCGCCCCTTCACCTTTGGTGAGCAGCGACTCCAGGTTGCGCTTGTGTTTGGTAGTCCGCTCATGCCGCACCAGGTGACACCGATTGCAGTCCATGGTGCACTGGCAAGCACGACAAAAGGGCTTGTTGGGATCCTCGGCCGCTCGTCTCAGCCACGGATCGAAGATCTTCAGCCATTTCTCGCAGAACTTCTGGTTGTACTTGGGCTTTAAAGTCTTAGGTGAGCGGGATCTCTGCTCCTTGGGGTCCTTCGTCGACTGTTTAATGGTTCGCTGCACTTTCACCCTGGCCGCCTTCCTGCAATTCTATTAGTTTTGAATGAAGCTGTTGAAGCTGCAGGTTTGGCGGCTCACCATTCCGAGTCGGAAGTGTTTTCCGAGAAGCTCATAGCGCTGACATCCGTAATTCAAAATTGTTTATTTTTGGTTGTAGTTATTTATTTGGATCAGCTGTTAGGGTTATCGATTTCACTTAAAGCGATATCGATATAAACCGCTAATTTCTGAACTGAAATTTATCAAACAGTGGTAAAGTTTTTTCAATTATTTAAGTTGTATTAAATACAACACATATAAAATCAGTTATTGCAGTAAAAATGATACAGTTACTTCATTTATAAAAGGCGTTCGTGAATTAAAGCACTTTTGTTAATCATGTTAAAAAATCGGTTTACTCCTTGGGCAAGTGCTGCTTGCAGTACTCCCAAATAAAAAGGGATCCAGTCACATGAACATTTAAGGAACGCACTAAACCAAACTGTGGAATTTCTACGGCGTAATCCAAGAATCCAATTAGGTCCGCAGGTATTCCATGCTTCTCGTGACTGGGGAATATCAGTTAATTAGTTGTAAAAAGCAAAATTATGTATTTACAAACCCCAACAAGAGAATGGTTTTTTTGGGAAACTTAAAGTCAACGAAGCTTGTGCTGTGTGCAGTTTGCTCGGCCCCAACGATTTTATAGTTCTCCATTTGCTTCTCTAGCAGGAAATCGGCGAGCGATTCCGGTTTTACTTCAACTATCGTCAACGTTTTTTCAGCAGTCATGCTAAATGATTTTTTAAAATGAATTAGAAGTTAAACCGCAAATGGTATATAGAATAATAGTTCGTACCTTAAATTGGTAAAGTCGCTTTTCTCAGCCTGTGATTTTAGACCGAGTATCAATGTCTTAACGCCCAACACTTCACACGTCCTCGCCAGTCCTCCTAAATTGGGCAGTTTGTCGATAAGGGAAGCCACCACAATTAGCTCGTGGTCACTCGGCTCTTTGGTAGCATCGACAAAGTCGCTCTCTGGATATATATCGCCGACCGGATTCATTTTTCGTTGCACATTTCCATTGGATGCAGCCGAAGGTGATGCCAGCTCAGGTGTTAATGCAAACTTTTTCGCTTTGAACGTGCAACGAGTGCGTTCAAGTTTCTGTCTAAAGTTATACCGACAGTTAATGAATCCTATGTTCTCGTCAAAGGGAGCGTCTGTCATCCAAAGAATGGCATCAGAAATATTCCCTGGACACTCTAAGACTAGTTCCGGTAGCAAAAGCCGAGCTTCGTTTTGAAACTCATTCAATTTGTCGCCTAAGGTAACCTCAATGGATTTTTTCAATGCGCCACTTATTGGCAATTGAATGCTGTAAATACATAACAATTTTTGCAAACTTGCTTTACGATATGGTTAAACAGGACATTACCTGCGATTTTCGGATTCAGTACAAAGACGATGCAGAACCAACTGAGCCAGCAAACGAGTCTGAAAATTCGCTCCCATGGTGAGAGGCAATATAACTTCAAGGACTTGTGTTAAGAATTCCAGTTTCAGGCTTTGCCATTTACCCAAACAGTAAGTGTGAGCAACAGAGACCAGCGACATTTGTTGGCTGGGCTTAAGAGTTGGAAGCAGCTTAAGTCGCTCCAGCAAAGGGTCGATGCTAGGCAACATTTTTGCCACAAGGTACTCGTACATGAAGCTGATGTTAGGCTGATCGCTGGGACACAATGCGGCCTCCCACAGCTCATTTGACCATTTCCACCGATCACTTAGATCAAGCAACGCTTTGCCTATCCGCATTTTAGTTCTATGTTCCTTGCAGTTCGCAAAATAACGTGGCTTTTTTCTGGACAGTTCGTTATTCATGGCCAGCAAATTATCACAAATGCTGCTTACATCTAAATCTTGGAACTTATTTGCATAGTTTATAAATTGCACACGATCCATGGCCTCTGCATCTGAAATCTGGCCAAAGCTTAGCTCAAAAGCGCGTTCTATGCTGCGATAATGAAGATATATATATACTTTCAAAATTTATCATTAGCTTATTTCTGAATGTTTCATACCGTGCATCGCCAGTGGTAGTTTCTCCTTCCAACAGCCTTTTTAAAACATACCAAGACGGCGCCTTAATGTAATTCTGGCTGTCCATGGCACCCAACAAGAAAGTGTTTTTGTCCAAAACATCCACTACGCATTTTTCGTACTCTTCCGAAGTAAGATTGTCTACTGCGTATTGCAAGATAGCTAGCCTTAAATCGTGAAGGTAACAATTTAGAAAAAAGAACACTGAAACCTTTAACAAGTAATACTCACGTTTCCGGAACCTTTCGTCTATCCAATCGGGAAATCATGGCAGGCAACAAGTTCTGATCTCGCAGTGGCTCTTTATGGGTGGATAAGATACGCGACAAAGTGGAAAATGTGTCCTGCGTGCCCTGATCGAGCAGTTCCAAAGGTTTAAGGTTTAACTGCTCCAACTTGCTCCACGTTGGTATATTAATCTTAACAAAGAGGTCGACGGCGTGCTCTCGCACAAAGGACTTTTCTTCTCTGGTCTGGCAATTCAAGCGCTCAAGAATGTGCTGCTGCATCTCCTCTAGACGCACACAGCTGGTGAGTAAAGATGTATCCACCTCATATACGCTGCGATAAAAATCCAGGTATTCTTCGGGTCTATCCAGCTCTAAGTGTAGAAAAACGGGTAATAGACGCCACCAGCCGTGCTTTTCTTTTGGCACTGTCCGTAATTTTTTCAAAAACACAACAAAAACATCATATTTATAGCTAGCTTTAGAAACGAGCTGACAACAACGACTGGTGAAACTAGCAATGTGCTCCTCCAAGTCACTACACTTTTCGATTTTGTCTATTAGCCGATGGTGGTCAGCGTACCCGTCGATGGAATTGAACAAAGATTCGATGAACAACAGGTAGTCGCCCACTGAAAGGCTATCAATTGTGTCCTGCAAAAGGCGTACAATAAAAGAGTGTTTTAGGTAAAAGCCCAAAAAAACTTACATTCAGTGAAAATATCACTTTATTAATAGCAGCACCGCGAAGAATAGGATTTTGTAGGACGCGAACGCGAGCGCTCAACTGAAGGAGCAATTCCTTGGAAACCACCGGTAACTGCTTGAGCTCCCAGCCCTCCAGCCAATGGAGAAGAGGAACACAATGCCATGGAACTTTGACGATGGCCTCGAGCAGAGATTCTGCCGGATAGTCGGCCATGAAATCGTTGATATGTTGCTGTGTAAGGCAGTCAGGTACCTCAGGATTGTAAAGCTGGGTTCGATTGGTGGCGGAAAGAAATTCCGGTAGCAGGTTGAATAGGTTCAGCTTCTCCAGACTGCAATGCGTCAGAAAGAACTTCAGAGTCCAGCGCAGAACAAGGATGTTGTTGTCGCCTAACAGGCGGATGCACAGAATCCTCAGCCAGGCCATCCAATCTATACTCAAGTTATTGGACATCAGTCCCAAACGAGGCAGCAGAGTGCTTAACGTGGGCAGCACAAGGTGCGACTGCTGCTCCTCCAGGTTATCCATGATGCCAACAAACGCGTTCCACTGCAGTTCGCTGCATTGGAGCACATCTAGCACTTCCTTGATTTCCTGCAACTTGTGCATGAGGAAGTACGCAGAGCGGCGATCCTCGCGGGACTCCGATTGCAGCAGATTCTGAATGACAGGCAGCAGTTCCTTGGCGAAGTTCGGTTCTAGGTTGTTTACAAACTCGTTAAATAGATGCACCAGTATCTGCGCTGCATGAGGTTGGTGCTCGTTGCTCTGGCTCAGCGACCAAAGCTGCTGTAGCACGAACTTGGCCTCGATGCGTGGAAACTTCCGGACGTGGAGCTGCACGCAGACCAGTAGATTGGCCACCAGTTGCCGCCGGCTGGCAGAATCCTCCCGGCTATCTGCAATCACAACGGAAACTAGTTTGTGGAACACCTTTGGGCCAAAGCGCACGTTCCACTTGTTGTTCGTCTGCAGCAGGTTGTGGATGCACTGCAGCACCCGCTTCAGAGCCAGCTCGTTGTTTTTGTGCATGTCTACCAGGTCGTAAAGCATGTCGTCCAATTCGGCGATCTCGCCCAGCAGATTCTGGTTCTGGATGTAAGTTTCAACGGCCTGGACCACCGCGTGGGTGGCCGTTGCCGTGGTCGCTCTGGTCGTGGGCAACGACATGGTGCAAGCTTCTTGCGATGAGAAATATTCTTTTCAAACTAACAGGGAGGCGAACTTTCCTAGTTAATTTTCACAATTTAACGAAATTCAAACAACGTGATTTGTTTACTTGGTGCAATCCGATAACGGGCTATCGATGTACCGATTCGATTTGCGATTGTTGAATCCGGTTGTGCATTTTGAATTTGAAATGAAGCGGTCGAATAAATTTATTTTTAATCTATTAAATTTGATTTCCTGCAGCCTAAACAACTATTAAGAAACCGTTGCCTATTTCTTTCCGTTGGACTTGCAATTAGGATCCAAGTGAGATTCTTTTAGTTTTTTGCAAACAGCATTTAAAATCTTGTCGTCCGCTTCTGCTTTGGCTTTTTCCTTTTCATCCGCCATTTTCTTGCAAAACTTAGCTTCTTCTATCTGCTTTCTCTTAGCTTCAACCTCCTTCCATCTTTCCTCCAGTTCAGCCAATTTTCTCCTTTTCTCCTCTCTTTTGCACTCTTCATCCTGTTTTTTCATTTTTTTGGCCTCACAATACTCTTTGCAATTCTTGATTTCCGCTTCCTTTTTTTTGTCCTTCTCCATTCGCTCGGCTTTTGCCGCGGCTTCCAGTTTAGCGACTTCCTCCTCGATAATCTTAAGTTCCGCCTCATTCTTTTTCTGCTCTTCGGCTAACTTGGCTTTCTCTTCTTCTTCCTGTATATTGCAACAATCCGCATCTTTTGGAGTTTCCGTTAACTTCTTGCAATTTTCAGCTTCTTCAATCTTTTTGCATTTTTCAGCTTCCTGCAATTTCTTGCACTTTTCAGCTTCCTGCAATTTCTTGCACTTTTCAGCTTCCTGCAATTTCTTGCACTTTTCAGCTTCCTTAAGCCTTTTACATTTTTTAGCATCATCTAGTTCCGTGCATTTATTAGCTTCCAGCTTCTCTCTCTGATCTTTGGCGAACTGACAGTACTTTTCAAATTCTTCCCTAGTTTGGTTCTCTTCGGATAGTTTACACTTCGAATCTTCACCTATTTGGTTGCATTTTGCAGACTCATCGTCTATCTTTGGACAGACGGTTTGATTTTCATTAAATTCTCTACACTTATCGGCCTGGCTCATCTGCTCGCACTTCTCCGCTTCTCGCAGTCTGCGGCACTCCTCCGCTTTCTGCAGTTTGCGACACTCCTCCTCTCTCTTCAGTTTTTGGCAGGACTCCTTGAGAGCTTTCTCCTTGCAGCGCTGTTCCAGTGCCAGTTGGCGGCAGCGCTCCTCCTGATCTCGTTCTTCGACGGTCGGCTGCCGGAAGGTGATCAGCCGGAAGATGATCTTGTCGGCAGACATGGCATTCACCAGCACCACCGATCCCTGCTTGCCAGGCTCCAGGATGTCCAACTTGGCCATCAGCTTGAGGCCCGACTGCATGATGCGTCGAAAGTTGAAGCTCCCGTCGACCATCTCATCGACGAGCAGTGGGTAAACTCCGCGGAATACGAGGGTCTGGGCCGCCTCGCACTGGCAGCCAGAGAGCATCACGATGGGACACGGCGGTCGCATGTGGCTGACCATCTGGGCGACCATGGCGCAGGGGCTGGCCACCACGATGGCCTTGGCCTGGGCCACAGTGGCCGCCTCTGCGATCGCTGTGGTAATCGCCGAGATGTGATCGGCGGCAGTGGTGCGAATCTCCCGCTTGAGGCTGTTCTGCAGGCTCTCGTACCAAAGCACCGCCTCGACCTTGGCGCAGATCCTGGCCATGCACCGCACGCACTCCACTGGGTACTTTCCCTTGGCCGTTTCGCCGGACAGCATCACGGCGTCGCAGCCGTCGAAGACTGCGTTGGCCACGTCGGAGGCCTCGGCACGGGTGGGACGAGGCTTCTTTACCATGGACTCGAGCATCTGAGTGGCGCAGATCACCGGCTTGCCCACCTTGTTGCACTTGGCCACGATGGACTTCTGGGCCAGTGGCACGTCCTCCGTTGGGATCTCGATGCCCATGTCCCCGCGGGCCACCATTATGCCGTCCGACTCGCGGATGATCTCGTCTATGTTGGCCAAGCCCTGCTGGTTCTCGATCTTCGAGATGATCTTGATGTGCTTGGCCGATGGTCCGAGCGCCTGACGGACCTCCGCCACCGCTTTTGCGTTGCGGATGAAGGAGGCGAAGACCATGTCCACTTTTTGCTCCGCCCCGAACTTTAGGTCCCGCTTGTCCTGCTCGGTGATGGCGGGCAGGTCCACCGGAATGCCCGGCAGGTTGACTCCCTTGCTGGAGCCCAGCTTCCCGCCGTTCTCCACCTGGCAGACCACCTCGTCACCCTTGGACTCCTTTACCACCAGTGCGATTAGTCCGTCGTCGACAAAGATCCTGTTTCCGGGTTTCACGATTGCCGGCAACCGTTCGTAGTCCACGTAGAGTCTCTCCTTGGTGCCCTTTTCCTCGAGCTCTTTTTTGGTGCTCAGTGCGATGGTTTCTCCAGGCCGGAGCTCGATTTCACTGCCGCCCGCCAGCTTGCCCGTTCTGATTTCCGGACCCTTGGTGTCCAAGGCGATGGCCACGGCCCTCGGAAGACCCGTTTGCTCCACGAACATTTCAATGGCCTGCCGAGCGGCGCGTATCGTCTGGCAGTGGTACTCGTGGGAGCCATGGGAGAAGTTTAAGCGGACCACCCGCATCCCCGCTCGAATGAGCTCCAACAGCATTTCCGGGCAGGTGGACGATGGTCCGATTGTGCAGATGATGCTGCTGAGGGGCACACTTAGAGCAGGAGTGGCGAACTGCAGGCGCGACTGATAGTCCAGCTGGGAGGCATAGGGTCCCCGGTCCAGCCGAGGTTCCTATCGGATACCAGCTAAGAAAGAGGTTGCCTTTAGGATAACACTCTCAAACTTACACTCTTCTTTTTGCCCTTGCAAGCAAAGTAACGACATCTTGGCACAGATGCAAGGGAGAGGAGTGCCCTCCGCTGGCAACAAAATCTGGCGTGGGGATGAATTTTGAAAAAATTTTGAATAACCGAAACAACATTTATGAATTTTGAAGTCAACTGTCAAACAATAAAAGAGCTCGATTTTAAGAAAGTTTATTGTTGGAGGCGACTTCAATGCCAAACACCCACTCCAGACTTATTAACCCAAAGGGATCCGAATTATATAAATGCATACGAAACAATAATATAACAACTCTCTCAACTGAAAAATGTCAGCTTTTTATCTTTAACCTTTTTCTCAAAAAATTTGTTTTAAAATGTTCCATTTTTCGGCCCCACAAGGTGAGAACCTGCCTTAAGACCAACAATCGCCACCTAGGTAAACTGTAAATTGGAAAGTGCCTTTTTGTTTCCGTACATACATAAATACAGTGATGACTTTATTATACTTTTCGAAGAAATCTATATTATTCAACAATGGTATATCATATTTGTGTGTCTGTTTGGGCCCCAGGAGGGACTTCGGCGCTCTTGACAGCGGATCCAGCAGCCTCCTGCAGTTACCAATATTCCGAATATTGTGTAATTAATAAATTAACTTGGTTATTAACATTAATCAACGCGACGCCTGCGCAAGCTGCGACGCATCCAGGTACTTCCTGAGCGGCAGAGTTTATTCGACGGTGCTGCAATGATAGAATTATCTTTTGGTTAATACCGTGATCTTAGCGGAATCACTAACATCTAGATAAACATAGATTAGCAGCAAGCGGCTAATAGATTATATTATTATGATCAACGAGGTACGAAAAACTGAAAACCTACACAATGCGAATGGTGTTGGTGAAGCCGGAGCCCTGCTTCCAGCCGGTGACCACGACGACGGAGTCGCCGGTCTTGATGAATCCGTTCTTCTTGCCCACCTGCAGGCCGAACTGGACGCGCACGTCGACATCCTTCAGCCAGTCGCTCAGAGCGGGTTCTGCAATGACAACCCATAGTTAGAACACAATTTTTAACTAAGAACATCAGAGGACTTACCCTTATAGATGAGTGGCACCAGGCCACGGTAGAGATGGGCCTGACGGGCCGTCTGCGGGAAGCGGGTGACCGCGATGATGGGGCAGCGTGGGCGGTACTTGCTCACCTGGAAGGCCGACTTGCCGCTGGTGGTGATCACCACGATGGCGGCAGCCTTGGCCTTGGTGGCGGCCTCGACGGCGGCGATGGCAGCAGCGTGGGAGGCGTCGATGGTCGTGGCTCCGCGCACCAGGTCGTTGAAGAGGTTCTGGTGCCAGAGGGCGGCCTCCGCCTCCTTGCAGGTCTTGGCCATGGTCAGGACGCACTCCAGTGGGTACTCTCCCTTGGCGGTCTCGCCCGACAACATCACGCAGTCGGCGCCATCAAGAACGGCGTTGGCCACATCCGAGATCTCGGCACGGGTGGGACGGGGCTTCTTGACCATGGACTCCAGCATCTGGGTGGCGCAAATAACGGGCTTGCCGGCCTTGTTGCAGCGGGCGATCATGGCCTTCTGGGCAAGGAAGACCTTTTCGGCGGGAATCTCGATACCCAAATCTCCGCGGGCTACCATGATACCGTCGCCGGCCTCGATGATCTCGTCCAGGTTGTGCATGCCCTGCTGGTTCTCGATCTTCGAGATGATCTTGATGTTCTTGCCATTCTCGCCGAGCACCTTGCGGATCTCGGTCAAAGCGGCGGCGTTGCGGATGAACGAGGCGAAGATCATGTCCACCCCCTGCTCCACACCGAAGAGCAAATCGCTCTTGTCCTTCTCGGAGACGGCGGGCAGATCGACGGGCACGCCGGGCAAGTTCACGCCCTTGCGGGATCCCAGGGAGCCGCCGTTCTCCACCTCGCAGGTGAGCGTGTCCTTGGCCACCTCGCGCACGATCAGAGAGATCAGGCCGTCGTCGACGAAGACCCGGTTGCCAGGCTTTACCACGTTCACGATGTTCACGTAGTCCACGTACACAACCTCCAGAGAGCCCTTCTCAAGGAAGTCCTTGTTGGTGGTCAGCTTGATGGTCTCGCCCTTCTTCAGCTCGATCTCGGCGGTGCCGCTGCCTCCGATCAGGCCAGTACGGATCTCGGGGCCCTTGGTGTCCAGGGCGATGGCCACGGGGTGCTCGTAGCCCAGCTTAGCCGAGTAGTTCTTCACAGCCTGGCGCACGTTGGCCACCGTGGCGGCGTGGTACTCGTGCGATCCGTGCGAGAAGTTCATGCGCGCAATGTTCATGCCGGTGGCCATCATCTTCTCCAGCATCTCCACGCTGCTGGAGGCTGGGCCGATGGTGCACACGATTCCTGAGAGACGGACATGGGGCACTGGCGAGTCGAACTGCAGGCGGCACATGTGCTCCAGTTGAGTATCTGCTCCGGCGGCCATGTTTTGCGGTACTTCGTTGGGCTGGAAAATTAGAAGGAGGATATTATAATAATGACCTAACTTGACTCAAGTTTATATATAAGAGCGATTTAGCTGGATAATTTTGTTTTTGATATTGGATCGAAAGTCATTAGTTTGAACATTATCTAAGTTAGAAGGTAATCTTGATCAGAATATATTCATAACAGTTTTTATTGCTCATCGGTTATTTATTTTTATACAATGTCAAGTTTGCAGACAGACTTCCGGTCTTGTTAGCTTTGAGTTAAGTTCTCGCCGCAAGTAAATATTTACACAAGTAATAGAAAACTTTCACCTAGCAACAGAATCACCTTCCTATTTCGCCATAAAAGAATTTGATGGCATAAATGAGTTTTATGAAATCCAAATCATCCCCTGCTGAAATATTGCGAAAAGATTATGAAGCCCATTTAGAAAACAAAAAATGAACAGCATGAGTTACCCATGACCTTTACCTGCTTTTTACGTATATGGATCAATAATGTTGCTATCGACCAAATTAATTTTTACTACCTGACTTACTTATAAATAGAAACCACAAGGCAACAGGGGTTTTAGGCTGTTTTCTTGATGTATTTTTCCTTTTCCAAAAACGAAATATAATTAAACCAAACTATTAGACAATCCTAGCCATTAATCAGATAGAAAATTTGAGGGGCTTAATCAATTATGTATAACGAATTGATATCAAATGCGAAAACTACGATAACGATAAATCCAGCTAATATAATGTTCATATTATTTCATAACGAAGAGATACAAGTTTGCTCGATAAGTAAATATAAAATTAAATGTATTTGGTCTATCGTTTTTATACCGGGAATCCGTCGTCGCAGAATTTACTGATGTAAACAAAGTACGATACTTAAGTGTCCGAGTAGGTAGGTGGGTGTGGGTGGTTGGGTATATGGGTGCCGCAATAGAGAGAAGGATTGAGAAAGACAGAACTGGGGAGAGAGTGACTGAGAGAAAGCAGCATGCGGAAGAAAAGTGCGGTGTCGACGTCGCTGCACCGCCGAAGGTCAGTTCTGCCGACCGCGACCGACAGAATTTTCGCAGCTGCAGTTGCATAATTCCCCACTTTTCCCAAACGACAGTGATATCGGGTGAAGCTGCTAGTCAACTGATTATGTATATCTTTATGGACCAGTTGGGGTGATACCGAACCCGTGACATTGGCCTACCTTCAGCTGCGGGGCCTCATCGTAGATGGTTACGTTCACCATTTTGTTGCCTAGCGAATGTGCAGTATGGAACCAACGGGAATCGCGTTTGTGATCGGTATAAGTTTTGGGATATAGACGGTCGTATCTTCCAGCTGCACACACAACTACTCCACGCACAACACACACACAGCCGCGGCTAGCCGAGATTAATATTTTGGCAATATATCCTCCAAGCTCGGGCCCAAAATCCGGAAATATATCGAAAGGCGGACGCGGCGAGGACGAGGCAGAAAGTTTGACTGCCGCAAAGATTTTTGGCAAGCGGAAAATTTTCCGAGCCGCAGCGAAAAAGCGCTCAGAAAGTCGGTAGCACGAAGAAAAGAGAGAGCAGAACGCAAAAGCCGAGAGAGTTTGGATTTGGGGCCCAGAGAGGCAAGAGACGGACGCAACAGGCCACCCCTAAAGAGCCAACTTTCGCGAGAAGCATTCAAAACGAACAGAAAGGGTGTAACGAAGGGTATAGTAGCCCAGCGAATACCTAACTTCACTCAAGAGAACTATTTGTGCAAGGGCTGTGAAAATCATTTCTTATCAAGGTGAACTTGACTGATAACTCAAAGGTACTTTTGTACCTACATATATATGCCCTTTTGCAAGTGCATACTTTTTTGAGAACGCATTCAGACCATTCTACAATGCGTCGCAATCGCGAGACGCTTACGACTTCAGTAAGATCGGTACTTGTTAAGAAAAGGGAAGACCCTATAGGCAAAAAATAGGCGGAGTCCCCCCTTATTTGTAGGAGGTCTCCTCTCAATTTGTTCTCACACCTCCTGAAAAAGCCACCTTTTTTAGGAGGCGTGCAGGGAGCCGTTGTTCTGGAATCGTGCCCCTTCTAATGAACAGCCTCTTGATCTTAAAAAACCATTAATGGTTCTTGATTGACTAATTTTTTATAATTTCCAAAATTTTTCAAAAATAATTTAATGATCTTCGGCCAAGTAGTCTAAGTCAGTAGACTCTAAACAAATTTAAAAACAGGTTTTTTTTTTTAATTAAAAGATTCCCAGAGTCCTTGCATACCCTCGCTCCTTTTGAGTAGGGGATGCAAAAGTTTATCCAAAGTGCGGGAAGCTTCAAAAGCAAAGCACCGTTGCTAGGCCAGCCGGCAATTTGGAGCAGAAGGTTCAACGATCCATCGAGTGTTTATTAATTTTCGGAATGTATTGCTCACCGAACACGCGATGTCGGCATGCGTGGGTAAACAAAAAACCGATCATCAGCTGTGAAATGGCGCTTATCAGCTGGCAAGCAAAAAAACAGAAAAGAGCCCACTGTCCCAGTTCCACTTAGATTTCCACTGTGCTGACCTTGACAAGCCAATCTCCTCCACAAAAGCATCTTCGTCTCGCTCGCACTGCCATTATGCAAGTGCGTGAGCATTAGCTTTTCCGTTCTCTAATCATTCTCTCCCTCACGCGCAAAAAGCGTGAGGCGAAGCTTTTTGGCGCATAGCTTTCGTCGCCGGAAAAGGCACGAGAGGAAAGTTCTGAAAGTGAAAGTGCTTTTCCAGCCCGCAGTTAATTCTATATGTAATGCGTGTTATGTATGTATGTTGCGAGTTTGCCCTTGAACTTGTACGAGAAAGGACGTTGATACCGTAACACTGAAACTCCGCGCCTACAACAACAAAAAGCTTATCACTGAAATTTTGGCAACCCGGCACAGACAAAATTTATGCGAAATTACTCATCACTCAATGGGAGCGTCGTCACAGGCAATTAAACAATTGCGATAATGGCGGTTTTAAGCGACTCGAGATTATTGTTGCTACATTTCCCGCTGGAAACTTTTCCGTTTTTTTGAACCCGTATGGAATGACTTCTATTTAACCTTTACACATACCTTTGTAACTTCTTTGTTAGTGGAAATTTCCCTGCTGGAAATTTGAACTGCACTGTTTGACGGGTACCAATCGACTATACAGAACCGATCTCTTTATGAGCCCCCCACACGTATTGCAAGGGGAAAAATACATCGGATGTATTGGAGTGGGGAAAAAATCCTCGATTTTTAAAACATCGATAGATTAAAAAAGTATATCGACTTTACCGGCTGTGAAGAATTGCTTGCATCATCAGAGACACAAAAAAAGCCTTAAGTTTGCGAAATTCACAGCATTTTAAATGTTCATATATTACAAATGGTTAAGACCACCCAAAATGATCTGATCTTACCTTCTTTGAAAAATAAAGGTGAACTAGCGGGGAGATCTGTTTTTTTTTGTTTTGGAATAAAATTAACACGGTTTAAATGCACTGGCAGCGAGCTCCAATCAGATACAGTGTCGGTCAGCGAATTTAAATCACTTTCCCCAACTTGGGTCTAGAGGTGGAGCTTTATCGATGGAAACCTCGACGATGATTTCAAACATCGAATTCGATGCTTTGTTCTTTCACCGGGGTAATTTATCCGATACACCCTCCTAACCTAGCGAGTGTCATTCTTGTCTAGCAAAGACCTAATCCAACATTAGCACCAATTGCCACAATTTGATATCTTCTTCTTGTTACTTGTTGCCATTCGGTCCGAACCGTTTGTTTTGGTTTTCTTTAGGGTAAGCGTGTTGCTTTTTCCAATTTAGAATTTCTTTAAAGACTAAAACAGAATCCAGCTCTATGGCTACGGAGGTTTCCCAACTGCTGCTGGCTGTGATCCAGGGCATTGCAGCCGGCGCCACCAACGATGACCTGACCAAGGCGCTGCCCGACGTACCGGCGGCAACGCGCGTGGAGGCGCTGAACATATTGCTGCAGCAGGGCGGAATAGAGATCCTGAAGAAAGGCGAGAAGCTGGTGTATCGCGCTAAGGATCCGGACAAGAAGAGCGCTCTGCCCAAGGACGCAGACAACGAGGAAAAGGTGGTTTACGGCATCGTAGAGGAGGGCGGCAACAAGGGCATCTGGATCCGGGACATACGCATGAAGTCCAACTTAAACATGATACAGCTCAACAAGATCCTCAAGAACTTGGAGACCAAAAAGCTGATCAAGGCGGTCAAGTCGGTGAACGTGAGTATTGTTGTGATATAACTTCATTGTCCACTTACCGGAATTCTTTTAATACAGGCCAGCAAAAAGAAGGTTTACATGCTTTACAATCTGGAACCAGATCTCTCTATTACGGGAGGTGCCTGGTACCAGGACCAGGACTTTGAGGTAGAGTTCGTGGATGTGCTCAACCAGCAGTGCCTTCGCTTCCTGCAGATGAAGCGCGACAGTGCGGAAAAAAAGCGCGAGGGCCCTTTGGCCTTCAAGCAGATGTCCTGCTGCACAGTCAACGAAGTTCACAAATTCATCTCGGATCTGGGCATCAGCAAAGTGAATCTGGCGGAGGCCGATCTGGAGACTATCCTCAAAACGGTAGTCTACGACGGCAATGCAGAACGGGTACGTCAGCAGGATGGATCTCACGTCTACCGAGCAGTGAACTCCCCACTTCCACCCACTGGCTTGGTGCAGATGCCCTGTGGCATTTGTCCTGTGATCAAGAACTGCTCCAATTGCGGAGATGTAACGGCTATTACATGTGAATATATGCGAGATTGGTTGGACTGATAAGTAATCCAAAAAATATGACTGCTGGTTTAAGTCTTTGTGGTAATTATGGAAGGGTTTGGAAAAAAAAACGTATTGTGTGTTGGAAACATTTTGGTGTAGTTAAAATAAAACCGTTATTTTAAACACCCCAGTTATATCGTATTTCGCCATTCAGAGTGCTGCAAATCTACGATATCTTTAGCTTAACATGTCAGCTGGTTGCCATTCGCTCGGAACGCAGGAACAGATACGTGGCTGTCGAATCTGTGAATGCCACCTCGAAAAGTCCGACCAAAAGCTGCGAAACGAAATAAAAATTTATAAAATTGAGGCTTACTATGCGATAGCCCTCCCCAGTGCGGCAAGTGCAATTCCTCCAGCGCCTTAAAAGCCCCGAGTTCATAGAAATGGGTCTGTGCAAGTGCCCCAAGCGGCTGGTGACCAACCAGTTTTGCTTCGAGCACCGCGTCAATGTTTGCGAACACTGCATGGTTCAGTCGCATCCGAAGGTAGGGATCCCATTTACTTCAATTTATGGATTACTTGATTTTCTTTTTCCCAATCCCTTTTAGTGTATTGTGCAGTCGTATCTGCAGTGGCTGCGGGACAGCGACTACATCTCCAACTGCACCCTTTGCGGCACTACATTGGAGCAGGGCGATTGTGTGCGCCTCGTTTGCTACCGTAAGGAATCGCCGGCTTTAGATTTACTGGTCCTGAAATACTGTTCTTCCTTTTCCAGATGTTTTCCACTGGGACTGTCTGAACGCCCGCCAAGCTGCCCTGCCTGCCAACACAGCCCCGCGCGGTCACCAGTGCCCCGCCTGCAGCGTGGAGATCTTTCCTAACTCCAACTTGGTTTCCCCAGTGGCCGACGCCTTGAAGAACTTTCTAGCGCAGGTGAACTGGGGCAGGAATGGCCTCGGATTGGCATTGGTAAGGTGTGATTCGCCCTAGCCCGTATTTCCGCTAAGATCCAAAATCTCCTTAGCTCTCTGAGGATCAAAGCAGCAGCCTGAAGGCCGTCAAGCCGAAGGTGGCCAGTCAAGCGGCCGTCAGCAACATGACCAAAGTGCACCACATTCATTCCGGTGGCGAGCGGGAGCGCACGAAGCCCAATGGCCACGACGCCATGAGTCCACATTCCGTTCTTCTGATGGACGCATTTAATCCGCCTAGCGCCGGCGACTATGGTGCGTATAAAATCAACTTAATCCTCGGACAAGGCACAAGATTTTACCAACGCTCCTCCCTTTTTCAACAGCCAGCAGCCGAAGACCGTTGCTGCCACGTCAGTCGCCCATTGGCGGAACGGATCGGGACGATAACAAGTACCAGCGCCGCACGCCTGCGGAGCTTTTCTCGCGCTGGACACGCCGCTTCTATGCACCCTCCTCTCGGCCTCCATGGCGCCGCACCTGGTTCCTGGTCCTCGCCGGTATCCTAGCGTTTGTCTTGTTTATCTACCTAATGGCCTGGCTAGGACGCGGAGGATCCGACGCCTTGGACGAAGGTTGGAACAACCCGAATCCACAGCCAAACCACTACGAATAGGGTGTGCTTTCATAATCGAAACGAGCGAGCATACGTAGCATATAATCAATATCCAAATCCCCGATCCCGAAATAATAAAACTTTTACAGCTATTTATATAACCTAACATTGCAACGCGAAATAATACAAGGATGTGTGTGTACATAAAGAACGAAAATAATTCCTTAATTGTCTAGTCAGCATGGGGTTTCAAAGTCTGCACCTGGCTTCCTTCAGCCGGCGGCTTGGCGACTACAGTCCGCTTGACTGGAGTCGCAGTCTGCTGTTTGCGTTTGGGCGCGTCCAGCACTTCGTCGTACTCGTGCAGCTTCTTCGCCAGGAAGTACATTTCGGCCAGGGCAATGATGAGCGCCACAATCACGCCCAGCAGAATGCGAAAGCCGAAGGGCAGAGGGCCCACCATTAAGTTAACGCCAAAGAAACCGAAAGTAAAGCCAGCGGCCACGGAAAAGATGAACTGCACGACGGCAATGATCTGCTTGTTGAGGCTTTTGACTGGAAGATAAGAATGGTTAGCTTGAAAGAGTAAAAGTTTAAGAAGACTCCACTTACTTTGATAGGAAATAGTGTCTTCGGGGTAGTGTTTTAGGCCGGCATCCACATTCTTGGTCATTTTCAGGTAGTCCCGGTTGTGCTGTTCTGCGCGAAGCCGCTGGCACCGTGCTTCCAATTCGGGATTGCGTGGCTTTATCTCGTTCTCGGGCAGAATGAGTTCACTGGACTCAATCAGCTGGTGTAAAAACACCTGGCAGTGATTTTGTCGACGCAGTTCGTCTAGGGTGCTAGCAAGCCAATGCAGATCACTCAAATACAGCACATTTTTTCTCTCCTTCGGTGTTTCTGACTTATCGTTATCTGTCTCTGTGGATTTTGCTTTATCCTTTATAAGCTCTTCAGGTATGTTGGGTATATTCTCAGTTAGTTTCTCCAACAGAACTTGGTCGATCTTTGGACGTTTGCTGACTACATCATTATTCTTAATTATCTTCGTGCTAAGAGGCAGGGTGACACCCTTCTGCTTCACAATTTTTGCCACATTTTCGGGCACCTGCTGAAAGTGCTCCTTCTGAGCGTCCAGGAAATCCAGCAGCTTCTTTGAGGGCACTAACCTCACGCGAGTATCGACGATCGTTGACTTGGACATTGTATCTACTTGTTCAGTTTTAGCTGAAGGTCCGAGTAAAGCTCTGCAATTTCCTCCTCCTTCTCCTCGAATGAGTTTTCGATGCGGCGATAGCCGTGCTCCAAATTGGTTAGGAACTCCGCCCGGCGTTGCTCACGTGCCAGTCGCGCCTCCTGTAACTGGGGGCTGGCCTAAACACCCAGGAAAAAGGCAATTAATCAATGATAAACGTAATCTCAGGTGACCCACTAACTTTTCGTTCTACTTTCGCTTTCGCCAGAAGTGCGTTGACCCCGTCCAGCAGTTGGTTGACCTCCGTGTCCAATTGGGCGAGATTCTGGGCCCCAGAAGCAATGCAGCGCTCGGAAAGATCGTACTTCAGAGATCCCACCGTTTCGGTGACCTGGAAAAGTTTCTCGACTTCGCTATCGTTGCGCCGCACCTCGAAGTTCTCTAGGAAAGCCTCAATTTCGCCGTTTACAAACACCCTATGGTCTAAAATGCGAAGCGGCACCTTATAAAGCTCTGAAAGTAGTGAGATAACCTGGTTATTAATGATTTTTAAAGTAATTTCAAAAAACTACACCTCGTCCGACTTGGCTTATCATTATTTTTCTCCGTTCAGCTGTCACATGAGGCTAGTGTTGTAAAACGCACAAACCTTCTACTCTTAGGTACGAGTTAGCTTATAAAACAAGTACCTAAAACGAAAATAATTGTAAATAACAATTATTTATTGTTATTGGTAAAACATAAATTTGCTCTGCCAGTTTTTTTTTTAATTTCTAAAGGATATCAGAAACCACTGGTCCCCCAAATTCTGCCAGCCCTGGTCATCGGTAAAACATAATTATCATCCGTGAATTTTTGTGAAAAGTAAGCGAATAAGTTTCGAAAAGTGAGAACAACAACGGCGATCACCGCCTTTTGCTGGAAAATCGTTTTAAAAAAAACTATTTTGTTGACCAGCTGGGTGACCAGGTGTGCAGACGCGCGCGAAGTTACGCTCACAGCGCCTGGTCACACTGCACTCACGTTCTCCACTTGCTGCGCTAATTTCCAGAAGCCGCCCGAAGAAAATTGGCCAATTTCACCAGGATGAGCGAGGAATTCAAACTGCCCAAGCGGTCCCGCAAGCGCACCCGCGATGTAAAGCGCAAGGCGCGTCCGGAACTGGATGGGGAGAACGCATGGGTTGCGATGCGGTACTGCGAGAATTTCGAGCCGTTCTGGGACTTCACAGACAATCTGGAGAGGATCGAGGAGTCCGCGGTGCCGGAGGCGGAGTTCATCGAGCGCTTTGAGCGGCCTTACAAGCCGGTGGTCATTCGCGGCTGCACTGACGGCTGGCTGGCGCTGGAGAAGTGGACACTGGCCCGCCTGGCCAAGAAGTACCGCAACCAGAAGTTCAAGTGCGGCGAGGACAACGAGGGCTACAGCGTCAAGATGAAGATGAAGTACTACGTGGAGTACATGCAGGGCACGCGCGACGACAGCCCGCTGTACATCTTCGATAGCAGCTTTGGGGAGCACCACCGGCGGCGCAAGCTCCTCGATGATTACGTGGTGCCCAAGTACTTCCGCGACGACCTCTTCCAATACTGCGGCGAGAACCGTCGACCGCCGTACCGCTGGTTTGTAATGGGACCAGCTCGGTCCGGCACCGGCATCCACATCGACCCACTAGGCACCAGTGCCTGGAACACGCTCATCCGCGGCCACAAGCGGTGGTGCCTGTTCCCCACCCAGACGCCGAAGGATTTGCTGAAGGTCACCAGCGCTATGGGTGGCAAGCAGCGCGACGAGGCCATCACCTGGTTCAGCACGATATACCCCCGCACCCAGCTGCCCAGTTGGCCGGAGCAGTACCGCCCTATCGAAGTTCTGCAGGGAGAGGGCGAGACGGTGTTCGTGCCCGGCGGCTGGTGGCACGTGGTGCTTAACCTGGACGACACCATTGCCATCACCCAAAACTTCAGCTCGCAGACGAACTTTCCTTGCGTCTGGCACAAGACTGTTCGTGGGCGACCCAAGTTGTCGCGAAAATGGCTGCGAGTGCTGCGGGAGCAGCGGCCGGAGCTGGCCCAGATCGCCGACAGTATTAACCTAAACGAGAGCACCGGCTTTGCCTCGGACAGTTCGAGCAACTCGAGCTCCTCCTCGTCGAGCAGTTCCTCTTCGTCGTCGGAGGAAAGCGAGGATGGCGGCGATTCCAACACAGACAGTGGTCAAGAGAGCCTTACCGCCAAGAAAAAGAAGAAGCGGCGCATGGCGGGCGGAGGCTCGGGTTCCGGTTCCATGGGCGGCTCCTCGCGCTCCTGATGCAGGGAGCGTGCCAAGCGCAAAGGCTTGCTCATGCGCCTCTTCCAACGGCAGCTGATGCTCCTAAGACGGTTGCCCCGCTGCCGTCGGAGTTAGCATTGTGACCATCCTCATCACCATCAACAACATCCGCAGCCCGGCGGTTCCAGAGTTTTGTAATATTTTTCTACTTAGACAAGCGTGTTCGCAGCTCTTTGATTCCGTGCTAGCCCTCATCAAAAGCCTGCTCCCTGATTTCAATAGATGCTCCAACGTGACTCATTAGCGTAAACCCTAATTGCAAAATAAATAAATTCAATATATTTGTACAAAACCACTGGCTTTTACTTTCGCTTGATGATAAAGGAAAACTAGATAAAATAAAAGTTTTATGGTTGTTATATGTATGTATATCACCTTCTCCGATTTTGCTGATAAGGCAAATCAAAAAGTCGATCATCGTAGCCCACATTCCAAGTGCGAAAACAATAAGAGATCAATTTTTATTTTACAAAATTACTTTCCTCCGTTTTATTTATAATTCTTTTTGCAAACAAAAATGCGATTTTATATATGTAAATGGTTTTCCCTTTCGTATTGTATAAAAAGAAACAAGTACATCGATGACATGCAACTTAAAATTTTTAGCTAAATTAAAACGTACCGAAATCGGAAAAGGAAACGATTGAAGGTTTTGGGGTTGTATATAATATTTTGCAGCCGAACTAAGCTATAAAGGAAATCAGTAGGGACATTTACAAATAATAATTTTAAAATAAAAGGTCGATAGCTAAATTTTATTTATGGAACAGCGTCGCTGAAAGCACATGCTCTTAAATAAATCACCTTTAATTTGCTACAATTTGTTATTTTTAGTTATTATTAAAAGTTTCCCTTGCGCTCTCTTTTCATTCTTCGGATCTTTATTATTTTTTTCCCGATGTTCTAGATAGAAAAGTTGTTTGCACTTTGATGTTGTGTTGGTTTTTTCTTGTTGTTGTGTGTGACTGGATTAAACGGTGTCGTTTAATTACAGATGTACATTGATTTGTTTTGTGGTTTTTATTATTATGAAATATTTGTAATTGTTTTGTATAAATTAGAAATTGCGCACGCAGCTTCGTTTTGCTTAAGGTCTGACGGTTTGGGTTGGGTTCATTTCTTCTCGGTTCTGATTCTTGTCGAATTTTGTTTTAATTTTGTAGCCAAGTTTTCGGTTTGAGTGTTGTTGAAATATGGTGTTTTGTGGTGGTTGCTAACTCTGACTTAATCGATATACTGCGCTAACCAACGGAAACCTTCGCCGTAGCCCTGTCGCTTCAGCACGGAGCACATGAACAATTCCAACGGGCGGCCCGGCAACTCGGCGCGTGCAACTTTGCCCTGCAAATCAACCGAACATTAATTATGTATTTTTGCATACGGTGAAAGCGATAGTCGCTTACCTTGCCGGTCGTTAGCTGATACAGTCCAAACACGTTTCTCAGCTCATCCTCGCTAGCCGCGCCGGGCTTATCGATTTTGTTGCCCAATATGAGCACGGGGCAGTTGGACAGCGCCTCATCCGTGAGCAGCGAATCCAGCTCGTTTTTGCTCTCCTGGAAGCGACCGCGGTCCCAGGCGTCTATTAAGAAAACGATGGCATCTACGGCGGGGAAGTAGTCCTTCCAGACACGTCGTGCTACAAAGCAAACCAACCAATATATTAGTATTATTATTTATTATTTTTAGTAGTAAATTTTATGAACCCACTATCTATAATTTACATAACATCATCTAGAACACAAAAACATCACGTCATTGTTATCAGGCAACAGGTTTTGATATCTTTTCGCCGGTGAGACGGCGTTCCCCCAACCTTAGCTAGCTTTAGTCTGATCACGGCTACCCAGTTTCAAACAAAAAAAGATCGTCACGATGACGCGTTGCACTTTAATGAAGCACATTTAAGTGCCAGTGCTTCTTTATCAATAATAATTTCCTACTATAACAAGTTTCACGATGTTTAATCATATTTCATAATAAACTCCTTTGTGAGAAAAACTTAAGTTCTCTCAGTACAAATATGTTTTTGTTCTCGCTCAACCTTGCGCTTTTGTTTTTGTTTGTTATCTACATATATAGAATGTTTGCCTTCATACTTATATTATTCACAAATACTTCGCCCTAAAATGCACAGTGGGTTAATGAAATTTTCAGAAAATAGAATCGGCTGTTAGTCTTTAGCGCTACATATTCGTAGTTATTTTTCGCAATCATGTTCTACGGTAGTAAATGTTTTTGAAAGAATTTTTTTCAGATTCCTCGGATCTATAAACCTCTCTTACAACACACACGTATTTAGAACGACGAATAGTTTCTAAGACCACTGTGACGGCGTTGCTTGGATGGGCGTTCGAGTGTGCGACGCTGATTGAACGCAACAATTGTGAAGAGTGTATAACCCATCTGCTGTATGGGTGACCCGCTGCGCTATATTTCATGCTGATTGTCGTGGATCTGGCTGTATTGCATCTGTCGCCCCATACAATATTTGCATTCTGGTTTAAATTTAGGCACGTTCGGAAAGCAGCAAATATTTGGATGCGCATTCCCATAAGCTCCGGTGAAGATAAGGCACTTACCCTGAGTGTGGCCACCCAAGTCGAATGTAGTGAAGCGCATGTTGCCGATGGACAGCTCCTCGGATGCTGCAAAGGATTATTGAAGTTATAGTTTCATAGGGGAAACAACTTTGCGCTTTGACCAACTCACTTGGATGCAGTGTGGGCACATGCTGCGCCAGCTTATCGTCTTTGAGCATATGCAATAGTGTGGTTTTGCCAGCATTATCCAGGCCGAGGAACAATAATTTGCCAGACTTTTTCCACAGACCTGGAAAGATTCGAAAATGTTACGAATTTTGTCTCAATCGTCACCAATTAATATACGCAGCTAAGCTTATAATGTAGTGGGGCATCACTTGTGCAAACAAACAGCTGAGGTAGAAATAATAGCTCAGGGAGGATTAATTTCAAATGGAAATTTCTTACATTACATCAGTGTTGGCGATAATGTCTGCTATAATGCCGATTAAGATGGCTCTCATATTAATGAGTTTCAATCAAGATAAATTTTGAAATATTGTGAACCAATAGGAGACAATTTATGATGATTTATGATGGGAACCTTCTAAATATTTTCTGAAACCCCTCCAAATATACTTGAATTAACCTTTAGATTTTAGGAAAATTCCATATTTTTAGAGCTATCACTTTGACCTCCGTTGTACATGAGTGAATTTTTGGTTTCTTTTGTCTGGTCGTCGGCTGCTTTGTTGGCACTCGCTCAAGAAACGCTCCCCCAAGGCACAATGTCAGCGATTCGGGGACCTCGTAGCCCCCATCCCATAGAGATTCTTACCCAGGTATCCCAGCACTCCGGTGAACCAGTCCCAGATGAACATCCTGCTTTTTTCTGTGGTTATCGGTTGCGGGTAAGTGGCTCCAAAAGCAGAGTGTCTTGTGTTTTTTGTGGGGGAAGAGAGCTGCTGGGCTAGACGGCTAGATGTGGGAGGGAAGATATTGGATTCAAGAGATATATAGTCGTTAGATTAGTGCGCAATTGGACTCAAGTTCAATGTACAGCTCGAAACCACAACAACAACAACCGCAGCGACAGCAACAACAACAATAACAGCTTAGCGTATAGGAAATCAATTCCACGGCTGCTCAACTTCCGGAACCTTGACACACAAACACACGAACACATTCAACCGGGGACCTTGCGGATGATATAGCTTCCTTGTAGCGGTACATTTTTCGGGCCTATTATTCAGTTAATTAGGTTAAAACCTGTTCTTTGTCAACTGGGCAACACTTTCTTTCTTTCTCTCTCTCTGTCTGCCTGAGTGTGTGTGCGGTTTGTCTGTGTGTGCGTTCTGTCTGTCTGTGAGCGTGTGTGTGTGGAACTACGTGGTAACACGCATATTATACTTTATAATATCATTTCGCCTTTGAGCACATTTCGTAATCACACTTTGGATCGCAGGTTCACCCCGTTTTCAGCCGCACCCTCGACCTGCGAGAACAGACAGACATCCGATTTCGGATCGGATTCAGATTCGGATTTTGCACTACGTGGACGCATTTCGGGATTTTCGATCCCGCTGCCTGCGGGTGTCACGATTTCGGAGGTCTCAACGTTACAATTGCTGCTGCTGCCGCGCGGTCCTTATCACGTTTCGCTGCAGGTTACCGTGCAGGTGCTGTGTGTTTTAATTATCAACTTAATTTGCTTTTTCTACCTCACGTTTTTATTGGAGTCAGTTCAGTTTTTTCTAATCAAAAGCCCCAGTGTGACCAAGAGGGAGCTGGGAAAAAATCCATCGGCGGGAGCCTAGCTCCGCTATGTTGGGCGTGTAACTTCGCTAAGCGCGAGTGAATCTGCTAACGGAAAAGCGGTCTGGCACCACTAATTGTAGTGGCAGCACTGGCGGCATTTCTTAAATTCAAATTTTAAGTAAAATGTTTCAATTCTTCTATGACTGTGCGCAGCGGCTGATTTAGAATTTCAATCTGGGGTGGGGTTTTCGATTGAAAAAAATATTCTTGACTATATATTTCTAATTATTGTTTGAGCCCCAAAAACCTCTCCGTAAATCCGCCACTGACTGTGCGGCTGATTTAATAATTATATATTTATATTTGATTAAATAAACCTTACTTTGCCATTTCTTAATATAATATTTTTTAAAACACTTTTTTGGTGGTATGCTTTATTTTAATTTTTTAATAAGTAGATATGTTCGAAATATGCAGATGCAGTATTACTTCAGGTTAACAGGTAATACATAAGAAGTAGTCGATATGTTAATTGACCCTTCGCATCTGCTGCAGGATGATGTCCTCCACCTGGACGCCGTCGGGGGTGTCCAAGGCATAGAGCACCGCCTTGGCCACATCCTTCGCCTGCAGCTTGGGCAGCTCGGCCACCGCCTGTGAGTAAACACTGAGGAAATCCGTGTCCACCATTCCCGGACAGATGCTCTGCGGGCGAAAAGAAGGGAAGGTTGATGTTTCCAATCGCCAGACGCGTCATGTTTGCAGCACTTCCCGGCGAAGGAGGCGGAGTCGCCATGTATGCACTGCATTTAACTTACCGTTAATTTAATATTTAATTTGAGAAAATGTATTTCCTGGCGCACCGTTTGGCAGAGGGCCGTAATTGCATGCTTCGTGGCCGGATAAACGCTGAATAAGGGCACCGGCACTTCCGGAATCCGGTGGCCGAGCACGCTGTTGTCAAATGTCCATGTCCATGCGTCCGGAGGAGCGTCGCGGAAAAAGAGAGGGTAAATAAAGTCAACACAACGGATTGCGAGCACTTAAAACAGCATCAAAAAAACAAGTTGCCGTCGAACACTTACGGAAAATGACGGTCAGCAGCTGGCGGAGACTACAGAATGGCCACCACTCCCCCAAAATAAACCCACTTTGCATGCCTCAAAGAATGTGTGCGGATGCCCCGTGCCTGCTTTCTGTTTTCAGTTTTCTGCTGTCTGCAGTCTGCGTCCAGCATTCACCTGCCTGCATATGTCGCTGTGCATTTTGTGCAAACACTGCGTAAACTTCTTTTAATTTAACCTTCTCACTCGGCAAAAAAAACAGGAGTTCATAACAAAACTCTAGGGTTTTGAATAAATAAAATAAATGATAATCACATGCGTGGGAATTTAAATATTGTAGGGTATTCTTTTCTCTCCAAAAGAATGTTTTATCTATATCCCATCTTAGCCAATCAAGAAGTGTAAAGTCATTTGTTGAGTGTACTACCAGGAGTAGTGGGGTGGGGGGCGTGACTCAGGGCCAGGGGCGGTGGGCGGTGGGCGGGGCTCGAAACCTGGGGCATTAAATGCAAACAGCTGCCGGCGATGTTGCAGATGCTGGCCGGCTGGCATACCCTTGCATTTTTTTAATTAATTAAGTCTTAATATTATTGCACTGACATTAAGCGCAACGCATATTGACGACCGCCCACCTGGCCCACCTGCCACGCCCCCGACACAAACGCCCTCGACAACGTCACACGCTCATTAGCAACGCCTCAGCGACGTTTTCAGAACGGGATTGTCTTTGCCTCGCAACGCGGCCAAATAAATACATTTTCTCATTAATTAACGTTTGCGAAGTTCGAAGTCGCATTTTCCTCAATTTTCTCTACGACTGACTGTCCGCAGCGCTCAATTGTATTCAGTTGCGGACAATACGCTTGTGTTCGCTGCTCATTATGCCGGAAAAATGCGTATATAAAATTCCGGAAAATTCTTATTAACGGTGTGTCTTTAATGCACTCCGCTGTTGCACTTTCTGAACGTGCGGTGAAAAGTGGTCCGAAGGGGGAGGCAGCTTAAGGGCTGGTAAATATGCGTTAAGCTCCGGCAGAAAATTCCTTTTACACCTTACTTTACATAAAAAATGCCTCTGTAATCAAAATACATGCCCATATAGGGGTAAAAAATAAATCTCTTTGAACTTTCGTTAAATGTCCATCAGAACGATCGTAAGGCATATCATATCAATCTTATCGGAGCTTCAAAACCATTTTCCCAGGCAGAATGTGCTCGAATAAACTGCCATCTTTGCACAAACTAAAAGGCAATTAATAAATAAGATTGACGTTGGCTTTGTTGAATTTGCCTTAACATTTCCGCATGCTGACTGATTTTACAGACATGAAAAACGCAAACACACTCGGACATTTACGCATGCACGCACCCACCCACAGTGCGTATACGCAATTATTCAATTTTGCCTTTTGCTCATGGGCAAACGGCAATAATTGCTATCTGGTTGGTTGGGTGGGTGTGCGTATGCACTCAAGTAAATTTCATTAAAATTAAATCAATGCAATTTGAAATTAAAGCCATAGCGCAAATCAAACATGCGGCTTAATGCGCAACATTTTTGATTTTAAATGCGGTACGCATCGGAATCCATGAAATAATAAAAATCACATTCGATGACTGCCAATGGAGGAATGCAAAATGCAAATGCAATACGCATTCGGCTTAATGCAAAATACTTAATTATGTTGAATAATTGAGTTGTTGTTGCTCTCGTTGTTGTTGTTGCTGTTGTTGTTGCTGTTGTTGTTGCTGTTGTCGTTGCTGTTGTTTGGGGCAAACACATTGGTCATGCAAAGCTTTTAATGCACCACCCACACCGCAGATTCGGCATGCGTGCCCCTCCCGCTTTCAGCATTTAAATATCAATAAATGTTTGTGCTGTTGTGCTGTTTGTTTGCCGCATGGCTTTTAATTTAATTTAAATAACGCGGCACCCGCCCCGGACCCTTCTCCTTTGTGCTCGCCCCATGCAATATGCATTGCGCTGACCAACTCCGAGCACGGCTATTGACTGACCGGCTGCATTGTTTGCACTTTCATTAAGCCCCGATCGGGCGAGCCCCTCTAAGCCCGCCCCTAAACCCAGCCGGCCAACACCCTGTAGGACATAATTTGGTAAATATTTTGCCACTCAAGGCAGCAGCTTTTGGTCAGTTGTTTGCCCAGCACAAGCAAAACTATAAAGCAAATATGTACGAAAATGATTTACCTCCGACTCTATCGTTGTGTGCTCACTGCCTTTGTGGGCGTCTGCACTAATTTCGATTTAAGCCCAATTTTCGTACTTCAGCTGGGTAAACACCGCTCCCGAAATGATAACAATTAACCCCGACCAGCAGCTGTGCCTTTGTGTGTGTGTGGGAGTGCGTGTGTGCTGTTGTGCTAATTCTGTAGCTCTATCTAATTGTCTCGAGTCAATAGGCAATCCTTTCATGTATAGCTTTCAATTGATGGCCCTCTCCTTTCAGTTGAGTTTCAAACACTTTCCATTCGAGAGGCGATTTAAATAAAATTAAATTGTTTGTGTTTAAGTTGGATAGGAAAGCCAGATTAACAAGGTTATACGTTCTATTTATTGTTAGTTGAATAAAGGGGTCTTTGGCATAACTATGCAGCTAAATGTCATAACTAAAATATACCACGTTCTATTATTTTATCTGAGTCTTTTGTCCAGTTTGTCAGGTATCTGTCGTTTTAACCCGTATTCTCTTACCTGGCGGTAATATTTCTACCCGGAACAACACTCACCTGTTCATGACCACAATGTGACCGCGAACCTTGACCGCAGCCATGTGCTTCAGGGCTTCCCGCAGGCAACTGGCGGTGGCCACCACATTCGTGTCGAACAGTTCCTTGATGTCCTTGGTGGAGGACTCTGAACCGGAGGAAGTAGTTTAAAAAATCCAAACTTGTGTATGCTATAATTACCGCTCAGGAAGTTGGCCTTTAAAATGCCAGCGTTGCAGACGAGTACGTGAATGACGTCGAAGTCTCGACGAATCCAATTGAATGTTTCGGTCAACTGCTCCTCATCGCTGAGATCGCATTTCCTGGCGAAGATCTTGCCGTCACCGGTAACCTGATCATTGAGAGCCTTGGGATTATGTTTTAGTAGTTTAAAGTTAACAGTTGAAAAATATATTATTACTTCGATCAGTTCTGAGCGGCGGGCAAGACCCACAACCACCATTCCTGCATTGGCCAACTCCACAGCTGTGCTGGCTCCAATTCCCACGGAGGCGCCAGTGACCACCGCCACTTTGTTGCGAAAGTAGAAGTTTTTTTCCATGATCGGAGAGGAGTTGAGTGGACGGTGGAAATAAAGTGCGAGCTGAGATAACCTGATGGCTTCGTTGGCAAACGATAACTGATGTTGGAGGCTGAGGGCGATCGCTGCTCCAGCTGACGCAGCTGCAAATGCAACACAGTGGGTCTGGTCTGGTTCATAATAAAAAATCTTTTTTTATTCCTTGTTATTAAACAAAATATGTAAATTACCATTACTTCTTAAGAATTTTATCAAAAAATTAGAATGAAATCCTGGATTTCCAGCTTTTAAATTCAAGATGTAATTTTATTTTCATTGTCGGCATCTTTTTCTATTTAGCGGATCAGGGGGCACGCGTCGCTTTAGGAGAAGTCGGATTTAATTGATTGCAATTTACTGGCTGTGGCACAATTCCTATTTGCATTGTGCGGCTGTAGTTTGTAGTTTGCCTTTGCCTAGTTGCACTTTGCCCCTCGCAGCCCTTCACTTCCCTTCCCCCTTTTGTTCATGGAGCATTGCACTCGTTTGCATTTCACTTCTAGTTAAAGCTATAGTTTTTTCAGCATTTTCTTTTGTCTGCTTGGGTTTTTTTCTGGTCGGTTTTGCGGATATTTGATACCAAATGAAAAATCTCATTTCGCTCTGCGGCTTTGGTTTGTTGTCACTAATCTCTCGGGCTGACACTTGAGGATTATTTTCATATTTCTATTCACAAGCACAGACTATCCAGAGGGGGTGGTGGCAAATGGCTTGACAACGCTAAAAAAATCATTTTATCCGGCTCTCGAAGCTATAAATACCCCGCAGATTAGGTGCTTTGTACATAAGATTTCACATTTGAGGCTTGAAATTAAATTTCAAAAGGGAAATAAAATAATAAGTATATTGAAATGGTGGAAGTCCTGAATTGAAGAAGTACTACGACTACAAAATGAAACAAAAAGAGTACAATATTTAACTCTGTAAAGTCCGAACAGCACTCAATATTCATATGCAATTCTTATTCCGTTTGCGCTTATTAAATATTAGCAGCGCTTCCATTCAGCCACCAATCCCCAATTCGGCAAACACAAAAATATGCATTATCGATAATCTGGCATAACGTATTCCATTATATTTTGATAGATTCATCGCAGGCCATGAATATTCGCCCAGCCGATTGTGTTCGCTTTCCGGCTGAACGGCTGGCTCGGAGTCTTATCGTATTTTTGTAATTACCAAACAACAGATTGTTCTAATGGAGGCAGGGGCAGTGCCACTTGGCTGGCTTCTTGGCCATGGCTCAGTGAGTCTGCTGGCAAATCAAAAACGAACTTTATCTGGGCTGGTGGAAAGTATTTGCATGTCAGCCTCAACTGGAGATGCACCAAAAAATGCACTTAGACTGGATTTTTGGTAGGGACAGGACGTTGCAGTTGACAACCATAAACTGCAGGTGCAGGAGAATGAGTCCTTTGTGGCTCAATGGCTGCAATCGGCCAGAAGTCAGGCAATTGTTTCGATTGGCCGCCCGTAAATTTCCTGGCCTTTGTGTGGTACAGTTGTCCTGGCTGTTAACTAACAGCCGTCCCAGCCATGCAAATCAATTGCAATGCAGCTGGGGAAAAAGCCCGGCAAGGCGACACAATTTATGGGCCATAAACCGAAAGTGGCCGGAACGAGGAGCTGAACGAGTCTTGGCTGTGGGGTCATCAAAGTTCCTGGCATTTTGAGCTGCACACAAAAGTGCAATTGTAAATATTGCCCTGGCACTTAGAGTGCTTCTCCCTCACTGAGGAAAAATAGTTCTCCTATTCCTGCCTTAAGATTTAATACTATCTTACAGATAAAGACTTTAAGATAACTAATTTTTTGAGAGGCTTCAAAAATTATTCCTTAATCACCTCTTGAATTTCTTGTGTAGTCAACAGGAAAATCGAATTTTTTGTAGTGTGGCCTCTGATAACGCCAATGAAAATTGATAGAAAATTGGCGCACAAACTGTTTTTAGTTTGGCAACAGTTTACCCAATTTTATTTCCCTTCGCTGGCCAGCTCGCTCACCGTTGTTGGGTGATAAAATGGAGTGCAAGGTTCGGGTTTTCCGGGTGGCTGTTTCAAATAAATGAAAAGCTCCCGCCGTGGCAGAATTTATTGTTGCATACTTTTCGGCTCAGCGCCCCGTGGCATGCAAAAAACCAGTGATTCGGCGGGGGGGTGTGGAAAGGAATTTCCCTGCGTACATGTGTAGTCGCTTTCCCCCTCCGCCCCGCCGAGTGTTTATTTTTCGGTTAAACCCAAATATGCATTTTTCATGGCCTCGCCGACGTGCCCCGCCTTCTGCATTCGCTCGCCTTCCCTTTTCAATTGCAATAACATTTGCCGGAGCCAAAACTTAAATTGCATTTACCAGCATTTTTGGCAATTAGCGCTTTCGTTTTTATTACACGAATATCACTCATACGCCATGTGGTGTTCTGTATTGAATAAAAAAGCGAGTTCCGCAAATGTAAATGGAAACAATGGCCAGGTTAAAATACTCGCGGCGTGTGTAAACAAAACGTCCAATTAAATTAGAAAAACTTTTCCTTCAAGCCAAAGCGTTAAATTAAATTACCTCATGCTCTCTCACTTTCGTGCAAAAATTAAAACAAAAGTTGCAAAGTCTGTATGTTCAAGGAACTTTTTTGCCTGCAGGGCAAGCACTTATTTAAATAAACAACATTTAAAGGGAATTTGAATTATTCGCCAGAGTGCGTAAGCCTGTAAAAGGTGGCCTGACTGTGGTTGAAAAACTAGATGCTAGTTGATTTATTTTTGGAGACAGCATTTTATTTGGGAGCTCAATCAACAAGGAGCTCCCACTTTAAAGCATTCCACAATTTCCCATTTAGAGATTGCGTGGGGGAAACTCACACACAATCCAAAAAACCGTGTAACTATTAATCAAATGTTGACACAATGATTTAATTAAGTGCCACGCCCACATTGACACCTGTACGACATGACACGGAGTTAGGCACTTACTATATAACAATTGGGGGAAAGGGGGCAGAGGTGCTAACCGAGAGGCAGTTGCAAAGTTTGTTGGCATTTTAAAGCCAGCCAGGCGACAGTTGTCAGCGCGATGACGGAACAGAATCCATTTCGGGGATCCTAAAAACTATGCCAACAATTTTAATGCGAAATTCCAGAACGGCGCTCACTCGTTTCACTCGGCAGACGAGTTTTGATTAAATTGAAATTTATTTTAATTAAACAAGCGTCGCAAATGTCTCATTTACGCTTCAATGACGGGGCAGAACAGATGAGCCAAAAAGTGGGCGTGGGCGCCGGGACGTGGCCTTAATGTTAGCATGTTTTGCGGTCTACTGACAATTTGCGTGTGTTTCTCCCGCCAGTGCGTCTCTCGCAATTTTTGAGTTTGTCCCCCGAAAAATTGTTTCCAACATTTGGGGTATTTTTTTTGCGGGTTCGGAAGAACAACAACTGCAATTACATATATTAAATGCTCGTCCGCCCAAGGGTTAATGGGTGAAGGGGGAAAGGGGGATGGAGGGCGCCATTAGACGGAACATAAGCCGCGCTTAAGTCCAACTAATTAGCCTAAATTTGTAGCAGGCTACGCAGCCACCTGATAAGTGGGTACGAAGTTCCTCCAGGGTATTTAAAGTTGATGGGTTTGAATTAAGTGTCTCAAGGTTTTAAAAACAGAATATTTAAGCTTCTCAGTTTTATGAAATAGATACAGATTGTTTTTATAAAAATCTTATAATCATCTAAAACATATTCGTATACCATGATTTGTAAAGATACCCCATTCTAAATGTCGAGACTTTTTTGTTTTAAGTACAGGGTACGATGGGTTGTTGCCATAAAGCGCTAACTGTGCTGCATTTACCGCTAAGCGGATGCACGACCACAAAAGTTTTTAGGAGCTGCGGGTGGCAGCTGCAAGCGAATGGTGTTGCTAGTTGCTAGTTGCTCGTGGGTGTTGCAAGTAGTGCTCGTGTTGCTGGTGTTGCCGGTTGTGCTGATGTTGCTAGTTGTTAGCTGCTAGTGGCTGTTTTCGTTGTTCCCGGCACTTTATTAGCGAGCGGGCCAGCGCAGCGCAGAGGGCTATTATTTGATGTTATTTATGAGTTGCAGACGCCGGGCCGTGAATTGCCACATGCAACACCGCTCACCTGGTTTAACCATAAGGTCTTCCGTGTTGTTTTCATTGCACGGCGCAAGTTTCGCCCGGCAATTAGAGGAAGGTGTTAAGGATGTTTGCAATGCCGCCTCATTAGGGGGAGTTCCTTGCCGCTTCTTTGGCCGCCTGATGAGCTGCCATTAGGACGTTGAGCGAAATCTGAATGTGCATTACGCTGCAAACAAAATGGGCAACTTAGTTGCAGGATTCTCCTTCGCATTTAACTTGGTGCACAGTGGGAAAAAGAACAAATTTTCATTTCAATTTTCAATTCAACCTCGAACATGTAGTTAAACTTTTGGTACCCACTGTGGGTTCCATATTTTATGTGTTTATATAAAGAAACGATTCGGATTTGTGGAAGTGACATTGTGCAACTTCATATTTTCCCTCTGTATCTTTGCTATTCCACTGGGCTCCTTCGTTTGCCCCTTGGGCCGGACAGGGACAAGTTTTTGCAGCTGGGCGCTCGTGCATGTCGCCGGCGATCCTCGCCAGCTTCCACTGCATCCCGTCGCCAGCGTCCCTCGGCCCGCATCCTGGCAGATTTCCTGAATCTGGACCTGCTCCTGCCGCAGGCATAAATCACGTGCGGCGCGCACAAGAAACTTTTGATTTGTGAAATCAAAAGCCATTTGCTGTGCTGCAATCAGCACAAACATTGTATGCAGCACGGGCAGTGGAAACTTTTGCTTTTTGGCACTCGTCAGATATGGATGCCATCACCAGGAGCTGGGAGTGGAGTGGAGTGGAGTGGAGTGGAGCGGAGCCACAGGAGCGGGTGGCGAAATCTTGGTCCTGCAACTTTTTCTTGTTGCGAAAGTTTTTAATAGTTTGTTGGCGCTTTCGCTGATTTGCTGCAAAGCAAAGTTTCTTTTTTCCCGCAGGTCTGATAGTCGGAGGTCCGAAGAGGAGGTCTTAAAGTATGCGATGCATTGCTTAGTTCCTGGCCGCTCTAAATTTCAATGGACTCACTAATGAAGACGGGCTGCCCGTTCCTGCTTCTAATACCCAAGTAGTTCGCTTCATGTTGGGATATCCTTTTGCATTTTCGAATGCAGATATGTACTGATTTCTTGTGAGTCCCAACATTGCAATGTTTTGGGCTTTAAAAGTTAAGATTTTGCAACATTTAAGCAAAGCATTGCGAATGACTTGGTAGTAAAATGATCCCAATTACCATAGGGAGTTATCATGAAACACTTTAGTTGAATCGTTTATCCGTTTTGTAGGGCTTTACAAAATCAGAATTTAAATGGTGCTTCAAAGTCTAAAAACTGCATGAGTAAGTGGGATACTTACGTGTTTTTGTTGGCCCGCTTTTCTTTTATCTGCAAGTGGATGCGACGTGTCCGCAATAATTTGGCCGCACTGCTGCGAAAAAGTGGGGCTCGGAGCTCGGAAAAAAGGCGAATATGTGTCAGGCGTGGCCGGAGAAAGGAGTAAGGAATGAGGAGAAAGGAGACTGAAAGGATTTGTCACATTTTGTAGGCTGCAGCAGAAGCTCCAAAGAGGCGACTAAAATAATCAACTAAGCCAAGTGCGACAACTGCGACAAAGTGTGCCGCAGCAAATGAAGAAAGTTCGCGCCGCTGCTGCCCCTTTCTCCTCGCTTTCTCCGCATTTACCGGCAGCATTGCGAAAAAGTCGTAGAAAAGTAGTTAAACTTCTGCTTTTTTTTTCGCTGACATAATTCGCGGGAAGTGCTCCCGGCGCCAGTTCTGAATGATATATCCAAGTGGTAGTAATAAATTCCTCGAGTCATGCCACAAAGTGTGCGAAAGTTGCTAAAGTCCTTCTCTCTCTATATGTGGATGTGCTGCGAAGCTGTTTCCACACGGCTGAAAGTGGGATTCAGATGGCTGGAATCGGGACAAAAGACGCAATTGCAATAAGCGCTTAATTTGTACGGCAGTTGCACTCCGGATTGCGAGTTCATTTGAATGGCACACCAGTTCCATTAAATGCGCATCCAATTTACATTTATTTAAAATAAAAACTCGTTTGACCTAAAACATTCAAAGCAAATGAAAAATTGTTACTTTAATTTATATTGGTATCTTTATGACTACGACGGTTTATAAACTGCGGTAATGGCTTTGGCTAGGCATTTTTTACAATTTATTTTCTCGCATGAAAACACGACAAAATCAATTATCAAACCAATCTGATGACCAATTGCCGAGCGAAAAGGTATTATGTTTAAGCTCCCAGGAAAAAAGAGAATACAATTAAAATTAATTTCAAGAAAAAATGCATTTAAGCTGTGACACAAAGTGCTTTTTTCGCGGCACAAAATATAATATCTGATGGAAAATAGCGTATGCGTTTTAATTTATACCTCATTTCACTTTTGGCGCTCGATTCTGACCTTCACCCGGCATGAGGACTCGATTAAAGCCGCAAAATGGCCACTGCACTGTGGGGTGGAAAAAGGGGGCGGCGGGGGGAGTGGCAAACAAATAGCAAGTACGTCTGGTTATGGCCAAGTTCAAGCCAATGTCTGGCGGCGTCTGGGGCACGTGCTGCCCAGATTCATCTCCGTCAGCAGAAGCCTCAGCATCAGCATCAGCATCAGCATCACCATCAGATTCAGATTCAGATTCGGCTCCATCTCAGCCATTTCTCTCCATTTAAATGGGGAAGGAGGAGCAGAGGGGAGTGGGGGGAGTTGGAAAAATTGTGAAAAATTTGTAACCGAGGCGTTTTGTTTGCTCTCGTTTGCTTTGGTCACGGATACCAGACTGCCAGTCAAGTCAAGTAAACATGATGTGCGGGGAGTAATTTCCCCCTTCCTCCCGACTTTTTCTCCCGCTTTTCCTCCCGCTTTTCTCCCGCTTTTTCGCCAGCCAGCCAGCCAGTCAACCCAACCGGGGGTTCCCCTTTCGCCGACGCTGTCTGTGCGCTGTATGGTTGCACAATATTTTACATTTTCATGCATGACGCGTTTAATCACGTGATGCATATGATTTTTAGCCAGCCCAGGGGTTAGGGGTCTGGGGTTCGTGGAGCTTGGAGCTTGGGGGTTCGGTGCTCGAGGTTTCCCTCATATATTCATGCATACAATTCCATCAGCATGAATTATGTTTTGCATACTTTCAGCCTGAGCTTGTTGGAGCCTTGCTTGTTTTGCGTTTAGGTCTTTGCCGCTGTCTGGCGCATTTTATTCTTGCAGCCCTTGATGCCCTCGGCAGTCGGCTTTCATCTCTCCCAGGGAGATCCATCTCGGGCCGGGCTTTCTGGATTTTTCCACTCTTTTTTGGGGGGTGTGGGTCCACTCAAAAGTTGTGGATTAGAGCGTGTAATTTTACTAAAAAGCGCCAACGAGCCGCACTTCACACACACGCCAACAGCTGGGGTCAAAGAGATAGTAGAAGCCTGTACAGATTTTAATTTATAGTACTCAATATATATTATTTTATATAGAAAGGATTATTCACTTTACTTTAAGATACTTTACCTTAATCCTCAAATTTAAAATTCTTGGTCCTATTATCTTGTCACCTGCTGTATGTGTGGGAATGGGGGAATCCACAGGGAGCGCTTGTTGCCATATTTTAAGTGTTTTCTGGTTTTTCGGCCACTGTGCACTGCGCTTTTAATTCCTCCGGCAGCGTTCGCCTGTAATTTATGTGCTTAACTTTCACACTCGGCTGGCTAAAACAGTCACCGAAAAATCGTCATAAAAATAGAAAATATATATGAACACTCGCACTCGGGCATTTCACACTTTTGCGCCTTTGGCCGAAAAGCGGCGGAAAATGAAAGCGAGCCCACAAGGACATCAGCCAAAAGTGGAGGAGACCAAATACATTCCAGTGAATATTTATGAGCAACAAAAGTAGCGTTTGTGCTTTACATTCCGACTTTATTGTGGCCCATGTTGTTGTACAAGTACCACACTAGTTGTTGCTGGTTTTGGTCAAAATTCTGAAAGTCTTTTGCGGCTGCTGAAGCACTCAGGAAAATTGTTTAAGCTGTGGATACCAAACCATTGTTAAAGCGTCACAAAATAAATGTAATTTACCTATTTAAATGAAAGTAGTTACTTCCGTAAAGGTAAAAAGTTGATAATGATCGGTATATGTATATGGAATCGATATGATTATCCAATTATGTTTTTCACTGTGTGATGTTGCTGGTGCCCTGGTTGCTGCTGTCGTCCTCATCGCTGTCAGCATTTCCGACGCTGATGAGTTTATGCTCGGGGCCCATATTACTTTATTCCAGAGTGTGCCTAGCCCCTGGCCACGCCCCCGCCCCTGTGGTTTGGCCCCTGCAACACAGACGCAGACATACACACACACACACACACATACACACTAGCACACTTACAAACAACGAGTCGGCCATTCATGACTGTCATGAGTTTTCCGCAATTGATGGTCTAATTATGCCGCCAACACTAAATTTCATGACTTTGCTGGTCGAGCCAACACGCAGACGAAGGCCACTGACGACGACGAGGGGGCCTTTTCCCGAGGGGGATTGTAATTTAATGGAAAAACATTTTGCCACACATTCCCACGGAGAGAGCGGAGCGGAGGGGAAAGCGGAAAGGGGGAGCTGGGGCTAAGAGCCACTTTACAGTTTGACAGCCTCTGCTGGCCGGCTGACATTTTAGCTGGGATTTATCGCCAGCTCTTTGAAAATATGTTAATGCAACAGTTTGAGACGCTTGCTTTTATGGGTACGAGTTTAAGAGCTCATTTCGTCGAGGGTGCACCATCCAATTAATTATGGATGGCTGAAACGGAGCTTACTGAAAACCAAGCGGAATATTATAGTCATTCTACCAAGAAGTACAGCCTAATGAAAGTTGGAAGTGATGGCTGCTATACGTTAACCCTAAGTTATTTGGATGAACATTTGCTGTTCAATTTAAATAGCTTTTGTGCTCCTAATTAACTTATTAGCAATAAACAGCTTCTATTAATAAGCAAACCAATTAATTATTCATATTTTTTGTCCAGTCTACTGAGATCCACTCATGTGAGAACCGCCGGCGGGGCTCCATTTTGATCTGTGAAGCTAAAGCGATAATCATCGAGCCAGAGCCAATGGGGCATATCCAATCGTTCACACTTCATAATATTTGCATGTTAATGTGCATGTATAATTGGCTCCAAAATAATTAATGCCCGAAAACAAGAAACCTAATCGGATGCCGAGCCAGAGCAAGCGCCTCCTAATGAGAATCCATGGCTCCGGAGAATATTTGATGTGCGAAGTTAGTTAGCCGGAGTTAGTTCACGGCGAGAGTTTCGGCTGGAAGGAAGGTCTAGCACTAATACGCCTTTAAATATGTATCCAAATTGGCTCGTTCTGCTCCACTTGCCGCTGGTTTGTTTGGGAGTTGTTGGCTCGCAAATGTTTGCACAGCCGCTGACAAAGTAGGTCGACTGGGTGGGTGGCTGAGTGGTTGGTTGGTGCTCACCCCCGCACCCCGCACCCCGCTGGGTGGTGCTTGGCGGCAGGTCAATCTATTGAGCAAACTATTTGCTTACAGGAAGCACAACACCGGTGTTTGGAGCATCGAAAGGGCGGCGGGACACAAGGTTGAGGAAGCCGCGTTGCCGCAGCATCTGCAACAAATCACGGGCAGCGAAGCGTTGGCGCCATTGTTGCTCGGATTACTAGGCCAAACAGTGCCAAATTGGCAGCAGCAGCAGCAGCACCAGCAACAGCAACAGCAGCAACACTACCAGCAACACCAACAGCAACACCAAGCGAATCAGGAGCAACAACAGGCCACAAATCAACCGCAACAAGAGGGGAAAGGGTTTTTTGTTTATGAAAAGGCCGCGGGTCAACAGCCTCGAATATTGGCCGGGTTCAATGGCGTCGATGTGCAACCTGAACAACGCCAGCCACTGCGCTTCCTGCCAAAGCGAATTCGGCCTCAGTCGGAGTCTCAACAACTGGATCCAGCAGCCGGGCCAAAAATCGTTGAGGCGCCGCCAGCCGCAGCCGTTTCGGCGCCAGGACTCAAGAGCCACCCGCCGTAAGTAAACAGTGCAAACTACCAACTTATATAAATCCATTATTTGCATTAAACAATGCATTTTAATTAGCCCATCCCCGGCAACTGCAGCGCCAGCAAGTTGCCAACTCTGCTGCAATCCGTCGGAAGTTGCCAGTGCCAGTGCCGGTGCTAGTGCCACGCCCTGCCAGCCTTCCGCCCCGACCACGCCTTCTTCCGGGGGCCACGAGATTATCCCGCTGCTCAGTGCGATGGTGCTTAAGGCGACAGTTGGTTAAGTTTTTAATTAAATCGCTGGCATAATTAATAAAGATGCGCATAGAGAGTCGGGCAAGTGTTGCATACTTTCGGGATGGCCGATCGTGTGGGTGTGTGGGTGTGTTGGTGGGGCGGCGCATGTGTGTGCACTCAATTCTCGTCTATGTGGCAGCAGCAGATGTGGCAGATTAACTTCTGAAAGGAAAAATGTACGAGTGGGAAGGAGATTGGGGATCACGGTAAGAAAACATGTCTTTATTTATTTGTATAAAAATTCTAACAAGGGTAAAACCTATTTTTGAATAATTAATAATATGGTTGAAAGAATTTAAATGCTAGTTTTTATAACACTTAAAACCATTCTGATTTGCACTGATTTTTCTGTCTAATCCTAAAAGAATCGCATTTCCTTCCCCGTTTCCCTAGTCAGCCCCTGCATCCCAGAAACTCTCGAACAATATGTGACTTATCTGCCATCATGGCTTCACAGACATAACCCACCCAGACCTCAGCCAGCAGGTCCTCAGCCACCAGGATCTGGGCGAGCTGTCACAGAACTCAGCATAAAAGTAAAACATGCAACTAAAAACAATTTCTAAAAATATACGTACGAGAACGTAAAACATGCAACACGAAAAAACCGCAAAAACACTTCACGTTGAGTGCGACTCGCAAATTGTGGGGCGTCTGTGTGAGTGAGCTGCACCACCGCCACCACCACCACCGGCACCACCGCAGAAAAGAAGCAAAATAATAAATAAAAATCCACAAAATGTGTGTGCTGTGTGCTATGTGTTGCGTCTGCGGCGGAGTGTTTTTCGCAAGTGTTCGAGCGGGAAAATGAAAGTGCTGAAGTGTCGCCCATTGTTTGTTATTTGTCCTGTCAACGTAGCAGCTGCCTGCATTTGCATTGGCCGCAAGGAGTTGATGACCGGGATAGTCGGAGTAGTGGGAGGACGGGCCCAAGACGAGGTCGTTGGAGGGAGGAAACAACATCGAGGAAACGACACTTCTTGGGGTTGAAGCAATAGAACTGGAGTCCAAATCGAAGGAGTTTCAATGCAGCAAGGATTTCAAACTACAATGCTGTTGCTAGATCCCCGTTCCCTTTTTCAATTAATTAAGAACAATGATAGCACCCTCCCAACAAAGCAATCTTTTCGGCAAAACTCAAAACACTAGTTTATATAATTTCAAGTTAAAAATGCCCTAAAAAATCCTCAAAATTCGAGCTAATTACCCGTTCGCTGTAGGTTTCGCAATCAGACTGAAATTGAATTGGATGTGGCTGGGGTCCCGACCCTCAGACGTCTCGCAGATGTGAGTAAAGGGGAAGGGGAAATGGAAGGGGTAAAGGTGGGGGAATGGCTCCTTTGTTGTCATCGGCACTTCGGTACACATTTTATAGGACGCCATTCGACGGCTGTAATTTCATGCACGCATAATCAGGGAGCGTGGCTAATTAAATTCTAAACATTCGCCAGCATCAGCGCACTAAAAAATGTTTTATATGACTAGAATCTAGAACCCCATCCTGTGTTTCTCCCCATCCCGCGGTGCTCCCATCCCCCAGCCTCCGTTCCAATCTCGAGCTGGTGCTTTGTAATTGCAGATCCCGGACTTCGTACACGCCCCTATGCAAATGGCACAAAGCTGCTGCTTCTGTTGTTGCTCCACTAAAAGAATTTGTTTAGATTTGAAGAGGTATGATATTGAATTTGTTTATAAGAAAAGGTGATTTAGAGCTACTTAACGGGCTAACAAAATATGATTCTGCTTATTAGAGGAATTGATAAGAGAAGTACTTTTGGGTTGAATTCAAATTTATTTACCTTAGGTCAAAAGACTGAAGTTCTTTTTCGAGGTGTCTTTTTTTACTGAGAACTTCTTCAACTTTTTTTTTCAAGTGTTCTGATGTTGCTGGTGCCCCGTGTTGTTCTCTTTGTGCCCATCTGCAGCCTCATCTCATCTCGCGCTGACGGCTTTTGAACTGCCTTCGTTTGTTGTCGTTGTCGTTGTCGTTGTCGTACTCTAAATTAACCGTTTCGTTACGTCAGCGCTGTCTTTTGTGCGTTGACAGAAGCGATTGTTGTTGTAGCTGCCGAGCGAGTGCCGGAGTCCCGGAGTCCTGTAGCTCTGGAGTCCTGTTTAGTTGCAAGTTTGTATGAGGCAGCCGTGCGTGCCCGGGCGCCTGGCAATTGGAGCAATCAGCCAGCTCAACTCGGCCCGGCTCCCGGCTCCCAGCTCTTTAGCCTGTTCGCAGCTCCAGACAGCCAATCCCAAACCCAGTCGCAATCCCAATCCCAGACCCAATCCCCCGGCACTCAGCCGCACTCACAACTGAGTGGCGCATTCGGAGACAGTTGGCTTTGTCTTGTCAGCTGGGTCCTGGCACTGTCCTGATTGGCATTTACAATTAGCGAGTGGGTAAATAGAGAGATGCTGCGAGAATGCCCCAAGTTCCGCTGCCTGGTGCCAAAATAAACCGAAAGCAGTTCGGGGATCGTGGCAGCAGGCACCCTTTGCAGGACACAGTATTTTGGGCATTCAAAAAATAATCGACTTGTAATTAAGCTGGATAAAAAGATGAAGTTGTTAAGGATTTCTTCTAAAAACATAAATTTAATTGCTATGAATCATACCTAATGTTAAAATGTGTTACGTTGATCCTTCGATACATACAATTAACTATCACTCTCTAACAAATAATCAGGGTAGCGAAAGCGTCAACTAAAATTCCTGAAAGTATGCAAGCAACGCCGCTCACGCACACATGCACAAGTTGAGCTGTGTGCTTGTGTGTGTGTTTGTGTTTGTGAGGCAATGGAATAATGTACTCTTAATTTGTTATGCGTGTGTGATTAATGATCCATGCATAACGATAACTTTGACTCATTACACCTGCTGATTTATCGCTGTCAACGGGTGGTCCACAATGTCACCCCCACACCCTTCCCCTCCCCCCTCCTCCACGAACACCACCCCCTTGCCCATCGAACACACGCACACAGGTGCAGCTGAAATCACAGGCACAGGGAAATGAATTTTGAATTTTGAGTCGGCCACTTTCGCTTAATCATTTCGCAATTAGCCAGCATTGTTAGGGCATTTGCATTGATTTATTGACGCTGTCGCAAAGATTTCGCTCCGTTCGATTTTCCCTATTGGCATTTTTAATTTTCCCATTTTCCATGTCAGTTAATTTTCCACTTCGGCTCGCCGGCATGGAAAATGCACAATTAATTAAGCTTTACTGCTGCACTGACTTTTCCGCTTTTGCCCGCTTTCCTTGTTTCCATTTATTTCTGCATTTTTCGGTCTTTGGAAAGTGTGAAGACCCAGTCGCGTCGACGGAGTTGCAAGTAATTAATGGGCGTGGCAGCGGTTGCCCCCAACACTTGTCCCACTGTCGCTAATGACCCATATTATGAGGTTATTACTGCGGCCCGCTCCCCGTCTGTCTGCCTCCTCGCGATTGCAAGTGCATTTGTGATGACATTTCGAATGTGTTAAGTAATTGCAAAAGGCTTCGATGAGTCGCCGAAACCAAAACTGCGGGAATGGAAACGCTCGTCTGCGAGGCTGATGAACTGCACTTAATTGAAGTCTATTCGGTTGATGGATGGTCGGATGGTCGGACTGCTCTGAATAAGCAATGACTCTCTGCCCGGGGGAGTGGGTCTTAATTAGGGTTTTGGGCCGACAAACAAGCAGCCTCCGCTGACAAAGGCCAGGTTAAGCGGGTCGGCGGAGTTGGGCAAGATCGGACCCGAAGATTGGATTCAAGTGGGGTTATTATGATTATATGACCACTCCCTTTCTCTGGAGGCTTGAAACATATTTTAATATTTTCAGTATTTCTATTCAGGCAATTTTTTTTTTTAATAATTAATGATAATGGCTGGATGGAAATATTTTATCTTACTGCAAACATGTTGTCGAATGGCACAATTAAAAGCATTTGTCATTAGCATATATGCAAATATCTTATATTCCTTCCGGATAAAAAATTGTAAATTAATCATTTGAATAAACACAATATTTGAAACAATTATGTTTCACCAAAACATATGCTTTGCATGAAATGTTACCTTAGGATGAATAATGGAAAGTTGGTGGCAACTAATTATTTACAATGCTCTTTTGTTCATGAATATGTTATATTATAGATGCTGTTATATTAATTTAAGTTCAACTTTAACTTCTTTTTTATTCTTAGCTCCAGATTGAGTTAAAATGGCGCGAATCGATGTGAGTGTGCGCCAAGGAGCCGCCTTTTTGGCACTGTACATACTGCTGCTGGCGGCGCTCGTGCGTCCGCAGATGAACTTCAGCATCTTCGTGGACACGTTCTTCCTGCGGGTGAGGACCTCGGCGATCATGGTGCTGAGCTACCGGTTCGACACGTTCATGGCGGTGGTCGCCGCCCCCCTCAGCGCCGCCACTGTGTACGCGGTCTCCAGGTGGAACGAGCGGGTCGAGAACCCCTCCTCCCACAAGATGGTCATCATGGGCGTGGTCCTCGCCTACGTCCTGGTGCTGCTGGCCAACGTGGTGGCCAACGGAGTGGTCGTCCAGAAGGCCCTCGTCCGCTTCGATCAGTGTCCTTACAAGGCGTGGGGCATGTACCGCCAGATGGCGATGTCCTTCGTCGAGTCGGTGTTCACGGATGTGAAGGAACTCTTCACCCGGAAGCACCACAAGCGACCCCGACTGGTCTACCGAATGCACTAGGAAGCCATTCATCTGTTGCATTCCGAAGACACTTTTAAAACTATTTTAAAATTTCACAATACATATAATGTTATTGGAGTGTTATAACTTAAGCTCCATTTAAAAACATTTTAAAGTACAATTTTAAACCTAAAAATATCAAGTGTGAGGATGAGCAAAATTATGGATTGTTGATCAAGTAAATGTCTGCATTGAAGACCAATAAACGATAAAAGCGCCATAAAGCATGATATTCCTGCCTCATTTTGACACTGCAAGGCATCATAATTTCATCAAAGTGGGCAAGTTTAATTTATTGTGGGAGGTGATTACTTACCAGCTTCGGCTGCTGTGACTTTATCTGACCATTAGCAGGAAAACAATGAACCCGAAGTGCAAGTCTGTCTGAGGTTTGCATCTGACCAGCGACCAGATGCCGAGTGGGTGGTTTTCGGGGGGTTTAGGGGGCGGGTGGCTCGGCGGCAAATGATGTGCACAGTTTATTGTGGTCGAGCTGCATATTAGATTTAATGTGATTTGCATTCGCCACTGCCTGCATCGATAATGATGCAAGGCCCCAGGCGACACTTGGCTGTTTGGTTTGGTTTGGTTTGCCAGTTGCAATTGGAACTGGAATTGAGTCCACAGTCTGGGGGGAAACGTTTGTCTAGGAAACCGCAGGGGCGGAGGAGTATCCTTCGGGTTCCGGGAGGACGGGCCGTGTCTGGCGAGTAAGTAATTCTGTGGTCGTATTCCGGGGCACGTTGCTTTGAGGCTTTCAACTCGATCGGCGTTGTGGCGTGGGCTTTTGGCAAATAGTTAGGCGCAAACAAAGGCCCCCTTTCCCCCGAAAGCCCACGCGTGGAATCCGGCCTCGGATAATTGAAATTTTATGCCAGGCTTAAGCAAAAGTACACAATTCAGGCTCTGACGCAAACTCCCAGCGGAATGTTTTACACAGATTCACAAAAAATACATTGTTTTCTCTGCCGCTCGCAAAACATGTCTTTGATCTCCAGAACATGTGCCCGGGATGACAAAACAAAAGTACAAAATTAAAAAACGGGCCAATTTACACACAAAAGGGAAAACGCAAGGCCAGAAAAAAAACAAAAAAATATACAAAATTGTGAATATGCATATGCAAAACACAAATCGCAAGCAAATTAAACGAAACGAAATGTAAGTGCTTAAAACAAAGCTAAATGAGTTCTGACTTTGCCGGAGGCATTAAATATTTCCCCAAAAAAATGCGAGAAATGCTGGAACCCGACAACGGGTTTCCCCAAGACACTAAAACTTATTTATGCCTTCGTTTTGATCGAGGGGGTGGCCTGCTGTCTCTTTCTGGCCCTCCCTCCCTGTCTCCTTCTCTTCCATCTCTTTCTCTTCTCACGAGCGTGTGCGCTTGACATTCCGGCCAAATATAAAACATTGGAACATGCTAATTTATTTTTGAACTGCGGGAAATAACACCGATGTTGGCTGCCAACAAAGGCTGTAAACAAACTGTGGTTAAACCCAGCTGACCATTTCAGCTAAGTCTGAAATATGCAGAACGATTTGTCTGTGATTCCAGAAGGGCATGTCATCATTATTGGAGAGATTTTGTGTATTTGTGGACTCAGATTTCCCCGAGAGTCACAAGGCATTTTAAATCTGATCCATCTGATTTTTTTTTTTTTCATGAATTCCTTAACAAAGGTTTTGAGATATGCCATTTTGGAATCAGATGGGATAATTAGAGAAGTTATCGGTTAGGGAAGCCCAGCTTTGGGTCACTTTTATGAAAGCCATCGGATACATGGAAAAATCTGTCATGAACAGCGGTAAAAAAATCGACCACCACCAAAATTAAAAATTTTAATGCAATTAGTTAAAGAGTTTCTTACAAACGTTTAAAGATATGCTCCTTTGAAGTCGGATTAAAATGACAAAGTCCAGTATTGGGTCACTTTTATGAAAATCATTGGATATTTGGAAAAATCTGACATGAACATAGGTGAAAAATTCGACTATTCAAAGAGTTCCATTACAAAAATTTAGAGGCAAGCCACTTAAAATCGGATTAAAATTGACAAAGATCTGGGGTGTGGAACATTAGTATTGGGTCACTTCTATGAAAACCATTGGAACATGAAAAATGTTAATGCAGTTTGCATAAATCTGGTTGAGCAGGCTAGTGTCCCCTAACGAATTTACGAAATTTATATTATAAATTTGACAAACAATTAACGATTGCTTTTTGAGCCTCGAAAAGAAACAACATCCTTATTTATTTATTTGTTTACTGCATCAGCACAAAAGTATTTGTCAAGTTATAAAGTAAAGTGCCTTATAAAAGTATAATAAATTGATCAGTACAAGTAAATGCAATCGTAAATGTAAGTAATGGGTATCAGGCAGACGGGTTTCGGTTTTAAGACTTCGGGGCTGGCTTAGATTTTCCTAACTCTTATCTTAAGTGATCGTAAAAAGCCGCCAATTAAAAAGAGCTCACTGCAAAGTGTGTTCTAATTTCTTTTTGTTTTGCTTGCGGGCTCGAAAGCGCTACCTGTTTGCACTGGATTAAGATATTCAGTTAATGTCTTGGGATCGAGGTCCAGTATCCAAAGGCAGTGCCTGGGATTTTCCCGACGGGGTGGAAGGCGATGTTATTGAACTGGCGCAGGATTATCAGTGCTTTAAGTGACAGGAGGGTGACAGAAATTGAAATGTCATATCAATGCGAGGCAATAAAGAGCCGTGATTGATGTGCCAATTTGTATATCGCCGATTAACAAATCCCCTGCCCGGCTTAATTACTCGGGGCCTGCGAAACACCCAAGTTCAGTGGTACAGAGCGAGTGCAATTAATACTTTTATTACGTATAATTTGGATTAATTGCCGCGCTCGTTCCATGAATCATCCCATCAAATGTGTGTCAACGCGAGCGCCAAATAGTCGAGCATCCCGTCCCGTCCCGTTCCGTTCGATTTGCATTTCTTTTGTGTCCGTCCAGTCGACTGACGCCACAAACCCGACAAACTGCTGGATCCGCGGTGTTCCTGACCTGTGTTCCTCGACTTTTCGTGTGTCACTCACTCCGCACACCTCTCCAATCAGATTCAGCATCACCACCACCACCGACATCGGCATCAGCATCAGCATTTGAGATTCATCTCGGCCCGGCTGGAAATCAAAGTCTCGAAACCGGATTTGCATGCCAATAAAGCCGAGGCTGGCAAACAAAACAAATCGAGCGAATGAAATTCTTTCGGCTTTCGCCTGGCGTTTGCTTTAAATACAAAATCGCACGGCTCAGAACATTAGACTGGTTTAAGAGCTCGAATTAAGCGCACTGACGGGGAATAAAGTCAGACTTCGGCCGAAAACACATAAAGATCCTCCAGCGAGTGCGAACCGCCAGCAAAGTGCTAAAATTAAAGTCAATTTCGATTGTATAAACTCAGTTTCGGTGTTGATACTCGTACATTACGTACAATGGCGTGCAAATACAGTAAACAAATGGTAAGTGAATGAAGTGAATGGATTAATTAATAAGAAGTTAGCAAAAGAGTGAAGATTAAGTAACTTTGTATCCTCTTTAAATTAATTTAATTGCTCTGCTTTCTTTCACCTTTGAAGATCCTGCTCAGTTGCAGCTTGGCTGTGCTCCTCGGCTTCTCGGAGGCTCTTCCTCGGTACAGTCGCACCAGGGACTTGGGAACCTCAGCCAGCTCTCCCAGCTTCGCCTATGCTCCCAGTCCGCAGGAGCCGATGACCCTCACCGGGAACTACAACCTGATCATGCCCGACTACTACGACCACCATCCCGCCGAGTCGATGCAGCTGCAGAACTTCGCCGACTTCTACGACGCCCAGATGAGTCCCGACTCCGACCTCGGGATGGAGGAGTCCCAGTTCCTGGCGCACACCCCCGTCCGGGCACCCCAGCCGCTGACTGCCCAGGAGAAGCGGGCCCGCCAGCAGGTGCCCCACGTGGACATCAACCGGGAGAAGAAGGCCCTGCTGAAGCTGAAGAAGGGCAGCACCCAGCCCAAGGGACCCGCCCACCAGGAGTGGGACCAGTTCGACTACGATCTCTATAGCATCAATCCCGCGGACAACAAGAAGTACAACTACGATGTCTAGAAAGGAGCGATCTCCTCTGGGGCGACTGTATATGTTTATGTTTTTGTTTTCTCTCGGTTTAAGCCACAAATAAATTATTTATTTATTGTTAACTGCAATTTGGGTATTTCTGTTGGAATGCCGTCCCGGCCACTTTCCGATGGAGCCATCTCATTCTTTCTAATTGGTCAGAACCATTAACATTCACTTTATCGCCGAGAGCAGACCAATTTTGGCCAACGCAAACAGAGATGCGAAGATTCTCTGGCTGTTTATAGATCTACAATTTAAAAATACTGTTCAAATTGTTTATAAGTGTTTAAAATTGTGTCAACAGAAAAAAAGACGATATCCATTTAATTCATTTATTAAAATGGATTCTATAGTCATTGAGTTAAATATTGGCACATTTCGAACCGACATTTATCTTACCTAAATAGGAAACTAGTTGTCAAGGGTGTGAGTCAGATATGAAATTGATTATCTTGATTTTGCAAATACATATTTAGTCACTTTTGGTTCACGTTTGCTATACTAAACATAATAAACTCTGAGGGAGTTTGGCAACAAAGAGAACATATAAGGAAATATCTTGTACTGATGTCGTTTCTGCACTGTTTCTTACTAAATATCATATTTTTGGATCTTTAGAAACTCATCATTTATAGCTGATCCAACAGAATCCGCTTGAGTTCATGAATCCGCTCCGAGGAAGGTTCAAAGAACGAGTTGTCCACTTCGAGTTCCTGGTGCTTGTAAAGGCGACGCGGTTGGGGGCGATTCGAGTGGTAGGTGGCCAGGGCAGCTCCGTGATCCACCTGCTCCGCAGTTCCACAACCCTGGGAGGGATCTTCTGGGTAGACACGTGGCTTTGGGTGGCGCTTCCTGGGGAGACTGACCGCCTGGATCTCCTGCAGCTGCTCCCCCGACGGCTGTCCATATTGGTAGCCATCATCCGAGTTGGCCAACACCAGACCCAAAGTCACTCCAAGCATCGTCATCTAGCGGTGGATTAAGCATTTTACGTCATTAGTTTGGAAACGGGTTATGCGGCACTCCGATTTCTGATCTTCGACTACCAGAAAAGCTAGCAGCAAACTCGTCTTCATGGTTCTCTGAATGGGATTCTCAATATGTCTCGACGCTTCGGGCTCCACAAGCTGACTAACTCGGAGAATCCCACTGGCTATGGTTGTTTACCGACCCTTAGAACCAATTATGCAATATTGGTAACGGTTATGACATAAACTTGGAAGAAACCGGTTATGCTGAGATGTGTTTGAAATGCAAAAACCAGAGAGCAAAACTAGACTCTCTTACGTTTTTATTAGCAATATTTGGATAATATGTTATGCTCTTATGATATGATGCCATATATCCAGATGTTGCCCCGCTCGACGCCTCTGACGTACCAGGAGCTGAAGAAAGCGTAGTCTCCAGGGGGAAGTGGCAGGACAGTGGTGAAGTGCTGGTTCAGAAACTGAGTGGGTAGCTTATCAACTACCAGATCATGCTGCAAAAGGACAATTACTAAGATATAATACAATAAAATATAATAATAATATAATAATAACCCACATCGAAAGGACATTTATGGTGGACGTTGCTGTACTTCTTGGTGGCCTCCGCGTAAAGTTTCAGCATGGGATTGCCCGAGTTCATGTTGGAGGCCATGTATTTGCAGACATCGACGGTCACGTTCATGGTGATCGGGGTATAGGATCGAAATCTTTTGAAAAGTTGTAGGGTGGCCTGGGGATCGAAACTTTAGCCGTGAACATTCTAAAACTTTTAATCTTACCGAAGCATTTTTGATCGGCAGCTGGTACATATTAGTCTTAAGCGATATGTACTTATAGCTCCGATTTACGGATTTTATGTAACAATACTCGAACTCGAAGAAACTCTTGTCCTTCGAAATGCATTTTATGTTGGTGAACTCCACTTTAGAATCGATCTGGTCGGAAAATAATTAAATTACTTGTCTATAAATCGCTTGTGATATAATGTATGTATATCCTTACTTGAGTTATATATCCATAGAATATAACTAGCAAAAGTAATACAGCTTCCCTTAAATACATTTGTGCTTCGTTGTTAGTCAAAATCAACTGAAGTGATTTTGTTTCAATTTAACTAAAAATTTTAAAAGTGGTAATGGGTTTTGAGTTATGAATAAATAATTGTTTATTCATTAACCCTTTTTTGACAGACTCGCCTCATTTACCAAGTTAATAGATGTTTACATTTTCCGGATATACCTTTTTTTATGGAAAATTCGAGAAGCCGTAAATCAATTGGATCTTAAATATGTGAAGATAACATTCAGATATATATATAAATCTATGAATTGATTTGACTTCAGGGAAACAACTTCGTTTTTAATGACTGATTTATGGTTGCCTCGTGTTTACCTTATTTGCATATACGCATAAACATGTGCATCTTCGGATTGGCCAACGCGGCCCCATTCATTTCTGTCTGTGCATTTCATTTCGGCTAATTAGCATTTGATGGCCCGATCATACGCAATCCCTCGATAAAATATCACCGTGGAGCTGATTAAGCAACGGCCAACCAGTTGGGCGATTAACATGTTTGCTGAATCCCTTGGATTTCCCACACAGGCCTACTTTTGGGCTTGTTAATTTAAGCATTTAAGCACCCGAATCGGTTAACATTTGTGTTTAATAACAAAGTGTTCAAACTTCGATCGATTTATTTACAATAATCAACAAACTGAACTGACGACTTAGCATAGCAACTAATAAATTCGATGTTAAATTCGGTGGATATTAAAGAGAGGGCTTAGTTGTAGGGATATCTGGAGAAGATCTGCTCCTGCCGCTGGAAGAGGCGTCGGTTTTTTGGCCTCAGCTGTCCCTGCGCATTGACAGCCGCTCCAGCTGGCACGTAGACCACCGGGCTCTTGTAGCATCCCTCCACCCGAGCCTGGGTGGTGGCCCTGGCCGTCTGCACCACCTGCCGGTGGCTCTCGTCCACTTCACCCGGACCGAGCTCCTTCCTCTGGCACTGACCGCCACCCGGGCAGTTGGTCACGAACCGCTGGTACTCCCTGGTGTCCCCGGGAGAGGTCTGCTTGTAGTCGTACGAGTCCAGGGCGGAGCTCTGCGACTGGGCCGCGTGGTCACCCACTCGGGTCTCCGATGCCGCCGATCCCGTGGCCTGCAGGAGCTGCACCTGCACCTCGTGGGGCGCCACTCCGGATCCGTGTCCTGCGTCCAGGACCTGTTGTCCCGATCCCGTGGTCACCGGAGCGTACGGATAGGGGTTCCCGAAGAAGAGCTTCTGGGCGGGCTGCTGGGGAGGCAGGTAACTGGCTGGTGGCTGGGCAGCCGACTGCGGTTGGCGATAGTAACTGGCGGCCTGAACTGCAGTTTGCTGCTGCTGCGGCTGCTGCTGATGTTGCTGTTGCAGTGGATGTGCTGCTGCTGGCTGGGGAGGCTCGTAGTAGCTCAGGGGCTGGCCAGGAGGTGGAGCTGGAGGCGGAGGGCCGTAGGAGACACTGGGAGCCTGGTAGTTGGTGCTGGCCAGCAGGGGATTCTGGTAGGAGGAGGTGTGCAGCTGCTGGGGCTGGTAGCTGGTGGCGTACTGCTGGTGGTACTGCGGCACCTGGCGCTGCTGCACCACGCGGACAACCTGCGACTGGTGATCCTCGTAGACGACCGGAGCCCTCTGCGTCTCCAGGCCGTAGGTGCGACCCAGGGTCTGCACCACGAACCTGGTGGTCTGGGGTCGCGAAGACTCCGCAGTGAAGGGAGTCTGCGGCCGTTGGTAGTGGTAGTCCTGGCAGCTAACCAAAGCCAGCTGTGGGTAAAGAGTATCCAGATTAAAGGTAAATCCATTTGAGATCCTCTGGTGAACCCACCATCGAGATGAACAGCCAGAGGGAGGGCATCTTGGTTTCCATTTGGTCAGTCGGCGCGTTGTGGACTCTTCGCCGGCTGGCAGCTAAATGAACTCCGGATGGGCAGACACCCGCAAAGGCAACCCGCCAGAAGATCGCTCCAAAAACGGGTTTCGGTTTCGGGTTAACTCAACGCCGCTGCTGTTGCCACTTCGTCTCCGCTTCTGCCAACTGGCTCTGATTCGTTGTAACAGTTCGAGCACATTTCATAATTTCTTTTCCATTTATTGTCTCTGCCTCGTTTTTATTTATTTGTTTACCTTTTCCCCGCTCCGACACTCCAACACTCGAGCGATCGTTCGGCGCTTGCGGCATCATTTGACTATCACTCACGCAAATTTTGTCATAATTAAAGTGCCAGCGCGCTGCTCTTCATTGTCTGCCTGCATTTCTCCACGCACTCGGAAAAACAGGTAAAAGTGATGTCATTGTGGTAAATGATTTTGTTGAAATTATCCCATTGCCCTTTAAATATTTAATAACAAGTTTCTTGCTTTAAATGACATCAATATTATTCACAAAAGCAGTTTCCTAGAACTTAAATCCATTTTTGATACTCTGGTAACCTGCTAAACACTTCTTTATTTCAAGAAAACCTTGTATATTTTCTTACAGTGTTGAGGGCCGTGAAAATGTGCTCAATCTTCCGCTGTTAGCCACTTCAGTTCGGTTCGCTGCGGCCAAGTTTAATGTAATTTAATTTGCTTCGCATCATTTGGCTGGGCTTTCTGCGAAGCGAGTTATGTTTTTCAAGCTCGGCGAAAGTAAAAGTTGGATCTTAGATATGCAAGCAAACACACATACTTAAATTTAACTCTGCAGATTTACACGGACTCTGCAAATGATTTGCCAAAGTGACGGACCATAAAAAAAGCGTGAGCCAAGTTAAATCTTTTTTGGGGTGCGGTTTGACGGATTTCTGATCCGAAAAAGTGTTGATTTCTGTATTAGGTGGGGGTATTATAATGGGTATTTAATTGCAGGTAATATTTATTCATCAGCGGACAAGGGAAACTACATATCTGACTTGCGGCGATGTAACTCTTCAGAAAACAGATTGGATTAGCCTTCCTTTGTTGTTTCGCACCTAATTAGGCTAACCACACGTATTTAGAAATATGCAACAAACCGGTCGATTTACTGCCGCGGTGTTGCAAGACCCATTCGACCGGATTAGACGATTGACACGCTCCCAAAATGCTTGAGCTCCGGAGCATTAAAGGAAGCCAGACTTTGCTGTTCGCTGTTTGCCCTGAGCTGACATCGCCTTTGTTTCAGCGCTTCCGTTTGACAATTGCACGCAGTCAGCTCTCGCCGGTCGCCTGCAGCACACTTCCTTCGCTCCTCGCTCTGCGTCCTTCGTCCTTCGGACTGCTTCCTTTGCCACTGTTCGAAACGCGGGCGAACGTCAATCAAAGACGCGCCCTGTTAAATGCACTTGACTGCCACTTGACACAGCAAATGTTGCTGGCGTTGCTCCGGCGTCAAACAAAACATCTTGGCAAGCCAACTGCCAACACTTGACATTCGCCGTGAATGCAGCAGGATCAGCGGGGATCGGTGGGGCAAGGACTCCTAAGGGGGCGGTGCACTCAAAAAATAATATAATAATATATAATATATATAAAAATAATATACTAATTTATAATAATTTATTTAAGGTAGGTTACCTCTGCACTCTCTGTGTAAAAGAGGTTTTTAGCATTACAAATTAACATTACTACAAAAAGTAATCTTCAATCTCCAGAATCACTTTTTGTTTTCAGTGTAAGTACGCACAAAGCGTGGGCAGCTGTCACAGATGAAGATGCAGATGCCGAGATGCGGCGGCTTATCACGCTGACACGAGAGCAGCAGGCCCTTCATAATGCAAGTGGCCAATGCTGCGTATACGCAATCTGCTGCAGTCAGCCTTGCGAGGGGGAAGGTTGAGTGGGTGGTTGGGTTGTAGGGTTGTAGGGTTGTAGGGCTGCAGTGGCGCCCCCTCAACTGGAGGGTGGGTGCGTCTGTGAGTCGTCTGTCTTCGCAGCCAGTTTGCATTCATGGCAGGAATGCATTCAGGGTTATGAGCCCCGCAAGTTGCATGCAACCTCCGAAGAGATAGCGCACGTGCAGTTCTTCCGCAGGTTGTGTGCGTGTTTTCCACTTTATTTTACGCCGCACAAAGCGTCACTTTAGACACCTGCCCCGATGTTTGTGTGTGCCTGCTGTGCAAGCCCCTTTTGTTGCCGACTTTTAGGCTTTAGTTGCTAGTGGGGATCCGCCTAATTAGGCGCACCTGCGAGGGCAAATTAGTAGCCGCCAGGTTGAATGACCTTTGGCAGCACGGCGAACCCAAAAAAAACACAAAAAATACGAGAAAGCCAGGGGAAGGAGGCGGCGGCAAACAAAACAATGCAACAGCGTTGGCAAACTGGCAAAAAACGAAGAAAAATCAATTGCATAATGGCGCATGTGTTGCGCAGAACATCAGCAGTACAAATTTGCAACTCTTTTTCCATTTGCACGTTGCAAGACAAAAACATGAAGAAGCTGGAACAGAAACAGAAAAGGAAAAAGGAGATTCAACCACCACTTCAGCAGCGATTTTTGCCATATTTTCTTCGTTTTTTTTTAACTGTCGCAGACACACACATTGAAAGGGGAACGTAGACATGTGTGCTTGTGTTTGTGGGTGAGTGTGTATATGTGTGTGTTTGGCAGCTTTTGTTTGCACCCGCATAGGAAGCCATTTAAGTGCGGCTTCTTGAGAAAATTGCAGCCAGAGCGGATAGAGGGAAAGAGACAGAGAGCTGGAGAGATGAGGCCCTTCGAGGACGTCACTAACGAGCAGGCAAACCACTCCCACCACCCCCTCCACCACCCACTCGACCACCCACTCCTCCCACAATTAACAGGAGCCAGAGCAACAGACACGGCAACGAGGGCTTAGCTCCCTTGTGGGGCCTATCATTTCCTAGGGAGACAGAAGAACACAAACCCAAAGGGTTTTGGGTCTGGGGTTCGGGGTTTCGGGTTTTGTGGATCTGCTGTGGAAACCCGGCCGGTGCAAAAGCCTCTGGCTTGTTGGACGACTCAAGCGCCTTAATAGGCTTAGCAGCGAGTCAACTATCAAAACAAGACCGATAAAAGTTGAGTCCCAGCTCGAAGCTCCTGCTCGTCGGTCCAGTGTATTCACATGTCTGTATATGCGAGTATATCCCCATGTGCGCACACATTGTGTGGGGGAAAAACTTTGCCTATATGATATGCTCTCATGCTCCAGATGACGAGACCCGAATGCTTTGTCAACGCACGCCGCACGGAATATTCATCGGGAGTCGGCAGCCGGGAGTCCAGGGAAGGGGGAAGGGGAAGGGGGAAGTGGGCGTGCCACAGTTTATGGCACGTTTGTGCCGCAGCCAGCTCTCATTATGTGGCCATGCACCGCAAGTACGTGCCCCGGACAGCCGGTAAGCAGGCCACGGATTCGGATTCGGATTCGGATACGGATTCCCAGCCCGATCGCAGCTTTATCGCCTCCCCAGCCTTTGGGAGCCATTGTTTTTACATTTTGCTTTGATTACAGTTTTTATATTTTAAATACAGCTTTTATTTTTGCTAACTATCTGCAGAGTAGTTGTAAAATATTTTCAAATAATGGGTAAACTTTTGAATGGGTAGAATCACTGTTGCATTATAATTAGTAAGCTTTAGATGATACTTCGGGTTTTAATTAAATGCTATTTCTATTGATTTTAATTTCTCCAAAACCGTTCGGCTGCCATTCCCCAAAAGCCTGTAGTTGCTCCCAATCAATCCGATTAGTCTGCACTGCTGTCCCCGGATTTGCATTATTAACACTCCAATCCGGCGTAAATCGTTGATTAAGCCAGCGGGGCGGAGTCTAGTTCCGCCCACCAAGGTCGGCAGGTGTGGCGCCACCCACCACCCGCTCTCGCCATTCGGCTGCATCAGCAAACAGCCGCCGCTCCCTGGGAAAGCAACGGCGGAGCTGCCACGGCGAAATGTTGCTGATGACAGCAGCAACATCAGCAGAGGCAGCAGCAACAGCAACAGCAACAGCAGCAGCAGCAACTGATTTGTTTGCAGTCATTCGCATGTGTCATCATCAGCGGCCGAGATGATGAAGCACAAAATATGCCCAGGCTCGCTCAAACTAAGCAGACTGACTGCCAGTCTAGCTGCAAAAAAAAAACCAAAAAAAAAGAAAGAAAGAAATTAAAATAAAAAGAGTTGCACGAGCACACAGGCAAACAGACAAATGAGGACGCCAGCGGTGACATGATAGCCTGTGAAAGTCTGCCGACAGTCCTGGTGCACTCAGAAAAAGTATGGGTAATTTAAAATTTTTTTTTTAAATGTGTTGGATACATAAATAAATAAATACAATTTCATGATTGTGTGAATGTTTTATTAGTGTTTATAGCATCAAAGCTTAAAACTTCTGGTAATTCCAACTATTTTGATTGTGTACCTTTTTGAGTACTGATCGTTGTAGCAATTGTATACCCCTTTTTTGTTGAGTGCATTGCTGCGTTGGTCTCTGCTGGCTGCGCAGCTGCTGCTGTTACTGCTGCTGCTGCACGCGTTGCATTGCCGCTGCTGCTGCCTGTTCTCTGCTATATTTAAATACGCTGCGGGTTGCAACGTCGGCTGGCGTGGCACTTCATTTGCTTCCACAACTCATTCATGCTTTGGAGCCCAGACGGCCCGTCAGAGCCGTCTAAGCCGGGGTAAACACTCTCTGTGCCACCCCCTCCCCCTCCCCCTCCCTTGAGCGCCCAGCTCATGTGCCTCACCTACTTTCCGCTCTTGGGCTGAAGCAGGAGCTGAAGCCTCCGCTTCGGGGTGGCTGCAGCGAGAATAAAAAGAGAATGCATGGCTTGCAAAAAAAGCGAAAAAATAATAAAAAGTAAAATAAAAGAGCTGGGAAAAAACCTCCCTCCTGGGTATCGCTTACAACGGGGCACTTGCAACCAGCAACTGGCAACCAGCAACCAGCAACCAGCAACCAGAGACCCCCTGCCCCATTCCAAAGAGTCCTGCCGTTAGCGTTAACGCCAG